GGAAACCACGAACGGCGCGGAGGTTGCGGGGAACTGGCCAGTTGCGGACGGCTTCGACCTTGGCGGGGTCCATGCTGACTTCGCCCTCGCGGATGATCAGCCCGAGGTATTCGATCTCCTGACGTTCGAACTCGCACTTCTCTGGCCGGAGATACAGATCATGCTTCTTGAGGCGATGCAGGACTTCGTGTACAACTTGCCGGTGCTCGTCGAGTGTGGCCGTAAAAATGAGGATGTCGTCGAGATACACTGCAACCTTCCCTCCAGCGATGAGGTCGGAGAAGATAGAGTTCATGAGAGCCTGGAATGTTGCCGGAGAGTTGGTGAGGCCGAAGAACATAACGAGTGGTTCGAAGAGACCCTGGTTGGTGGCGAATGCGGCCTTCCATTCCTCTCCTTCCTTGATCCGGATATTGTTGTAACCCCAGCGAACGTCGAATTCCGTGAAATACTTGGCACCGCGGAGTCTGTTGACGATGTCGGAGACCAGGGGGAGGGGGTAGCGGTTCTTGAGGGTGATCTCGTTGAGCTTGCGGTAGTCCTGAACGAAACGGAGCTTGCCATCTTTCTTCTTGACGAAGAAGACCGGGGAGGAGAGGGGAGACTTGGATGGATTCATGTATCCCTTCTTGAGATTCTCGTCGAGGAATCGGTTCTGCTCTTCTTGTTCGTTCTGAGACATGGGGTAAACCTTGGTGCGCATGGTAGCCGGGGCTCCGGGAATCAGATCGATGGCGTGGTCCCAGGGTCTGTGTTCGGGTAGGCGATGCGACTCGGACTCGGAGAAGACGGAAGCATGCTGACGATATTGCGGGGGGACCATCTCTTCAAAAGTCTTCTGGGGTTTGGCTTTCTGAGATTTTTCGGCAATCTGCTGGGAGTAAGTGAACCCAGCGGCACACCAGAGTTCATCACCAGTTTCCTCAATCAACCCTGCTCGTAGCCATTTCCTGCGAGTGGTTCGGTTGGCACGGATGCGACAGAGGGGCGGTTCGGCTTGTTCCGGTTCCGGTTCGGGAGCGGGGTTGGGGTCAGGAGTGGTGGGCACAGGGGGAGGATCAACCGGGGTATCTATCTGTTCGAGAATGGCACCATTGGAGGGAACTCCCCGACTAGGAGGGTGTGCGTCCTCGTCTGGAACCTCCTCAATAGTGACGCTACGAGACCTTAGAGGGAACTTGGGAGGGTGCCGTTACGCCAGTCAATGGTGGGGTTGATCTTGCGAAGCCAAGGGAGTCCGAGGATGATGTCCTCTCCTCCAAGGTCGGCGATAAGAAAGTCGGTCCATTCGGAGTGACCCATCAACTGTGAGCTCTAGCCCGTGCGAAATGTGTGATGTTGCCTGCCTGGTTAGGGGTACCGTGCAATGTTGAGGAGTCGGATGGGGTGTCGGAGGGGGAAATGTGGTAATGTTGTGCCGATCGACAAAGGGCTTGTCCAGGAACTTGCCTGTTGCCCCACAGTCAATCATTGCCGCGGAGTTCGTACTGCGATTTCTGCCTCTGAGCCTCACGTTCACGCGAAAGTGTGATGAACGGGGGTTTATTTCGCGAATTGAGCTAATAGTACATGAACGGACAGAATCATATTCGGAAGTGGCGTACGGAGGAGTAAAGGGTGCCTGCGTTGCGGCAGGGACGGGCACCCGCTTCAAAAACCCTGATGGAGCCTCTGGAGTTGAGCCCAGGAGTTCGAGTTGTTGTTGTTGAGTGGCCGAGAGTGAGGCGAGGCTTGGGGCGGGGGCAGAAGGCGTGGCAGGAGTGGTGGCGGCAACGGTGGCAGTGGCAGCAGGGGCGGGTTCATCAAAGAGGGAGAAGGGTGCTTCCTGGGTAGCGGCGACACGGCGACGCGGAGGTCGAGAGAGCCCTCGTCCAGGGTGGGAATCCCATGTATTTGTCCTGGCAGACGGTGGCGGATTGTCCCATACGCTGGCAGTAGTTGCAGCGTAACGCCCCATGATTCCCATCCTTCTTGTTGTGACCGGTGGATCCACAGCCAAAGCATCGACCGCGCATGGCGTTGAGGAAATCCTGGGCGGGTCTTGCCGCTAGGACCGGGTCGGGTAGCATCAATCTCCATCGCGTACGGGTCACGAGCGGGGGCGGGAGCAGGAGCAGGGGCATACTGGGCCAGGGAGGTGCGGGACGAGTTGGGGTTCATGTTCCGCATGACGAAACTCGTTCTTGATGGCTTGAGCGACGAGTTCCTCCAGGTTGGCAGGTTCCTTGATGAGATTGCTGAGGGCGAGCCAGAGAAGGTGTTCCTGGGAGAGCTTCCTCTTGAAGCGAGCCATTCCGTCCGAATCGGATAAATTGGTGCGCGAAAAGATGTCGACGAAGCGAGAGGCAAAGTCGGCTACAGTCCCTCGACCAAGAGTGAGCTGCTCAAGCTCCTGGAGGGCAGCCTGGGCGTCGTTGGCAGGTTGGAAGCGTTGCTTGAACTCGGTGAGGAAGTTAGCCCACTTTCCCCCAGTGAAGGGCCATGGCTTGGTGCTATCGGCATCGTGGTCGGCAATCTGCTGGAGGAAGCGAGATGCCCATCGACCAGCTTCTCCATGCATATACGAGAGGGCTGTAGAGATCCATAATCCTTGTCGTCGCGAGTGCCATCGTCCTTCTTCAACTGGGGTTGGTGTCCGGCCCAGTTGGTAAAGAACTGGAGGAAGCGTCGGGCATCTTCAGCCTTGCCGTGGAAGGGTTCAGGCGCCTTGACCGGGCTCTTACTAGAGGAGGTCTTGGCAGCTGTAAGGTGGCTGACCAGGGTAGAGATGGCGGTGGTGAGCTGGTTCTGCTGCTCTTGAAGTTTCGCGAGATCGGCAGCGGACATCGTGAAGTCGTCGGTGGTTTGGGAAGCGGAAGAGGGTAAAGTAGTTGGTTGAATGGAAGTGGGAGGTTTCTGTTCTGAGCTTGGAGCGTCAGATGTGTCCTCCAACTGCCGAGAGGTGTGGAGAGGGGGATGGATCGGGCGAGAGACGAAAGAGGCGGGGTTCGTCGGTGTAGAGCGGCCGGAAGAGCTGAGGCGTTGTGCGGAGATAAGAGGTGCGGATGCGGCTAGAGCGGAGTGGAGAGTGCTGAACGATGGGAGGGTGGTTGCTTGTTCGGGGGATGCTGATCGGACGCTAAGGGACTGGACAACTTCTTCTTCGTCTTCCTCGTCGTCGTCGTCGTCTTCCTCGTCTTCTTCTTCGGGGTCGGTGTCGGGATCCGGAAGCTTGAATGAACCAGCTTTGGCAGCGGGGGAGGTGTTTGCGGAACGGTAAGCTTGGTACGGGGTTTCTGGAGATTCGGCGGCGGTGGGTTGTGTTTCAGAGGGCGGAGTCCTGGGGTTGTTGCGGGCGAATTCTTCAACTGCTTGCTGATTAACGGGGGACGGTGATTCGGCGTTTAACTTGAGGGAGTTGATATAGACCCAGTCGTGTACGGAAGGTTCGTGGTAACGGTTGGGGCAGGGCTGTTCGGAGCAGGCGGTCCAACGGTTGAGGCTCGGTAGATGGACGTCTAGGACGATGGGGTGACCGTCGCTGACCCGAACGACGAAGTGCGGCTTAAACAGACAGGAGGTGTCTTCCGGTGCGGCGGAAATCTTGACGGAGTGCGGGAACCAGAGTTGCCAGGGAGGGACCTGATCGGCAGGTCAACCAGGAGCCAGAAATGCGGATGATGCAGGAGCAACGATCGGCGTTGCCAGTGCACAAAGGTAGCTTGACCTAATGTCGCGAAGAGCGGACACTAAACCAAACTTAAGACCAGATGTGCGGAGCGGATAAGAGCGGAGGACGAGATGAGAGCGATGAGCGATGGATGCAGATGAATACTGAAGCGGTGTATTGACGAAGAGGTCAAGCTGAGGAAATACAGAGGAATCTACCTAGCTTATATACCTATTCTACAGTCTACATAGCCGCGATGAGTCAAAATGACGAAAGGGTGGTGAAACACAGAAGAACAATAAAGAAGGTCACAAGGCTGCGCGGGGCTGCGCGAAGAACAAGGAGAAGACAATAGAAGGGAGTCACGAGGCAGTGCGAGAAGGAAGAACAATAAGAAATAGGGCAGAGGGTACATCGAGGCAGTGTTCCATGAGAGAAAGAGTCCGTATGAATAAAGGTAGAAATGAGAATAAAGGAGGGAACGATAAGGGAGATGAAAGTGATAAGATAAGATAATGGAAAAATAGGGGCTCGTACCCGCTGTTCACGACATACACACTGCCTTGTATTACCTTTCGACTCATTCTGACGTCTTTCTACTTCATTATTGTTTTATCCTTGTTCTTCGCGCAGCCTTGTGACTATCTTTTATTGTTCTTCTGTCTTTCACCATTTGCTCGTCATCTCAACTCATCGTGGCTATGTAACTGGTAGAATAGGTATATAAGCTAGGTAGTTCGCTCTGTATTTCCTTAGCTTGACCTCTTCGTCAATACATCGACATAGCTTTCTGGTCTAACTTGTCGCTCATCGCTCTCATCTCTCTCGTCGCTCTCCGCTCTCTGGCACTTCCGCTCTGGTTTTAAGGTTTGGTTTGGTTTAGTGTTCGCTCTTCGCGACAGTTTCGTCAACTGGGCCCGGCGGGAAACAGCCTCCCGAGTCCACAAGGTATATTATGCTCGCACGCGTTTGAGCGCGAGCTGCGCCCTGCTACGCCTGGACCGGAATCATGAGATCTCAGTCGAGGCTGAGCTGAAGTCGTTTAGAAGAGCCCTTGTTCCAGTTCTTGACATAGGAAATTACCTTAGATTGATTCGGGTATTGGTTGTAGGATTTCGATCGTTGAACTGATTCCATCTGACGGCCAGACTAAAATTATCTCAATTAGGGGAGATGCATAAGTTTGAACTCTAACCCTCGATGCAAGCTTGCAGATCATCTGTAGGAGATGGGGCTCTGCTAAGTAGGGGGGCTAGTAGGGGCTGCTTGGAATATCTGGGCTGTCGTCCTTGTCTCGTCAAGGCGATACACCACATGGTAATCTCGGTGGCTGTTGGCAACAGCGAAAACGATGACGGGGGAGCGAGAATCAGCACACGCGCTCCTTTCATCGTCCAGGCGGGCAGCGCGACTAAAAACGGTCCTCTACAAGCCTACCACGCGGAACGCACCTTACTTAGGTATATCTCGCGTCGAACTCGATATCACGGCTCGACCATCAGAGCGCAGCACCGAGGAATCTCTCTGATAGGAGGAAACATGAGCGCCAACCGCCCATAGTGACAGTTGCGGACCCTGACATGTGCACAGGGCTTGTTCGGACAAACGTCTGATTTCGTTTTGCCTATATCATCACCGACAACATGCGCTGTCCAGAGTCCTCAGCTCCTTTCTTTCCTCCCTTTCCTCCTCCTGGGCCATCCATCGTGCGCCCAACGCTACACTCGGGATGATCATCAAGCCCTATCTCGCGCTTCTTGTTGCATTCTCCAGCTCCTTCGGAGCAGTCACAGCCCAACGCCGTTGCGGCTCTGAAATCTCAGCAGCGAAGCAAGCAGCGCTAGAGGCCGACTTCCAAGCCAACCAAGCCTCGACTGCAGCCTCTGCATCCGAACTCGGCCGCCTCCGCCCAACGTTCAACGTCGTCTGGCACGTCATCTCTCGGGATGGGACACCAGAGGGCGGTGACATCAGTGACGCAGCTATCAACGACCAAATTGGCGTCCTCAACACCGCGTTCCGACCTACTGGCCTTCGCTTCAACTTGAGGAAGGTCACCCGACACGCCAACGAAACTTGGTTCTCGTTCGCGGTCCCGGAGTCGCCCATCCAAACTGAGATGAAGACTGCATTGAGGGAGGGTGGAGCAACCGATCTGAATGTCTACAGTGTGGGGTACGTCTCTGTGGCATCTGCTAAGCACCTTGGATCTGACTGATCGCTTCTTTTAGATTCGAGGATCCAATGTGGTTCGGCCTCCTTGGCTATGCTACCTTCCCCAGCGACTACAGAAAGGCACCCAAAGACGATGGTGTCGTCGTCTTTCACGAGTCACTCCCTGGTGGGCGAGCTGCCCCATACAACCTCGGCCAAGTGCGTATCTATCCTTTCCAGCGACGAACGGAATGGCGCTGACGCTCGATGGTAGACTCTCACCCACGAAGTTGGCCACTGGCTAGGTCTCTACCACACTTTCCAGGGAGGCTGTGAAGGACGTGGAGATGCTGTTATTGATACCCCTGCTGAGGCTACGCCGGCCTCTGGATGCCCAGTTGGACGCGATACCTGCCCAGGTGGCGGACCGGACCCAGTCCGTAAGTAGTCGATTTGCGCTTTCGTCTTGCTGAACATCGCTGACACGTTCAACCGCCTTCCCTAGAGAACTACATGGACTACTCCGATGACGCGTGCATGACTACCTTCACCCCTGGACAAGTGGTCCGAATGCTTGCTCAGACCATCGCGTTCCGTGCGTTCCGGTGATAGATGCGATTACCCAGCGTATCCGGCCTTTTGTATTTAGTCTTTAATGGTAATTCATAATTCTTATCTCACAGAGATTGGCTTCGCGAATGAGTCCATCAACTTCTTTCGTGCGATTCCGTGACAATCAGTACGCCGCTAATGGAGCGAAGTCACCAATCGAGAGTCGATTCTCCCTGTTTTTGCTACAGGGGCTCAAGTTGTCCGCGCTAGCCAGTCCGCCTCACAGTGCTTTCGATGCTGTATGTTTTGAACTGGTGGTGATGCCGGATTCCTCCCTTGGCATCCTAGTCGTTGGAAACCCCGAGTTCCCTCCAGGCCTTGAAGCATAGAAACAAGGGGAAGACCTAGGAGCTGAGATCTGGATTCACTGAAATATTGTAGCTGGACCCTGGAGGGGTGTTGCGTTGGGAATGGTACTCTTACAGACTTGGTCATGCCTGCTACTGTTTCATGTCTGTTTCGTGTATAATGTATCGTCGTTCGTATTACTTCAAGTTGGTTGCTCAGTGGGATTGAATTCGAGTGCGGCGGGTGTAAGTCTTGCATTTGATCGCAATCGTCGGGCGCTTGTTCATGTGGTCGCTGATCTAGTAACAACCCCAGCTCTGTTAACGTACTCTTACCTCAAAGAAAAGAGCTCCACCGTTCAGTCGTCGTGTTACAGTGTGCTTTCTAGTGAAGTTTGTAATGGTGTCGTCCTCCCCTTGGCGCCTTACGGAACCATGAGCACCGGGTATGGCGGGAATGGATGATGGTTGTCCGGAAGTGCAAGACGACGATCGTAAGTTGTAAGCCGGAGTAGCGACGGATGAGTTCATTTCCCAGTTCTGCGTACGAGTAATGGCATGAAGGAAGCGACTGACCGCGTATAAAAGCGCGCTATGCTCAGTTGCAGGAAGGACAGCAACTTCACCTCTACCTCTTTCTTTTGAATCTTATCACTCTAAATCGCGTGTTTTCTTTCTACTGACTCTCCGGCTCGAACGCTACGACAGCGTACTATGTTCTTAAAATCCTATCTGGTCTTTGCGGTCACGCTCTCCACATCCGCCAACATCTTCACCAACGCACTCTCAGTGCGCCAACTTGGCCCCATCGGACGACTCTGCGGCAACGAACTGGACGAAGCCACCAAAGCCATCCTCGAGGCAGACTTCCAACTCAACCAGGTCCCTCCACCAGCCGGGATATCCACAACGTCCACCGCCGCCAACCTCGCAAGCCCAGTCAACGTCTTCTTCCACGTCGTCTCCAAGGACGAGACGCCCGAAGGGGGCAACGTACCCGACTCGGCGATTGACGAGCAGATGGACGTCCTGAATACGGCGTTTGGGGAGACTGGACTGCAGTTCCGCCTGGCGGAGGTGACGAGGAGTGTGAATGAATCGTGGTTTGGGAATGCTGATAAGAGGGGTCCGAGGAATTTTGAGATGAAGGCTGCGTTGAGGAGGGGAGGAAGGGCGGATTTAAATGTTTGGACTACTGGGTGGGTACATATTCAAGTTTTTGGTTACTTTTTGATTTATTACTGGTGGAGGTGTGGTAGATGCTGATGGGCTTTATAAGGTTGGCGTGGCAGGGACCAGGGAGCTCGTCGTTGCTGGGATATGCTACCTTCCCGGTGAATGTTACGGTTGAACCCGAGAATGACGGTGTGGTCGTTCTCTACAGCACCCTTCCGAAGGGAGACAACCCGCCATTCAACCTTGGTCATGTATGTCAGTTTTAATTCTATATCTACGTGCTTTACTCATGCATGCATACATGCGATAGACGCTGACGCACGAAGTCGGCCATTGGGTCGGACTGTACCATACCTTCGAAGGGTTCAGCTGCCGAGGCACGGGAGACGAAGTCGACGATACACCTCCCCAGCGCAACCCGACTACGGGATGCCCCGCCGACGATCCTACTCGTCCTCCCAAGAACAGCTGCCCGGCTCCGTCGCCCGATGAGGAAGACCTTCCTGATCCTATTCGTGAGTGCCTTCCAACAAGTTCGGTATTTGGATTTGAAAGAACTAATGGGAGACCTTTTCAGATAATTACATGGATTACTCGGACGATCGATGCATGAACGAGTTCACGCCCGGTCAGATTGAGCGTATGCATGCTCATCTAGCTACGTATCGAGGGATTGAGCTGAGGACTGGTGGTGGTGAGTATATATCTTGTCCGCCAACTTGGATGATGATTGAACTGATGGGCTCTAAAGCACCTGTCGCTGTAAGCGCTCGAGGTACCGTTCATAATTGAACATGATATACATGCACGCGAGCGCGGCAGACCATTGTGAAGCGAGTCCCGGCACTTTAGCTTATGTATCTTAGCACTGGTCTACGGTTCCTTGATATCGACCGAATATCTTAGTACTTTGATGCCTAATGTAATACGAGCTCGTATCTTTTTTATTCTCCCCAGAATTTCTGTCACTTTGATTCGAGCCTTCAGACCAAACGCACTCGTGGGCTGCCTCCTTCAACCGCGAAGTCAACGATACGGTACCAGCCAGCCCCGCCATCACTCCCCGCCCTCCGATCAGTCGGGAATCGGCTTCCTTCCCAAATCCAGAGTCTTCCGGCGGCTGGACATGTGATATGACGTCAACATCCCCACCCTCCAAAACAACTCCAAAAGCTGTGCAGCGCCCATCGCAACAAGGGTCCAGAATCCGATCGCGAGGGTGGGGCTTTTTGTGTGGGCGTGGAACTTCGGGAACTGCGGATTCGCACAGAGTTCGGATTGAGGGGTGTCGTCAAGTAGGCTCGTGAACCAGCTCGGTTCTTCCGAACTCCGCTGATGAAATCAGAACTCCACTGATGTGGAGAGGGTTCGTCAGAACCGGCTGGGCAACACGGTCGCGGTTTTGGCAGGAGGGTGCCGTGCGAATTTCGACTTCAAAAAATAGCGCGCTTCACGTACAGGGATCTGAGGTACGACGAGGGCTACATGGCCCATATGTTCTACTGCACCACTGAAAGCCAATCTATTGGTAATTAGTATACTGTACATTGTTTGTAGAGTTGGAATAATGATGATTTTGTTGATACAATTGAAACTGGATAGGATTTTCGACTGGAGGATGGGATAGGGAGGGGTACGAGGAGGGTCCAGGTGTCCGGTATTGACTATGAGATGTCGTTATTGCGGAGTTTGCTGAGAATACGGATGCGCTATGTTGGGGCGTTTGCTCGGGAGTCGGTGGGTAAGGACGATTGGCCACGTAACTGAATGGAGGGTGAGGAAGGCTCGGCGCTGGGGTTGACCTGGAGTTTAAAGGATCCAATCGGTAAGTAAAGCTTTTATCATCTGTTTTCTCGCTTTTACTGACTGTCGCTACTCATTCTCGTTCATCATTCCGATTATTCCCTCTTTCTGGACTGCTTCCAGGACAATTCTCTTCATTTTCCACCTTTAAAGCTTACCGTTTGCCATCAAATTTGAGAGAATGAATACAATCTATTGTCTGAGTTAATGTGCCAACCCTTGTAAGTATTGGTGGAGATTTGAGGAATAGGTAAGGAAAGCTGCTTTTCCAAAATGCGTTGAGAGGCGCGAATTTCCTAAGTCGAAATTCGCACGGTACCCGCCTGCCAAAACCGCGACCGTGTTGCCCAGTCGGTTCGGTACCCTCACCCTTTTGATTGTCCGCCATCATCAATCAGCGCCTTCATCACCAGTTCATCAATTTACTTGAGTCAGTGAGGGGACCGAGCCGACTGGTTCACGAGTCTAGTCGTCAAGGTGTCGTTTGATTTTTTCGTCACCCGCGAGCCCGACGGGAATCTCCTTTGGGCGACTTCTGCAGGATTTCTCCACTTTACTCCTCTCGTTATTTGCTGTTTGCTACCGCTCGTCACTCCTTCATACCTTTCTCTTCTCTGCTCTTATCAACGCATACCAACGCACATACCCAACACCCTACAACGCCCCTACAACATCCGACCGACCAAACATCCGACCAGACTAAGCAGACCAGACCCGGCAGACGAAGCAAGATCCCAAGAACTTTGAAGCAGCGGCTATATCTCGGTCCTCGGGTTCACTCTCTGCCAAGCTTTGTGAAGATTATCAGGAGAGCCCAGTTGTTCAAGTCGAAAGTCGAATTAGGCTTTTCTTCGATTTTCAACCGCCACTTGCTGCTGCCACCAACGCTTGGTCGACCAGGAGCTCGTTGTCTACAATAATCGACCTCGCTCTTTAGGAATAACCGACACACAATCACCTTCAGTCCCAGCGCATCCCTGCGATATCCATCGAATACCCCACCAGCGTTTCGATTCAGCGACATCGCCTGCTAGGAGTAGGACCTGGGTTTAGGAACTAAAGAGTGAAAGAGACGAAACGAGTATTATTGGTTGGTATTAGGAGGATTGGGAAAGTAATAATATGTCGAGTAAGTCGTCCTTCTTTATTCTTCTTCGCTTTCGAGTTGTTTGGATTTCGCTCGTTCGCATTTGGCTTCGCCTTTATTATTTCTTTCCCTGCTTCACTTTCTCGTGCATGAAATCCGGTGTGGCTTGGTGTGGCGTTATCGGTCCTGGCGTGGTCGTGTGGGTCCCCGAGCGGTGTCTCAAGCTTCAGCAACAAATTCGATATCGACGACGAACGAACGAATGAAACGACCGGCCCCTGGATTCTTCGAACACGACACACGATACTTCATTCGACGGAACTCACCCTCGGCCTCGGTCACGGTCTTCCCCTTTGGCGTCGAACGGGCATTTGGCTTCGGTGGTGGTCATAAAGTGGTACCCAATTATTCGGTTATTCATTCATTCGTTCATATTCGCTCTCCTTTTGCCTTTCTTATTCCACCCATCTCTTCACATCCCCCCTCTTCACTTCACATGACGTGCTGCGAACCTCCAGCACCATCATCATCTGGCGGGTGGAGAATCCAGAACCCTTCGTTCATCCCGGTCACCTCGCATTCAAAAGCCACAGCGAGCGAGGCAATTGCCATTCTCGATTCTCTCCCACTCCACTCCTACCTGCTTCTTCCCTTTTCGAAGAGTTTCGAATTGGCTTCTCTTCTCTTCATTTGAATTGCCTCGTTGAGGGTCACGGCGATGTGCTGGGGTGATATTGGTGGGGGGCGAGTGGTTCTCTGCCGCATGGCTTGCTCCTTGTCGCTGAAGCTGGGGCACCCCTATCCACGCAGCGCGATGCGATGCTTTATACTGGATGGAATCAGGATGGATGGACGAGGTTGGATGGAAATGGGCAGCCTGGTGGTCACGTTCGCGTTTCTCCTGCGCGTCAGACGTTTGACGCCAGTGCCTCGTGTATCATTTCGACTGACCCTATCGCGGGTCATCTTTATTCATCTGCTCCTGTCTTCCTCATTTCGCTTGGGCCTTCGTTGCCTCGTCGCCAACAGCCAGCTCTGCTCCATTATACTTGTGTTTTTTTGTTTCTATTCTTATTTTGGCTGGTTGGACGCCCACTGGATAGCCCATCGCGAACGGCGCGCTATTGTCCGACGGAGAGCGGAGACTGGGCAGCGGGGGCACGTCCCATCGCTTTTTTTGACAGATGACGCAAGTGCGCGCGGCGCGCTTGGCTCCTCCATTCTTCGGGTCGATTCTTGAAACGTCACCACCCCTTTTCTGTTTTTCTCCTCCTTTTTACTGGATTGTTGGCGTCGATTGGGTGGGCAATCGTGTGCTGGGTCGTCGAATTCTTTTTTCAAAGGCGATCGGAGGGTGAAAAGGAGGGTTTTGTGGAATGACATTGGGAGAGACGGACGGGATTTGACTTGGCTTGGGCCGACGTTTTATGGTGGGGCCGATAGCCGACGTCCCGGTCATCCCTTTTCTTTTTCATTACTTGGCTTTTGTGGCGGTTCATACGACTTTGCTGGTTCTTCCTTCGCTTTCATCATCTTCTCTCTTCCCACTATCTTCGCCGTCTATCTTCGGGCGTCTACCCTTCACCCCTTTGATTTCTTTTCTCCGCAAAACCAGACAAGGAAACCGTATTCGTTTTGTGGAGGCTTGGAGAACGAAGCTTTCTTTTTGGGTCACCACTATCGATAACACCACGAAAGCCAAAAGCCAACTGTTCTCTACCAACCGCGGGGAATCAACCGATCTTCGAGCCGTCGAATCATCGAAGTCTGGACTTCGATTTACATCGCGCTATCACCCAAACGTCAGCATAGACTAAAGCTAAGCTAATTGCGACGTCGCCGGGAACGACACTACGGTCCAACGAGGAGCTATCTGCCTATCAGTCTATTAACCAACCTACCTATTCTACGACACAGGCTTGCAACGCGGCAGAGCCTGCACATCTTTTTACGCGAACGAACGCACCGCGAGTGGGACGATTTCGATTTACAGTAACTCTGATCTCGTCACGCCTCGGAATTCAGGACGCACCGCGCTACCACGCCAGACCAGACCGCACCACCACCACTGGATTTATCCACCCCTTTTCCATTCTTCGATTAGTTATTTAAGGGTGAAAGAAGGATGTCGACTACGGACGAGACCGGGTCTGCTACGACTTTGACTAGTCCGAGTGTTGATGAGCCGTCTTTGCCTTTACCTTCATCTTCGTCTGAGACCAGTGAGCATTGGGCGTTTATGTCTTCCTCTTCATCTTCCTCTTTTTCTTCTATTTTCTCTTCGTCTTCCTCTTCATGGTCGTCGGTACCTCCTTCTTCTACCCATTCCCCGCCGTCGTCGACGTCCAGGACTTCCACTAGGACAAGGCCTGAAGTGACAATAGGGATGACTTTTCTATTCCTCTTTGTTTCTCCTGCTATCTACCTCTCCCGTCTACGATATACGTACTAACCTCACTCCCTCCTCACCAACAGCATCCGATATCTCCACCCCACCACTCAGCCCACCCGTAACACCAAGCGTTCCACCACCTTCATCTCCGCCCGTCTCACCATCCCAACCACCACCCACCACACCACCCGGCGGCGGCGACGATGACGACGACGACGGCCCTCCGCCGCCATCCTCTTCGGATCCCGGCTCGAGTGTCCCGCCGAGTTCGACGCCGAGTAGTGAGAGTACGGAGCCTACGAGTGAGAGTACCACTGAGAGTGTGACGGAGAGTACTGCTACGGAGAGTTTGACTAGTGTTTTTGAGAGTGCTAGTGTGTGAGTGTTGTTTGTTGTTTTTTTTTCGGGTTGTTTTGGCTTCGTTTCGTTTCGTTTTTTTTCCCTTTATTTTTATTGTTGTTGGTGGTGGTCATGCTGTCCGGGCATGGAGAGGAACGAGGAGGATGGCTATCGGAGGGTGGTCCACCGCGGTGATTTGGTTATCGCGGCTGGCATACGATCTGATGCTCATGCGAGTCGTGATGACGTCGTCGACGGCTTCTTCCTTCGCGCGTTCGTGCCTTCGCTGTGTTCCTGGGTAAATTCCGGAGTTATTCCAGTTTCCTTTTCTCTTATCCCTCGATTTCGCTTCATTGTATTTCTCTTACCATTCCCCTTACTTATTTGGCGTCTTTTTATACAGGATAACCTCAGATGGCGTTGAAGTAACCACGCTGATCCAAGTCACGACCACCATTGAGCCAGGAGGGGTCATCACCTCGCCTGCGAACAAGGATGACGATAAGGGCACACCAACAGGTGCCATCGTTGGAGGTGTCGTTGGAGGCAAGTATCATCTCGTCGAACTCGTTATTCCATAGGGGCTAACCTCTTTCCAGGAATCGCGGGTCTAATCGTTATCGGCGCCTTCCTCTTCTTCCTCCTTCGCCGAAAACGCAACAAATTTGACAAGGAATTCGACGGCAACTTTGACCCGGACTACGTCACCGCCGCTGCAGCCTCGGGCGCAAAAAAGCCGGGTTCGGCTCACAAACGCAAATCCGGATCGATGGATGCGAATATGCGGCAAAGGGTTAACCTTGATGATCCTGCCAGCGGCAATGGGAATGGAGGTGGTCTTGAGGCGGCGTTGGCGGAGGATGATGGTATGGGAGGAAGGTTGGCTGCGAGTACGGTTGGTGGAGGGATTGTTACGCCTTTCCCGTATCCTCAGCAGCAACCCCAGCAGCAGCCGTATCCTCCGACGTTCCCGCAGCCTCAGCAGCCGTATGGCCAATACAACAACAACAATGGTGCGGCTTCGGTACCTGTTGGTGGAGTGTACGGTCAGAGCCCGTATTCGCCGCCTATGCCGACTGTCAGCCCGCCGCCTTCGGGTAGCGTGAACGGGCACAGCGCGCATGGGCATGGGGTTAACTACTATGATTATGCGAATCAGGGAGCGTACGGTGGGATCCAGGATCCTCGACAGCAGGGATATGGAGGTGTAGTGTCGCCTGTCTCGACTGGCGAGGGTAATCCGTACCTCGGCGGGCACAGCGCGTCGAGCCATGCAGGAAGCCACTACCCCTCGCCCTCGCTTTCGTATTCGAACCCGCAGAATGCGGCTACAGCTGCTGCGGTAGCCGCTGCGGCTGCCAACACGCGCATCCCGCCTTCGAACACGACTGCGACGACCACGTCGACGTCGAGCGATGGAGGGAGGAAGACGATGAGTGCGAAGGAGAGGGAGGCGTTGGGGCAGAGGGGGCCGTATGTTGTTAATGTTACGGACGAGGATGGGGAGCGGGGGTCGGGGTCTGCGAGGCCTGTGGCGCAGAGGGAGGCGACTGGAGGGAGTGTGGGTTCGGGGCCGTTGCCATCGCCGTATGATACGCAGTCTGACGGGAATGGGAGTGGGGGCAACGATGTGCCGCCTGTTCCCCCTGTTGTGCAGCATAAGGATGGAGGGAGGGTTGAGCCGCCGAGGGTGCAGGAGGAGGAAGAGGAGCCACCGGCGGAGATTCCGCCTGCGTATGATAGTATCCAGTATGAGGGTGATACGTCTAGGCGGTGATTTTTATCTTCTATCTCGTTTTCATTAGACTTTTTTTTTTCTTCGTTTGTTATGATTGAATGACGAATTACTTACTTACTTTACTGACTTTCCTTTTTTTTTATGCTTTTGCGTTTTGATGAATGCAACTACTCTCTATCACCGGTGGTGGATCGGGGTTATCAGTCACGTTTTGGGAAGTGGGGTTGCCTTATCCAGCATTTCGAGGAAGGGATATCATTCAATAAACTGTATGGACACAAAGGGGACGATCACTGCGGAACTGATCCAGAACTCAAGGGAGCACCTCAACACAACGAGAAGCCATCTGGCGCGCTTGGAGCCTGCTGCTGTCGCTGGTGGCCCGGGGAACAAGGAGGCGTCCTAGAAGGTGTCGTCGTCTGACTGTAGCGTCGCCTCCTGTAGGTCTCTGAGAACGGGCACAATGATGGTGACGAGGAGGATGGCCGCTTACCAGTCCGAAGTTCGATCCCGCGGTATGTACCGAGTTGGTCGTGCATTCGTTCGACTTGGCCGTTGGTGAATTCACACATGCATCTATCGTAGGAGTAGTCCATGTAGTTTCCTGGTGATCCGGAGAATCGAGATTGGGAGTGAGCGGGGGTGGATCCGAGTGAGCGGGGGTGTGTAACAGTGTATAGATTCAACTTTATTTGGGTGAACTTACTGTAGGAATCGGGTAGGTCGCCTGGTTCGCCTCGTCCGCACGAGTTCTTCCATGGGCTCAGCGGGCAGCCGTCGGTTGGGGTGGATTGGGGAGGTGTGTCGTCTACGAAATCGCCGTCGCCTTCGCAGGAGAAACCTTCGAAGACGTGGAAGAGGCCGGCCCAGTGGCCGACTTCGTGGGTGAGGGTCTGTTCGATGAATAACAAGTAAAAGGTGGGGTGTGAGGTGAGTTATGTGGAATGGAATGATTATGTGGAGAAATGTAAAGTAGACGTACGTGCCCGAGGTTGAAGTAAACTTGGTTCCCGCCGGGTAGGGTTGTGTATTTGATTGCTACCCCGTCGTTCTCCGGCTCTGTGGTGATGTTGGCTGGGAATGTGGCGTATCCGAGTAATCCACTAAGTTCGGTGAATCTGCATAGTTAAGTGTAATTCCCAACCAGAATTCAGAGTTTCGCGAGTCAGCTATAACACCTAGACCAGAAGATAATTCAGATTCTTACCCGGTGGACCAGACGTTCAAATCCGCTGCCCCGCCCTTTCTCAACGTTGCCTTCATCTCATAGTTCAACTCATTCCTGCGGAACGCTCCAGCGAACCAAGTGGGGTGTACAGTCCTCGATACATTGACGAGGGTGAACTGCATGCCTGTTCCCTCGAAGGCGGTATTGAGGACGTCCATTTGGGTTTGGATGGCCGAGTCGGGGATGTTCCCGCCTTCGGGTGTCTCGTCGCTTGATATGACGTGCCAGAAGAGGTTGATTGGCCTGGCGCGGGCGGTGGATAGGGATGATGCTGTGGATGGGGGAGGAGGAACGCGATGGGCGAGGAAGGCGGCTTCCATTTGTGCCTTTGTGGCGTCGTCGATGGTGCTACCGCATCGTTCGGAGACGGTAAGCGCGTTGGTGAAGATTTGAGTGGAGGTAGCGACAATTGTGGCGAATGCGAGGTAGGATTTGAAGAACATGGTGGTATTTCGACGGTGGTATGCCTTGGAGCCGTCGAACGATAATTAGATAGAGAGTAGAGTGGTACTGGATGTGCTTCTCTGACTCTAGCACGGGTGTTGTGTTCTTCCAATCCCTGAACCTGTCCCATTTTATATCGAATTCAAGAGGAGGAGGCGGTGTCCACCCTCAACCCGCGAAACCCAGACAAAGCTCACGGACATGCCTTGCCGCCACTCAGGATCGGCAAGCACCCGCCCCTACAACTGTGTCCATAATTTCTAAGCACATCCGGCCCCAAAACGCCCACGGAAGGCGCCAAGGCGAGGATTCGACCTGGGCTTGGGGACGCCATGGACTCACTTGCCCAGCGGTACTTTGACTTGACGTAAGGAAGTGCGCAGTTCTGGGTTCTTCAGAGGTTGATTCTCTCATAGGCTTTGGCCGCCCGTCGTCTCTATGGCATTTATTGGCGCTTAGTATGATGAGTATCAAGACTTGGGTTTCTCCGATCTATAGCGTCTAGTCGTAGGTAATGGTAAATTGGTTGTGGATCATAAGCGCCAAGGTATTGAAGGGGAAATCCAAGCACCCTTTCGGGTGTCAGTGGGGTACATAGCGACCTGGGACGTTGGTTGTGCGGTGATACAGGAACGGTATACCGTGACATTTTTGTCGCGCTTGGAATTCTGGACTACGTTTCATTGATCGTTGACCCAGGGATCAATGGATGCTGGGCGTTAATCCCGACTGAGTTGCGTTTGTGGGTTGCCCGTAGATGGGCGTGCACTTTTTTGCCGACTGGCAACCGACCTTAGCTCAGCTGGAAGAGCACGAGACTGTAATTGGTTGCATTGAATCTCGGGGTCGCCTGTTCGAGCCAGGCAGGTCGGATTGTTTTTGCTCCATACACAGAAGGAAGATCATGGGAGTGGATTTCGTACATTCACTGTCAGGAGTTTCTTCCCGCCGTTTCCTTCTCTACGGTGGAGTACCCTCATGTAGCCTACACAGGTATACATGCTTTCCTCCCGTTAGTTGCTGTGATGTACCCTGACAAGTTTCTTCTAATACAATAGCAAGGGGACACACGAACATACGTTAAGTGGGCCAGTGGCTTTATAGAGCGAGTTGACCCTCATTGTGGTGGGTATCGACGTTGTTTGAGGAATCCCCAAAACAATACAAGGAGGATGTTGCGCCCCCGTCAGACTTCGGTTAATCTGGACTAGGCCAGACTGTAGTCAGGGGGAATATAAACGAGGGCTGTAGTGGAGGATCGCCGGCAATCACAACTCCCCCGGAAAACCCCAAACCCCAGGTACCTTCGTCATATATCAGCGCCCACCTGCAAAGCTAATATAGGTGTTAACGGTGTAGAGAGTCTACTCGGAATGCACCAATCCCTCAACACATGGCTTGCCGACCATCTGCATACTCCAAAGGCCCGTGGCATTGAAGAAGACCCGAGCAGGACCCATCAACTTCGGCGGGCTATACCAATAGAGGCGGCACTGGAGGAGACTTTCACGTGGGTTCGTGTCTACGATGCGTTAAAGAAGATGGGCGTAGTGTTGCGGTCGGTATTTGGGCAAGGTGGACGAGGGTGGATCAGAGGGGGTCCCAGTCACAGAAAGCGCTTGGAGGACAATCCGCGACGGAAGGCTAGCAAACTATAGTGGCATTACTGCGGATCTCCCAATATTGTATTGTTTTTAGTCAACATTCAATGTGAACTCGCTTATGGACGACCATCCCAACTCGAGTATCATCGCCAGACTCCGATTCAGAATTGGGCGCTTCGGCTTTGAATCCAAGGAAGAGAATTCCGGTTTGATCGGATCTGATGCAGTTGATTTGACAGGATCACACTCCAGCGTTTCCTTCTGTTGTTCTCCTTGTTCCTTTCGTGGTGAACCCATAACAGCGCTATCCAGGCCAACACCAACTCTCCAGCCTGGACGAAGAACGTCGGGTTCCGTCCAGCGTTCTTGTCGTACATCTCTTCCAGGAACCCGGTCTTGAGGAGAACAACAGTCGAATGTGATACACCTCCGCTGGCGGGTTAATCCCGTATACGGTGTCGATGTCCTTTTGTTGTATTCTTGTGGTGATACTAATAACAAGAGCTCCAAAGAGTCGGTGCGATGTCACGGAAATCGTTTTTCATATTGCAACAACAACGGCAACAAGAGCTCGCATTCGCTTTTCGTCGTTGGGGCCCAGTTTCCCACCACCGTCTTTTTTGTTCTTCAGCCACTCATCCGTTTTATCGTTGCAGCGTTTCGCATAGAAAAGGCACACAGTCGAAATGGATCATGGCCAACGCAACGATATTACGACCCTCTGACGGTATTCCTGCTCGTCCTGCGACGCGACCTTGCGCTGACGATATGCCTCTAGATTTAACGTTCATTCCTTCTCCTCGTTAACGACATCACGACGTCACTCTCCTGTGTCACGCTCCTCATGAGACGACGCTTTGAATTTTTCAGATCAAAGAAAAAGGCTCGTCAGCCCCCCAATGTACATGTTTTGACAGAAGAACACCCACAGCCATCTATCCTTGCCGAGTTGCACCAGTCACCAATATCCGATCCATATGAATCACGTCCACTTCCGCCTCTTCCTCCTGAGGCGCTAGCAACACGGGGCCCAGCGCGTTCGTCAACGGATCCTCTGGCACCGCCTTCACGGGGAGGGTCATCCGAAATATCAGACCTCTTCGCGCATCCCAGCCGCTCACGCCGATACCTTGCTCGAATCAGGGGGCAGCCAACACACAGTGCCCCGAGGTACCGGGCAAACAACAACTCTGCGAAGGATTTTGGCTTCGAGTGTCATCTCGACCTGACGAATGAACTTTCCCCGCCTGGGCGCTGGCGAACTCCTGTCCACAGGTCTTATAGGCCTAGTATGGGTGGCATCGACGAGCACCCACAGACGGAAACAAGGTCTGCCTCTAGCAAGGGCACGCGATCCGATGGCGTACGTCGGACAAGCCTCGAGCCTAGCCACTTCCATGCACCGCGACGGGTTGAAAACCATTCTGGGTCCGCCATTGCAGGTCCTTCCACTTCACCAAATGCGGCGCAGGCTCGGCCCAGAAGGAATCGGGGGCATACACTCGACTCGATCTTAGCCGAGCTATTCGAAGCAACGGAACCTTCCCGAGGTACGACCCAGACTCCGTGGTGTCTTGGCTTTGTAGTATTGACAAACTGGCAGATCCAATTCGGAATTGTCGGTTAGCCAGCACGGAGTCTTCCAAAACGACCTTCGCGACTCAACTCACTTGGGTGCCTGCTCGGATACTTGCCCCAAGGCTGCATGCACACCATGGTCCGCTTTCTCACACCACAGGTATGCCTTGTTCTCTTTCAGGAAGCAACGCAATCTCTGACTGAGCGACATTTGAACAAGAGCAAGCTGACTCAAGGGCCCGCCAATCGCATGCTGAATCCAGTTCGGTATCATCATACATCTCGGATACAACCTCGAAGCCTAAACCAACGAACACGGTCACGCCGATGTCGTCTCCTGGCCCTTCTGCCAACCAATTACCTTGCAACGACTACATCACGCTCGAAACCAAGAGGGAAACTTGGACGTCCAGAAAGGGAACCGACGATTCAGAAGATTGCTCTTCCATCCGGGCACAAGTTGGCACGCGTGGAACGGTGGCTTCTGTGGATGTCACGGAGTCCATCGATTCAGATTCTTTGCTGGGTGAGGTGTTGACTATGCGGGGCATCGCCGTCGAGGCTCGAGACATGTGCCGTGTGATGGTGACGTCTGTGGATCGGATCGAGAGCCTCACGGATGCCCTGTGTGAACAACATAAGGCAAAGCTGTCGCGTCGCCTTGAACGAAGAAGATTACGGAATGAACTTTTGTTGGAGGGGGATGAGACACAGACGCAATTACTCTATTAATAAACTTCGTGCTTAGATGTCATAATTTTAGCCGAATAAAGAATATAATCCCTTCCATTCCTCCCTAGACTCATAACCAGCCTGAGAACGAAAATTTTTGAAACTGGGAAGAGAATCATCGCATAATTCCTCCAAACAAACTCCAAGTGATCAGCGTTGCATTGTCTCCGGCGGTGATTCAAACCAGGTCCCCGTGCAGCCAACCCAAGTTGCCGGGGTTCTTGGACCAGTAGCTTCGAAAGCGAGATTTTCTCAAAGCACGGGAACGTGTTGAAACTTACAACATACTACCGGGCTTCTTCTGAACCTGCACTGACGGCCAGAGCATTGCTCATGTCTGTGAAGTGACTGAAGCGAACATCTTTTTGTGCAACAGCAACATATGTTAGAGGTGATTGCTCGTTCAAGGTAAGCGCTGTCGTGTTCGCGCTTTAAGAGTCACTTTTAAATGCCAACGAATAGCTATGACACAAGACTGACATATATATATTGGGTCTTGCTTCCTTCGATGATTCTCCGCCTCGTGGTCATGCGCTCGCGTAAGGTGTGCAGTCCACCGGAGTCAGGGTGGTGGGCAGACCCTACAGACCTTTTAAGTATACTGTCTGCTCAACTCGAGCACACTCTGCGCACTGAATGTCGGTTTTTAACGATTCATATTCAAAGATGGAAGGTACCGTTGCCCTGATGGTTTAGGCGCCTGGGAATACATTAAGCGCCCAAGGCACGTGGCCGCGGACCCGAGGCCACCAGCATTTATCGAGGCTTTATCGAGGCCTATTTGAGACGAAGAGTGCTTGTTGCCATGTCTAACGGAGTTGACAGGAGATCCACCTTTTTTGTTGCTGTTCGATTTCGGCTAAGGTTTCCTCATGGCGCACCACCACGCAAAGTGACTAGTGACTCGTATAACTGCAATAGTCTTCCATTCCCCAGCCCGTGGAAATGCTTCTCTGAGGACTCGAAGAAAGTAGTATATAAGGATACTAGACAGCTGATTAGAGCTCTACGTCGCTTAAGCACAGAAAGCACCCATTGCACCGTGTCTCTTTGCTTAAGCTGCCTTAACTCTTCGACAATCTATCCAACGCTTTCCTCTGTCAATTCCATTCACCCTCTGAACTCAATCGACATGTCGTCTTCCAGTACCGCTCCACCCAAACGTACCAATGGTACCAATGACTCTGGTACCGGTACTCAGTCACTAGCGTCTCGCCCGGACATGAGACAGCTATCGCCCCATCCGAAGTACAACCTGACAGGCGCAGATTTCTTCGTACTGGTAGGTCGCCTGGTATAGCAGCCTGTTTATTGCGCTGACAGGCGATTCTGCTGATTAGATTGGAACGACTATCTTTGGATTCCACTACTTCTACATCGAACGCGACACTACGTCTTTCCTCCCATCCCCTTCCAAGCCACTCAAACCTGGAGAGAAGCGAAAGAACGAGTGGAACTCGGAGCACAAGGCACTCGTTCTGACTGACCAAGACGTCTCTATTGAAGAGTTCGAGAACTTCCTTTGGGTTTTCTACAACGAGTACGTTCCTGTTTTCTGTGCTGTTGTCCTTTGTCTAACCTTTCAACAGGGAATACGACAAATACGAAGCGCCTTTGCTTACCTGGATTGGAATCCTCAAACTCGCCACTCGATGGGGTTGCACGAAAATGACGCGACTTGCCCTCGCGGAGGTCGTCAAGCGTGAGGAAGAGGTATCCACCGTGGATCTCATCGTTCTTTGCACACAGAAAGGCGCTCCCAGAAATTACCGCCTTCGCCTTCTGACACGCCTTGCGACCCGCGAGACCGCCCCCACCGAGGAAGAGGAGAAGGCTCTGGGACCTAAGATGACTTGCAAGCTCTTCAGAATTCGCGAGGAGATTCGTTCTCCAGGAGGCCGGAGCCCTGTTCCCAACGGGCTCGATGGGGTGGAGGCTACGTCTATTGTTGCAACCTTCTTAGGCTGGGAGTACATTCCGCCTGCGTCTACCGCTGGTACGCCATTAACGACGTTTTGGTTGCTTTCAGGCTGACATCTTCATGCTCAGGAGGCAGCGATGTTCCCACTCTTCATCAACCTTCCCTGCCCAACGGAAATGGTGGCGCGTCGGGGAGTCACAGCACCGGTGGGGCCAACGGTAATTCGAAAACGACGTGATCTATCGCAGTGCTTCAGATTCGTCGTCCAGCTCATCTCGTCTATCTTGTCAATCATTCCTTTCGTATGGTTGTTATTGTCGTGATGCTAGAGCTGGCTATTGAGAGAAGATACCCATCCTGTACTTGTATTTGTGTCCCTTTACTGGTATGAATGAAATCGTTCTTGACTTGCACAATGTTTGGCGAAAGTGGGCGGTGATGGGTTTTCCACTGACAAGGATTCGAATTTCGGATGGTGATTGAGATACCGTGACGTTCAATGGGCCTAATGTTCGAAGCCGTGAGAGGGTCACAATCTTGCATCGGTAGTGACTAGAGTACTTGGGAAAAGGAATCGTATTCGAAGAGGGTTCTCCCTTGTGGCCACTCGCCGTTCTGTTATTCTCCGCCTCGTGATCGAGTTGGCGCACACAATGAAGACTGCGCCGCAGCCTACCGGAGTTGGCAGATCATACGGTGTCTTCACAGTGATTGTCTAAAAGTAGAACTACCCAGAGTAAACCATTAAGCGCCCAAAGCACGTGTCGGGGTTCGCCGGCCCATTCGAGAGAAAGACTAAGCATCTTTGGTCGCCATATAAGACGGAGCTTGAAAGGAGATCTAACTCGTTTCTATTGAAGAAATAGCTCAGGCTTCCTCGTGGTCAGCCACGATTTGAATTAACCCTTATCTCGCTGACAGCTTTCCTTTCCGCAGTCTGTCAGGGAAGGTCGGACTTCGACTTGGCTTTCGAAAGCTTTATAAGCCTGGATGGCTCATTTGGAACCCCCATCGCTTAAGCACCGAAGGTACCCTGCATCTTGCTATCGTTGCTTAAGCCACGCGGCCGTGCCCTTGAATCCATCTTTCCTGCCTTTGAATAATCTGATCTCGACGTCATGTCAAGTGGCAATTCCAACCGTGTTGCTAATATACCCCAGCTCTCCCCTCACCCCAAGTATACTCTGACTGGCGCCGACTTTTTTGTCCTGGTGAGTGTGGATGTAGCTCTTCCTCCAGGATCACGCTCACTCGCCTATCTTGGTGGAGATTGAAACCACCCTATTTTCTTTCCATTACTACTTCATCGAGAGGGATACTACGTCGTTCCTCCCGCCGCCGAAAACAACCCTCAAACCTGGAGAGAAGCGCAAGAATGAATGGAACTCACAGCAAAGGGCGCTCGTACTGACCGACCAAGACGTTACGGTGGAGGATTTCGAGAATTTCTTGTGGATTTGGTATAACGAGTAAGTCATATTCTCGTCTGCCCCTACTCTGTCCTTACAGGTCGCCTTTTTTAGTACCCACAACATTTACGATGCCCCACTAATCACCTGGGTGGGTATCCTGAAACTTGCAACCCGCTGGGGCTGCAAGGAAATGACCCGTCTCGCCCTATCAGAAGTGGTGAAAAGAGAGAACGAGCTTCCCCTTGCCGAGCTCATTGTTCTATGCTCTCAGAATAGCGCCCCAAAGGATTACCGCCTCCGTCTGTGGACACGCCTCGCAATGCGAGAAACTGCACCCAGCGAAGAGGAAGAGAAAATACTTAGTCCGAAGGCTGTTTGCAAGGTTTTCCGCATGCGTGAGGAAGTTCGCTCTCCGGGAGGGAGGAGCCCTGTCCCTGACGGCGTCGACGTGGAGGAGGCTACCTCAATTGTTGCGGGGTTCTTGGACTGGGAGTACACTCGCCCTGCAACTAGCTCTGGTGGGTCCTACCAATGACCATCTTCCAATCGACCTCGAGCTGATACCTTCACACCTCATGCCCAGTGAAAATTAGAAACGCACCAAACCGCGTGAAATCGCAAAAATCCGCGTGTTTTCTGCAACATTCTGCAATGTTTTGGGAAGTACTGCATGTTGCGGAAAAACACAGTAATTGAGACAAATGCAGATCGTTTTCTGGGGAATATGCGTACAATAGCCGCCACTTTCCGCAAGGCTCTCGATGATCAGAATGCAATGAATGCAGACAAACGCAGAAAGCTGCGGATATATTTGATGGGCTACCGAATACGCTGGATCTCAGCTACCCGTAAAAAACCGCATATCGCCGCATTGAGCTGCAGCCAGCCAGCCAGCCACCCCGCCTCCACTTCTCCTTCTTCCGCCCTCCCCCTTCATTCAGCCCCGCTACCCTCTTCCTGATGGCTCTCCGTAGCCTTGCTGCTCCTAGTGCTCTTCTTCCCCTTGCCCTTGGTCCCCTTGACTTTGCCTGATGTCGCGCTACCACAAGGAGAGACTCTCATGTTAGATCAATGTCATCACGGATGAAACTGAGAAAAAACATACACTTTCTTGGCCATTTTAGCCTCGGCCTCGGCCTGTTCCCACTCCTATAAGACATATCAACCATCGTTAGAACCGTGGAGAGATCACCACACAGTCTGCAATGCATGGCTCACCGATTTGTCTTCCAGACCATCCCAAATCACCTTGTATTGAGCCGCCGTAAGGTGATCGCCATTGGCCAGGTTTGGATTTTGCTCTAAATAATGTTTGAGGTAAAGATTTCTACGCCAGTGTCAGCAGCGTCGAAAGGGGTGCTGAAGGAAAGAGAATCATACCGTGCGGAAAGGGAATCATTAGGGATGGCGAGAGCAGGACTCTTGCCTTTCTTCGTCGCTTTCTGCTTCTTTGGTGGAGCTTCGACAGGCTTGTATTCGATTTCAAGCTCCTTGGGCACAGGCAGTTGAGCGACTCCGGCACTAGACAGTGTAAAGGGCAGTAAGAAGAAATATCACTCAAGAACACACGGGCGAGCACTAACAGTAGATTTTTCCGCTTCAAGCGGGGAATCTGAACGCTACCGCCACCTTGGGTATCTAGTGAGAAGTATCATCAGAAGGATGAAGGTCTTAAGATGTCTAAACGTCACCTTGAGGTACTCCATTGCCTGAATTCTTGCTCCCATTGACGGTACCTGCACCGGCCGGACCAGCAGGTGGAGTGCTGGCAGCTGTACCAGCAGTCGCAGAGGGAGGGGTGGGTTGCTGGGCGGCGTTCTGATCGGTTCCGGCTGTACCAGCAGTCGCAGAGGGAGGGTTGGGTTGCTGGGCGGCGTTCTGACCGGTTCCGGCGGTCCCAGCAGTCCTAGAGGGAGGGGTGGGTTGCTGGGCGGCGTTCTGATCGGTTCCGGCTGTACCAGCAGTCGCAGAGGGAGGGTTGGGTTGCTGGGCGGCGTTCTGACCGGTTCCGGCGGTCCCAGCAGTCCTAGAGGGAGGGGTGGGTTGCTGGGCGGCGTTCTGATCGGTTCCGGCTGTACCAGCAGTCCTAGAGGGAGGGTTGGGTTGCTGGGCGGCGTTCTGACCGGTTCCGGCAGGTGGAGACAACGACGAGGAGCTCGCAACTGGAGTGGGACTGGAAGAAGACGATGCCGCTGGTTTCGATTTCGTCTTCTTCTCAACCAATTTGAGACGTTTTGAGGGACGCTTCGCAACGTCGTCATTGTCGCAAGAGTCCGAGTCCGAGTCCGAATCAGAGTCGTCGTCACCAAGGCGTTTGTTTCCTGAGAGAAATGTGTGACGTGTCACCAAAAATAGTAGCCGAAACACTGACCTTTATTACCACCGCTATCAGTCTGTCCTTTCAGACCGACGCGCGCCCAATCAGACCATCGTGCTTTCAGATACTTCTTGGGCTTCCAAAAATTATCGCAAAGTCGCATAACACTGAATTTGTTGTGAAGTGTCTTGATGCAGTAGTCCTGGGCCACGTTCTCCATATGAGTGAATTTCTTCATCGCCATTCCGTGGTTCCGTAACTCTTCGCCACACTGCTTCATCACCTGGTACATCTCCTTCCCAGTCTCCTTCGTGATGGGCTTTCCTTTCTGGTTGAAAAGAAATCCAGTCTTCATATTCGACACACCGTCAATCGTGGTTTGAGTTCGTTTGCATTTCTCAACAAGTGCTTTCCACGTAGCTTTATCCCAGAAAACCTCAACATCGTCATACTCGTTAGGGTCTTCTCCCTCGACAACTTCGATCTCAAAGGAGCGAGTCGGTAAGTTTGTAGGAGGAAGGGCGGGTGTTGATGCGACTGATGTCAGGCCTAGTGTAACGTTGTTTGATGCCAGTTGTTGCTGATATTGTTTGATTAGGTTGCTGTATAAATCATATCGCCGATCGAGCAAAGTCTAACATTAGAAGAGTGATAAAATTATTGATACTGAGCGAACTTGCCTTTGGAAATTGATATTTGCTTGTAGTTCAAGTGTGCGTCTGTAGAGCTCTGTATAGGCCTCATTCCCCTCACGAAGTAATGTTTTGCCATCAATATCACGAATAAAAGTGCTGAAGTTAGTATTATGCATGGGGATGCTCATCTGCATCAAGGCGTATTAGATCGAGTTTCGGATGCTATCGATGTGACATACATGTGACTGAGAGGCATTGCTTTCATTATCATTTCGGAAAAGTGTGCTCATATTCTGCATAGGGTAGTTGATCTGGGTCTCGGATGCCTTAGATTTTCTCCGATAAGCTTACGATAGGCTCACGTACCTGTGACTGGGTTGGACCACTTCCACTGTCATTGTGGATATGGGTGTTGTAGCTCATCTGGGTCAAGGACGTGTTAGATCTTTTCCGATAAGCTCCCGATAGCAACGGACCTGTGACTGGACGGAATTACTTCCGTTATATCCGCCTGGCCGGTGTGATGACATATCGCGATGATCGTCAAACTGGTTTGGGAGATTATGGAGAGTATAATTTGGAGAAAGTGGAGGAAGTCCCGCCATTCTCTGAGAGTGACGACGAGGAAAGGGAAGAAAGATGGCAACGAGAAAAAATCACTTGGCACCTTGTGTACTAATATTTGTACCCATTTCCAGATACAGGTGATCTACTTCGTGCGCGTTCCTGGGACGAAACTCTCCAGCTCCTCTTCCGCATCGCAATCTATAATGACCAGTCTAAATGCTACAGAAAACGAAGGGTCCAATGGTGGAGATATTCACATGCAATATCAAACCCCAATCAAATCAAAGGCGAAAGTTAAACTCGACTTGGTACGTTCTATTTTTGACCGTTGGCTCAAGAGGTAAGATTAACAAATTTTGGAAAGTGGGATGACGAGGAATTAAATAATATGTTTACACAAGACGAGAATGGTGAATGGGTGCACAGAGGCGAGACGATGAACTTCTTTGACCAACCAATGACAGAATAGTAAGTCTCTCACAATAATCGTCAATGGAAAAGAAAACTTGACAAAGTTTATTGCGTTTCAGCGACAATTACGAGGATTACGAGCGCCAGCCATCCTCTATGCCACTGTCCCAGGAAGATAAAGAACTCTGTGGCTGTAGTACCTGTGTAAAGTTGTTCGGATCAAGATTAGGAGGATTGGAGATGGAGACCTTTCTCAAACTTGGCGTGGATGAGCAGAATAGGGAGGAAGAGGTGGTGCCAGAAACGGATGATGATGATGATTCTTATAGTAAACTGAAAGTAAGAGATCTCGTCCTAATTGTACTATCATTGGTCTAAACAATTTAACAGGAGGTAAATGAAGCTATCCGGAGGTACCGGAGAACGACGACAGTGGAAATCAACTCACCTCAATCCTTCTATCGCTATTATTCCCACCAACGTTTGAAAACTATTGAGGTAGAGGGAAGCAGCGCAGAGGCTGAGCTTCATGAAGCAGAAGCTGAGCTTTCTCGAGCCAACGCAGCTCTTGAACAGGCTCAAAAGCGGTATGATAATGCAGAACGTAGAATACAAGAAATTACTCTCAGGCGACGACAAGTTAGCACATACTTTCCAGAGTCTATGTCGTAATAATAGTATCTCAAACTAATCAGAGATGGAAGGCATAAATGAGTAAGGAATCGAACTATCTTTAGTCGTTGTTGTTGTGCGGAACAGGCTCAACATACCCCGTCAACTCCACATCCTCGATCCCTGATTTCTCCACAACAAACCATCGGGTTGGCTCAGTCGACTCGCGCTTAGGAAGCGGCTGCATAGATACCACGGAAAGGATGGAGCCAACGTCGAGGACACAGAGCTCTTGGTATCGAGTGAACTCGACAGCCCAGAGCGTTTGAGAGGAGTCCTCGAGCAAATCCAAATCTGGACGTCCATACAGGCTAACCACGACTTTGGGCACATCGTGGGTGGTACAGAAAAAGAATTGTACCTCACCATATTCAATACACCCATTCATTGTAAGCTAGAAATCGGTGTCAGCTTTAAATGTTGGATGTAAATGTAGAAGATCTGACCTTGACATTCCGGGAGATTCGGTTGTGTTTCCGCGAGCTTCTGCTCTCAGAAAAATAGCTCCTTGAAATTTGGGTATTCGGGAGCAACATGCGTCCTGATAGAGTCACTCGGCTCATTCCAACCGCCTCCTGAATAGCCCCCTTTACGCGGTCGTCAACTTGTTCCCAATCCTTCTCTGTGGTACTCTGTGGCGAGAGAAAGTAGTACCCTCCTCCGACATTTATGGCTGTTCCAGGAAGCTTGGCAGTTTCCGATTTGAGAAGAAAGCGGTTGGGGTAGAGGACCTTAAGGGCATTCTGCTGTGACCGTCTGACTGCGATTTGGATTAGATTGGAGAAGGGTGTTCCAGGTTGACGTAGTTCCGAACCAAGATCACCAATGGTTCGTTCCATAGGGAATTGTGTGGAATAGGCCCCAGGACCGACACGGAGAGCTTCAGATGCAAGATGGAGAAGGGTGTGTAGGCAAGGGCGGCAGAAATGAAGGCGATCCGTACGGCGTTTGTAGTAGAGCAATTCGTAGCCACGGACAAAGACTGTAAAGTAGGCATGGGCTTCTTGGAGCTGTTCTGCAGTGATTGTGCGTTGCAGGATGATGCGGGTAGCGTGAACAAGTTTGCAGAAGTTCTTCCAGTACTTTGCCGGGAGAACTGCGCGGAAAAATCCCGGGCCTAGCCCCATGATGTACAGGTAGTATTCGGTGGCCTTGTAACCACTGTTGATTTTGAGCGCAGGGTTACGGGGAGGGCGATGGAAAAACCAGGGGAAGTATTGGGTGGCTGCCGCAACTAAAGCGCCGTGCTCTTCCCATTTCTTCCCGACCAAAACGGCCCAGTCCCAATTCTTCTTGTCGTCGGTGTCTTCACACTTCATTGTACCTCTCCATATCGGGATCAGAAGTTCCGATACATTGAGATAAAGAAGGTGCATGAGATCAACGGTAAAGCACTTGGGAACTGGGAGAAGGCGATCCGGATGGAGGCCAAGTATGATGGAGGGTTTGGTGAGACCTGTTTCCTTCCGCTGTCGTTCGTAATCAGCCTGGCTCGTTGATTCAATGATCTTGGTGAGTTTGCTCTTGTAGTTATGCACGGTAGTATCCTGCCCAGTCTCCTCATCAACGTTGTACGTTAAGAGTATGTTGTAGTCAAAGTCGGGGTGGTTGTTGTTGTCGCTAAGCTCATTGGGACAAAGGTGAGCAGCGTAGTAGTGTCCAGAGGACTCTTTGTGCCTTCCCTGCATCGGACATCCAAGCCTGCAGCCCCTTGCTCCATGGTGGCCCACTCGACCATCGATTTGAGTGAGCCCAACTGCATCAGCAGTGCCCAGCACAAAAAAGAGACGGGAGGAAACAAGGCTGTTCGCTTCATGATCCCATATCTTGATGCCACACCCTTCGTTCTCGCGCTGGAGGGCCGAAAGGTGATAGAAGCTGCGAAAGATGAAGGAGTCGATGTCTTTGGGATGATTTGGGCCCGGAATAATGAGCGCAGGGAGAATATGACGGCGTTTGTACCGCAAGGTTGGATCATAGTCGTAAATGATCCAAATGGCAATCCACGTATCAGACTTCTTGTCTTGGTAGAGGCGAGCACCATCAATAGAAAATCCAAGGGTAATGTCATACTCCGTCATCCTATGCTGTTTGGCCAAGTCCCGGAGTGCTTCGCCCGAGAAAATATCATCATACTTTGGTAGGTTGCCATCCTCGTCTTCCTCCTCGTAAAGTTGGGCTAGCTTCTGGGCACGATATTTCATTGCCCGGGATCCTTCAGCAGAACGGCGTAGTGCCTGCAGCTGTGGTCCTAGCGGGATAGTAATCGCTTGTTGCACTGGTTCCAACCGCTCTCCCTCCTTGTTCCCTCGATACCTCGACTTGCTGCAGATCGAACAAGCGTCAAGGTCTGCCCACGGGCCCACAAAGGCATGACACCCGTCGATGCACATGTCGTCTGCAACCGGAACCACTCCTGTCAGCTCTGCAGCCAACTTCCGCACCTCGTACAGGGAGAGCAATGTCATATCTGGATGGCGTTTCAGAATGGCATCACGAGCACCGTTGTAGGCTGACTGGGAGTGTCGGGCACAAGCCATATAGAGATCTAAGGCGAAGACCATGTCGGGATCATCCATGTCGAAGAGAGCTTCAGGAGGGTTACGAAGCATTTCAATCGTATCCGCCTCGAGTTTGTCGTTATCGAGCGTAGCTCCCTGCAGGTGTTGGATAAAGGATTGTGCGACCTTAATATGATCGATTTGTGAGATGTGCTGGTCTGCCAATGCTTCACGGTCTGGGTCAACAAAATCGGCCCCCCCTGGTAGCTGTGTGTTGGCCTCTTCGTGTGTGAGAAGGTCGGCAAGGCGTTGCTGCTCCTCTAGCTCCCGAGCGAGGGCCTGTTGGCGGTAATACATCGAATTCTGAATAGTCTCGGGGGAAGGAGGTGCTTCAGAAAATGTCGATTCATCATCTGAGTCAGGTGGTGGAATGGGTCCGGAGGGTGGTGATACGCATGGGATACTACTCTCGTCGCTCTCGCTCTCACTCTCGCCCCCACTCTCCTCGCCCTCGCTCTCATCATCTTTGTCCTCCTCACTCTCCCCCTCCTCGTCACCTTCCGTGTCACCTTCCTCGTCACCTTCCTCACTCCCAGTGCCGACCTGCTGGACTGAAGTTCCTTCTTCTTCATCTGCATACTCCAACCCTGGTGAGTCTACTTGCATCTTTTCAAGACGATCATGCTCCTACATTCAGGTGGTCAATACCGTCAATGATTCATGCAGAGACGGTCTTACCTCGTCCGCAAATGGCACCATCAACGACGGGGGTGGATCGAGATCCATAGCAGTACCACTGCTAGTCGGAAGAGGGGCTGCTGATTGCGAATGGCATGGTGCCTCGGTCGCCCGAAATTCGTCAAAAGATGGGACAACAGAAGTCGTGCCTGGGGGATTAAAATGCCTACCATGGCGGTAGATGGTGGCGCGAGACCAGGATTTCCTGCCCTCGCAATCGGGACACCAACAAACAGGCATAGCAGATTAGAGCGTAGAGCGATAGAAAAGCAGTGTATTGGGATAGATGAGATACAAAGAAATGAGGAGTTCTGACCTCAAACGAACGAGGTATTGTGACTTTATATACCCTTCGGCTCTTCCAAACCAAAATATCCCGTGCGAGAGGCGTTGCGGTAGGAAAGTGTGGTTCGTCCAAAATGGCGTGCACTAGTCGAGATGCCAGTGGTGGAGTAACTGACAGTCCCCGAACTGTTGGATTGTGAAGAGGCTCAGTGGACCTGGAAAGCCCTAAATTGATTTCAACACCGTCGGAGAACACAAGCACACAAACTCAAACGTACCAGAAAGATATCTTCAGTATTGCGTGGCATAGCGCCTACAGTGTCGGGCGATGATAAACTTGGTTAGCTGGGTGCACCCAGTACACAATTTTTGGGAACACAGACAACCGCGGCAATATGCCTTCATTCACCGCCAGTGCGCTTGGAAGTTTGAGCGAACAACCAGTCGCATCGCAGATTGATCCACTTGCGGTTGGGCCACACGAGCAGCTCAGTGACGTAGGTGAAAGCCGCAGCAACGATTCCTGCGGCTTTCATCTACGTCATTTCGCGTGGCTGTGTGACTGTGTGACACGTCGACCGAAAACATATCGCTTTGGCGACACAGGGCGGCAACAACACTGCGATATTTCCTATGGCTCGGGTATGGGAACAGTCATTCAAGGAAAGGCAGACAATTGAGGGCAACTCACAATTTGAAGGTATCATATAGGCAGACGAGATGGTGTAGCGAAGAGGGTTACTTATCGTAGGGTAGGTGGGATGCTGACGGTCGCAAAGCAAGCTTGGATGACCGGATTTGGATCTTTTCGAACATACGGACACGTGCGGATTTCTACGGACGGAGCCGAACCCATACGAAGGACGTCAATCACTAACTGCCCGGTGCGGCAAAAATGCGGCAAATCGCGGCCGAACGCTGGTGCCTTTGCGGATCCCTGCGTCCTGCGCTGCATATGTCCGCACCGTGCGTTTCTGGTTTTCACTGGGCCTCATGTTCGGGCCCACAGGTATCAATGGCGTCCCGACCATGAATAACCCTAGCTTTCCCAACGGAAACCGCGGTGGAACCAGGGAATTTCGTGACGGCACTTCGACAAGGAAGTGATCGTGATCACACGCATTCGTTCCGACTCACCATCCAAATGTTGCTTTCCATTATGTTCGTTTTCCCTTTTGCCTGGATATTACTGTGACCAGCTGCAGGCTCTGATTTGACTACCGAAGAGAAGATAATATTGTGTATTTGTATTCACGTGTTCAATAAAAGTATTATTCAATTTCACATTCTGAGAAGCGGCGGACTAGGATGATGGTGCGAATACACGGGCAACATTCGCGACAGCAACGAACGCGGCTTTCGTCTCCTTAAACCTTCTCAGCCGCAATTTAACGAGAAGAAGCACGACAAGGTTGTCGATGGTAAACATTCCTTCGACAAACCTCACCACCTCCCCATCTGTCCTATCCGTTGGGTGCTGCGACATCTCGTCCAAAAGCTCGTCGAACCGAGCTTGCTGTGAGGGCAGGAGACACGGCTGCTGCTTGTAGGTCGTTCGATACGGGTATTTCTTGGGGTACAAGTCGATGCCTGCACGAGACTTGGTCGCGTCGAATCGGTAGATCGGCTGCGACCATTTCTCTATGATCGCATCGGAATAGTCCCATCCGTCAGTTTGATAGTCGAGGACTGGTGCCATAAATGGAGCATAAGGAACCATCTGGCCGGCCATGGTGCGGTTGAAGACATGCTCGATGCACGCAACGTGGAAAGAGCGAACATAGTTTCTGTAGCACCTTCCGTCTAGCATGCAAAGGGTCAGTACATTGGCGACTTGGGTCGATAGTAGACCTTACCTGTGTAGTAAAATCGGGCTGGAATGCATTCCTCCCGGTGGCGAAGTACCCAATCCTGGTGCTGGCATTCAAGAGAGCAGTATACCATCAACGAGCAGGCAGAACACTTCCTGGAACTGAGGTCTTGTGAACGGAGGTCCAAGGGAGATGTGGTGCACTGGGGAAGGTAGGCTACACGTTAATTTCAGAGGGAGAAGATACTTTCCAACTCACCTGAAAGTTATCGCAGAAGTACACCTTCGGGAAGAAGCGCGGTGTCGAGTGGTAGCTGGCGACAGGATTGTCGGGGAATCTGAGCTCCTTTTTCTGATGTCGAAAGAGAACTTGATTGCGCTCGTCTACAACAGCGTACATGTCATTCCAGAAACGGTCAAGCTGCCGATTGTAAAAAACCAGGGAGGGATCACTCGGCTCGCCCTCCTCTTCGATGCGGTGGTTTCCAAGCAGCTCGTTGATCTGGTCTTCCGCTATTCGGGAAAGGTTGGGGTGGGAGGTGAGGACTTCGATGCGCGTGACAACGTCTTTGGCGGCCCGTATCAACGATGTATCAGCATCCTCCGGAACCGACGCGACTGCTTGACTTGCAAAGTCAATGAATCCATCGCGGAATAGAAGAGAGACTATATTGTGTGCACGAGGGGAGTGATCTGATGCCATGGAAATCAGCTCTTGGATGAGAGTGAATCCCTGGTCAAGGGGTATCAGGCGATCGAAAGAAACCAAATTGGCGACGATATCAATGAAGGATTCGAAGAGGGTCGCGAAAAGATGAGTAGAAAAGAGGAGATCTAGGAAAGGTTGACATTTCAGAATGCGTCCCCCACACTGCATCAGCAAAACAAGATGGGATGTCGCCTTGGTGGAAGGGATTGCCCGATTGTTGATCGCATCTTGGGTTTGCCTGGCGCGTTCGAGGAAGGCTTCTGCAAAGACTTCCCTGAGTACCATCTCCCTCGAGAAGACGCGTTCTGTGATGGAGAGTAACCCCTCGGTGCTCGAAAGGCATCGGTGCATTAGCCGGATGATGGGACAGTCTTTTTGTCGTCGATCGAAAGACTGGAAAACGGCACTTCTTTTTCCTGTGGTAACCCATACTTTGATGAGGGTGTCCAAAGCTGGGGTAGAGCTATAAAGGGCTTGCTCTATCCGGGTATCCAAGTCGATAAGGTCGAGGAGGAGCGCAGAGTGGATGAAGTACGCGAGCCGAAAGTCGCACCCTGGTCGGGTATCGAGGGGTATCGAGAGACCAAAGTAAAGGAGGAAATTAATCCATTTGATGATTCCGTCTAGGTGGTCCACAAGCCTTTTGACGGTCTCATCTTTCCAGTGGTGTTCCTCCCGACAAATGGACGCGACGGCGGAGAGGGCAGTGATACATGGTAATGCTCGAAATTGGGCCGCTTGGTATTTCTCCTGTTTGTGTTCACCTGATGGGATATCTGGGACGAGATCTTCGTCAAGGAATCGCAGAAAAGTGTCCAGCACATCGAGATCGTAGGTCTGAGGCGTGAGTGCACTTGCCAGTTGGTCCAGAGACTCCGGATTTCCGCTTTTTGCACGGATTAGGATCTAGGAAAAACAGATAGATACTAAGGGAATGTCCATCTATATTGGGAAGACGCGTACCGACGCAAAATCTCTGGGAGCCATAACGAGTAGAGGTTAAGGTATGCGGAGGGACTGCACGAGGAATGTGCACGAGGGATGGCTGTGCGCGAAAGCACCCTCGTGGGAGAGCCTTTGATAAGCGGCTAAAGGAATGCCGGCCTCAACTCGTCTCCCTCGCCGACCGCGAGGAAGTGCAAGCCTGCCGCCATTGCGTACATGCTACTAAGTGAAGGGGTACATAAACCAGCAGACCAGATCCTTCTCCGGGCCCTGGCTGGGTGAAGCCCTCTCAAGAAACCGTGTGCATTGAGAGGAAAGCGTCTAGCAATAGAGCGAAAGTCGAAATGCGATCGATAATGGTACAATGCTAAGGGCCGACACCCCACACCTCCAAACCAACACACTCAAAGTCCACCTCATCCCCTACCGCTAATGTAGATTTGGTGGTAAGGCCAGGAGCAAGCGTTGGCTGGAACGAGGACGAGGATGTCGTGTCATCGTTACGAGATTTGCAAAACGGGATGGTGCATAGCACCTCGTTTCCAAAGGTTGGACACGGCGCAGACGATCCTTGGAAGAGCCCAGAGTCAAGGTAGAGACCGTACGACGTTGACCTGGACGATGATTAGATGTGTCCAAATGGAAAAGGAGACGCGTACCCTCCGCCGAATGCCATGTATTCCTTGTTGCATATGGCAAAATAGGTGTTCTTTCCCGTGGCCTTGAAGACCTTCAACTGGCCATCGGCGTACTTCCAAAGGAATCTGATGAACTTCTGTTAGATGCGTAACCTGGTTCTATTCCTTGTGAATACTCACGAATCTCCGCCACCGAAGAAACCCTTGCTCTTCTTGCCCAAACCCTCTGCGACGAATGCTCCGAAGAGGTCCCCATCTTGATTCTCCGAGGCCAAACTATCCTTGACCACTAGCACTGCGCCTCCCATCCCGATGTAACCCTCCCCTCTCTTCCTGTTCCGTTCGGGAGTCTCGCAGTTGTTGTAGAGGGTGTTAAGAGAGATTCCGTGTTGGTCGAGGGAATAGAGTAGAGTCCAAGTCTTGGGAAGACGAGATAACGGAGGGAGATGTGGCCGAATCTGAGCAAAAATTAGCGACTTCTCGCGATTCAACAGGAAAAGAAGACTCACCAACTCGGCCAGTTTCTCCTTCAGCACCACATCCGTTCCCTCGTTCCTGCCCTTCAACGTGACTGATGCAAACTTCCTTTCGATCAAGTCCGGTACTCTGCGTGAAGGGGATGGATTTCCTCCTCGAACCGTCGCGTAAGAAGGAACTTCGAGTTTCGACGAAGGAGGCTCCGTGTGCGTTCGACCCCTCCCAACCGTATTGGAGGGCACCCTATCTGCACTCGTCTTCCGCCTGAATGGACCAAACGAGAACCTCGAACCGAATCCACCGCCCTCCTTCTCCTGCGTCCTACCCCGGCTAACCTCCCCGCCCTTCGATGGAGCCCCGTCCAATTCTTTCTCCAGCTCCTCGTAGTGACCCTTATCCCAGTCATATTCGTCAGGTTTGAACCCAGGTGCACCCTCCACGGGAACAAAGGAGTGACTTGCGAACGGGTTAGTCTTGTTGCCATCGCCCTTCCCTACAGTCGATGACCCCACGAACGAGCTCCCCCCAAATGGACCGCCTCCACTGAAACCGGTGTTGAGAGAACTAGGAGCTCCAGCGGCCAAAAAGGCTGACGAGGTGGGTGGTGGGGGAGCGAACGGCGTCGAGTGCGTTATGGTAACTTCTTGTGGAGTCGGTTTGTCTTCCAAATGCGGGTCCAAGTGACCTTGATGGCCATGCGAAGGATGATGAGTGTATAACTGTTGGATACTCTCCAACGAAGGTCGAGCTCGTGGAAGCGGCCGCCCCATGCGTCCTTGCCCCTGAACCGGGCCAGATTGAGGCGGTTCTGGTGACGAGATGGGGGACGGGGACGAGACGACCGGAGGAGGGCCAAGGTGATGTCCGTGGCCCGTTCTGCGATCCTCAGGCGAGTAAGAACGGGAATGCGACCGCGGCCGTGATCTCGACCTTGGTCTCGAGGCTACAGGTTGGTTTTGTTGGCTTGGATCTTGATTTTCCGACCAGAGGAAGGACCCCACCCAACTACCCAGAGTGTTGAAGCTCGACGCCCGTCGTGGATGCATCATTTCACCATGCTCATCACCGTCCCCGTCTTCGTCTCGCCAATGGGTTGCATCTCCTTCGGCACGAGGTATGTTCACAGGGGTAGGAAGATCGAGTGGATGGGGCGTAGGTAAAGACTGGGCGATTCTTGGTTGATCGTAACCCCCGAATGAGATCCCTTGTAAGGATGGCGCTCGAGTATGGGCTCTGGATGATGTAGGTGAGGAGAAGCCGGAGCTGAGGAGGGAGCGGAACGACCAGGTCGGCGAGTGGGACGGGTTTGGAGTTCCAGAGGCCGCGGTGGTCGCATCTTGAGCTGTCGTGGAAGTTTGAGGCAGGGGAACCGAAGGTCCCGATGTTGTAGAAAGGCCCTTTTTAGCTTCAGAGACGACAGCAGCTGGGGTGGTAACTATCGGTATTGCCTCGGCAGGCTCTCGACCTGAGAAATAGTCTTCGTCGATGAGATCTAGGTTCTTCTGTATCGCCGCCGGCTTACCCGATAGCGTCGGGGGTGCGGGTTTCTTCGATGCACTGGAAGAGGATGGGAGTGCGACGGTCATAGGTTGAACTGGGGGAGGTTGAGATTGTGGATTGGATGAGCTTGCGTTTGACAGTGGGTCGAACGAGTCGAGCGTTGGGGCGGCTGAGGTATGAGATGGGAGGGGGTCTTGCATTTGTGTGCCGATTGTTGCAGAGGTCGATGGAGCAGAGGTCGTGAGGCTCGTTCGGGTCGTAGGGGTCGTTACATCAAGGTCTTCTTGTTCTTCTGCTGGCTTCGTTGATTGGCTGAACAGAGAAAGAGGGTTCTTCTCGTATTTCATGATCTCATCAACGAGGTTGCTGTTCATCTGGGCTGGGCGCACTCCCGAACGTGGCTGGGGAACGAGGGGGGATGCGAGCGGTGAAAGCAGCGGGTTGGTTGAAGTGGGTTTTGTCGGCGTCTGCGGAGGTTTCGGGAACGCGGTAAATGTAGAAGAGGTAAGCGGGTCAGCAAAAGACGGTTTAGAGGATGACTGAGCAACCGCAGCTGGGCCTGTTTCCGCCGCTGGAGGACCTGGTGGATTCTCGACGTCTTCATTTGCAACGACTGGCGAAGGGGCCAGAATCAGCGGGGTTGGCGATTGAGATGGCGGGCTTGGAGGCAAGGCCGCATTTCCGTCTACGAATGAGCCAAATTCGGAGTCGCTGTGTGCTTCTGTAGGGTCGGAGGTTGGTACAGAAGTGAATTCCGAGCTGTCACAGGTATCTGCGGGCAGATCGACAGGCTTGAGGATAGGGGAAGCAGGTGGTGTGGATGGGTTGAAGAGGGGCGCGTATGTAGATTCATGGTCGAGTTGGGTTGTACCTGGAGTGCGATCGGTGGATTCAGAGGTTTGACTGGACATTTCGAGCGGTTAGATCCGGTGTTTATACGACTGTATTCTGGCGTTGAAGGCCCCAATGAATCGACACTAATGATCTGTAATGGCCCGAACGTACCAAGAGTAAGGCGGACCAGAGGCCATTCAACGAGGGCAGACTAGTTTATAGCACTCTATCCTGCGCTACATCATGGTGGAATAGTATATGTTCAGTTAGATTCGCACAAGAGCACAAAACGGCTAGCGCGCACCAATGAATGTCGAGTTCCACGCGTCGGCTGACATACACCGGGTTCTTTGAGAATTCGTGAAATACAGTGGTGACGCCTGATCGAAGGGAAGGTTGAAGGGTGGTTGCCGTTCCCAGCTGCCTGCGGGGGGCTGAGCTGAGATTGAGCTGGAATGTTCAGGGATACGTAGAAGAGACTCATAATGGTCGTCACTGGAATTGGAATCCGACATATCTGCTTAGTCATCTTGCCTTTTTAGAAAGACTGATGTCGAACCCCGACTTGAGTTCCCTGCGACACAGGCCCACCTGCTATACAAGAGGTTCCCACCCAGCTAAATCCACTTTCCGGAGAGGGGATGCCTAGTGAATGCTAGCCCGTGCGAGGCCCATCCCTCCGTCCGTGGTTTGGGCGCTTAATTGGGTATTGCCTCGGTTGCTTTAGTCCTTTTCTCCCAAAAAATGCCGCCGAGAATAGAGAGGCACCGGCCATTGGCAGCTGGCTTTGAAGAACCTTTCTGTCGTATAGCAAAATGATTCAACTGTCTATGGTCTAAGGGTAATGACAAATTCAAGAGTAGCTGTCGTAATTGCGTAGTAGTGTCCGTGTCCATGGGCGTAAAGTTCCGTTTCATGAATAAGCTAAGGGTTCAAGTGGGTTCAAGTGTCCATGTCATGTCATGTCCAATAGCAATAAAAGAAGAGGGCGTCCAGGTCGACATCGACTGTAGAAGAAGAAATGATTTTGAGAAGTTGGAACTCGCGAATTTCACAACGTTCGCTTAATTGGAGTCAACCAACTCCAGCCACTGGGTGATTCAGAATGTAATCAGTCGATGACACGATGCCATGGAGGAGGGAATTCAAGCCACTCACCACTTCGTACTCATCGCGCTGTGACTTGGTAAACTCGTCTACTTTATGAACGAAGTAGATGAAATCATCGTTACTCGATTTGATGAAGGTTCGAATTTCAGCGACTTGTCCATTGTGGCGTTTCCAGACGGCTAGAAGATACAAGAATGGTTAGCATGAGGTAAAGGGGTCCACGATGAAAGAACGTACACTTGAGCTTGTTTCCAGTAGTGGACCATACAGCTGATTCGGAGAAACGGAGTTGGCTGTCGTTGGCAGAGTTGCCGACCTTCTTGGGAGTGGAACCGGCGGGAGTCTGGGCAGTCTTGACGAGGTAGGAGGCCTGGAGGCTATCGCTATTGGTACATGAGTCTCTGTTTAAACTTTAGTCCAAGGCAAGAGGGAAACGCACTTGCTGCCACCAGCGAGACCGAGGTACTTCATATGACCGTTCGCACCCTCGATGCTGATATCGAACGGGCCATCGGTATTCGGAACGCGCACTGCGAGACAGTCTCGCTTCTTGTTCTTAATCTGATAGCTGCGCAAGTGGGGAAGGCATTAGGACACTGAGGGTGAAGGAAGAAAGAGAAGCAGAGGGACATGCGTAGAAATAAACGTACATCCCGGCCTCCATTGAATGAGAAATATATCCGATGACTTCGAAGCCATTCCTCTTGCCTTTCTTGATGACCTTGATACATCTCTTTTCATTCCGCGGCGGTTGCCCAGAGGGTTTTGCCCCTCGAGCAACTGGTCCATTTGTTAGAAGTGCTGGCGCGGGACAGAAGATTATGCTGGCACTTACCCAGTGTGTTCGAAGGATGGAACAGTCTCTTCGGCTTCTCTGGAGGGTATCCTCGAGCGAGTCGTTCAGCGTTGGTGAGACCTTGGAGATCAGCAGCGCCCCCTTCGGCGCGTCGGTGAAAACGGGCATCGACAACGCCCAAGAGAAACGCCAACAAAGCGGCGACCAGAAGCCGTGACACAAAGGCTGTCCTAAAGCTGACCATGTTTTCAAGCTGTCGGATGAAAGAATAGCGAGGATAAAGACAGAAAATGAAGGGGAAAGATAGGAAATTTGGGGCGTTAACAGTTGAATCGTGAATTGGGGTGTGTCCAGCAGACAACGACGGAGGGTGGGCCTGGATTATAAGGGTCATCACCACTTCGGATAACAAAAAGATGGAGTGTAACAAGAAAATAACAGCTTTAATAACACAACATCGAGGACAAGCGAAGTCCCTTGATTTATCAGTTAATAAAACCGGATGATCGCCCGTAGATGGAAAGTCGACGGCGGCGGCGGAATAGGCACCCGCCTAACCTTTTCCCTGGAAAACGCCACTGGTGGGCTCGAGATCAACAAATGCTCTGCTTCGCGACGCGATGGCAGGCAGCATGCAAACCATACAATAAGAGAAGGTGCAGGTCTTAAATCATGACTTTCGAATGACAATACATAGGCTGGACTTGACGACCTAGTCGACGTCCCACTCCGATTCTCAAGAGTTAAGTCAGATGGCAGTGATTATGCGTCGCGAAATATAACTTGAACTGTGCTCGTATCGCTGCTTTCAGTCGTCTTTCGCGCCTTCTTCAGTAAACAAGTGACACGCCGCGACGGGCCGGCGCCTATCATGAAAAGCGCCCATTTAAGAAGGGTTCCAAATCGGGACACGCCCCCAAGTACAAAGCAACCGATGGATCATGGTATTGGGGTCTGGAGAACATCATTACAAGCACAACAACAGATTTACAACTTGGATAGGTTCTCCTCTTTGAGGAACTCCTCAGAGAAAGGATAATCGATGTATCCTTTCTCAGAACCAGGGACATAGTACGTGCTTCGATCGACGGGGTTCAAAGCCAAGTTCTTCTCGAGTCGGTAAGGGAGATCAGGCTACAGTGAAGGTCATTTAGTTTCCCTATCATGCCTGAAGATCAGTAGAAACTCACGTTGGCAATGAAGTCAGCTCCGAAAGCGATGAGGTCACCCTTCTTCTCCGCAACGTCAATCGCGGCCTCCCGGGTATAACCACCGCAGCTGATGAATGGACGGGGTGCCCAGGCTTCCCTCAAGGGATCGTTCGACTCGGATTCCGAAGGTGGGGTGCCGTTGGCGGCTGCTTCGGTGAGATGGATGTACGCCAAGTTAGGATGCGATTTGGCGAGTTCCGTGACGAAGTGAACGAATTGAGGCATGGGGTCCTTCATTCGCATATCTGGTTCGGGGACTTTAGTCAATGGAAAGAAAAAAACATATAAGGGCCGAGTTACCTTGGTACGTGCTCCACGGACTCAGACGAATGCTTGTCCTTTCTGCGCCAACCTGCTTGGCCACTGCATCGACGACCTCCAAGCCAAACTTCGACCTAGCCTCGATGCTTCCTCCGTACTCATCGGTGCGCTTGTTGCTGACGTCTTGGAGGAATTGGTCGACGAGGTATCCGTTGGCGCCATGAATCTCCACTCCGTCGAAACCGGCATCGGCGACAGCGCGCTTTGCAGCGTTCCCAAACAGACCAACATACTTCTGAATCTCTTGAATAGATAGCTCCCGGGGACGTGGGGCTTCTGGTGGATTGGTGGAAAGAGGGATGGGGGAGGCGGAGACGTAGGGGAAACCTTTCCCTTGGATATCAGCGGGGACGGCCGCTCGTCCCAACGCCCATAGTTGGAGGAAGATAAACGATTGATTGGCGTGGACTGCATCAGTGATCTATTATAAATAGATTAGACTACCTTGGAAGCTATTCAAATAACATTGACAACGTACCTGTTTCCATGCCTCGACCTGTTCGTCGTTCCAAATGCCTGGAACGTGTGGTAACCCGCCAGCCTCATCCGCGATAAGAGTAGCCTCTGTGATCAGCAAGGTCCCTGGCACCCTGGATCGCTGCTCGTAGTACGTTTTCATCAACGGGATGACAGGGACATGAGCTTTGTTATTTCTGACTCGAGTGCAAGGGGCTTGAACGACGCGATGTTTGAGTTGGACGGCGCCAACGGTCTTGGGTTGGAAGAGGACAGGCTTCGGAGAGAGGGCTGAGGCCATTGTCGAGGCAAAGCGGCCTCCCACTACTTTGGAGTTCCTGGATATACCCCATGAGCTGTGAGAGGAGAAAGAAGCATATATTCTGACATACATTTGTTACGTCGGAGGAGGAAGACTGGTCCAGGAGAGGGGGATGGGGAAACTTGCGTGCTTTTCTGCGTGGACGGGCAGAGGATAATCTTCCATGGTGGGCGTTGTGGGCAAGCTTTTCTATCGGATTGTACGATTGACAAGCATTCCCAAACAACACCCCACGCATCCCTCGCTGTCAGTGTCACAACTCTGAACCAAAGTCTTGGTCGGCCCGATCGACGACGACACAACGGTTGATGCCACCGCCTCCTGCACATCAAAATCCCCGCATCCGCGATCCAACCCAAAGCTTCATGTCCCACACACTGCGTAGCACAGTCTATAAAGTAACTTTAGTTTTTCATACAATAATGATACTAGAGAAAATGAACTTGAGTGCTTGTCGGTGTTGAATGGGTCGCTTTCGATAATAATGGTTGCTGAGCTCATTCATGACAAATCGGAGCTTCGCGATGGTTTTGCTTACGGAGGATCGAGGAACGGGGAGGAAGGCGGCCTGGCTGAAAGAAAAGCCCATTGATCCGGACTCTTGGCAGTTACTTGGCACAGCCTCACCTGGAATTGCGAAGTTGAGCCAGCCTGAGTGCCACTGTAAACCACCTAACGGTCGAGTAGCACTAACACCGCGTACTGGAGAGGTGGCCTAATGTGACCCCAAGAACTCGTGAAGCCACAGTCCTTTTGTTATCTACAGTTGATCTAGAGCCCTGTGGGTCCAACGTAGAGAGTCTGTGTGTGCAGGGCCCCCACAACTTGAATGCGATGTTCGGGTTCACACCACTGACAGTGGAGCGCAAACGTGAAGCTACGTGAAGAAGCCCATATGTTCATACCTACCACGAAAGGAAAATTCCTCTCGTCGACCAGAGTGGCGCTATCGGGTTGAGTAGCTTGGGATGGCCAAATGGCTATAGAAAACATAATAATGTACAGGAATATTGGACATCCGGGAGGACTTCGACATATATGGTTGGGCGTGTGTCATCGTAAATGCTTCTTCATGTTAGTCTCATGCAGTAATCAGGGTTGCCTTCAGGATTCTGTGAAACCTGCGGTCAGTACGACGGGGTTTCCAGACAGTACATAGTAGATCGATCACTGACCAGAGCCCAGCGTGGCATGTCAACAACCCGGCCACTCCCACCGCCAACGGCGAAGGTATAAACGAAGACCATGACCTATCGTTATCATAAGTTGAAATAATCCATGCCATCGATCCGAACATGAATAAGTACCTGTGTGCCGCCATCCAACGCCGCGGAGAGAAGGAAGTTATACTTGCGGAACCATCTCGGTCGGTACCGTCTCAGGTAGTACTGAGAGAAGATGGCTAAGCAGAACGTGGTGAAGACGGAACTGTTGATCCCAACGCTGAGATATCCGAGAGTCCCTACAGCGAACCTAAGGCTCCTTTATGGTCACACTTCGGGATAGTACTCACAGCAAAGGATCGGAGTGACAACTTTGTCAGCTTTAACGTTCGGCCAGTAGCGATGGACTACCCAGAACGGAATGGGCACTGCGAGTCCAATGAGGATCGCAAATGGAACGATCTAACAAACGTCGAATGACCCCGTGCGCTGGTGTGGGTGGAGAGGCACGTACCCAGTAGCGACCGCTAGGAGCATACAGGATGTTGCCGAGCGCACCCCAGGTTATCGCGTTACTATTGAAAGTCTGGTTGACTGCTTAAGCGTCGTCGCTAGAGCTTATCGATTCTGAAGTCGTACCTGAACCTGCTGACCGGACCATACGTTGGTGCCTTGAACCTGAAGCAAGATTTCACGGTGGCTCTTGATGATGACCTTCATGATGATATAGTTCAAGAGTCCACCCTGGAAAGGACGCGTGTAAGCAGTCGATTTCGTGGTTTTCTCGTTGGACCTACGATAATCGAGCCTAGAGATTGGACGGTAAACGTAACCCTAGGTGGAAGTTTCGTGTATTGTCCCTAGTTTGATCGGTAAGTTGAATGTATAGCGAAGACGAACGGGGCGTGTCCTACCATTTTCAAATCTCGAATGAGTCCTCGAGCTTGATCAAGTGTGTTGTAGCCGTACAGGGTGAAGTACATATTGGCTTGAGGATTTCCCGGAATCATACATGCCCCAAGCATCTGCATGATTTCGAAATGACTCAGTGAATCCTACCTCGTAGAGGGAGAGGGTGACAGCGCGCACCTGTACGAGAGCTGTGACATTGGGAGAGAAACCAGTGATCGCGTAGACTGTGATCACAAAAGGAAGGAAGATAGTCGACAAGCAGAGGGCGACAATCAAGCCCCACCTTGAAACCAGTGAGAATCACAGAAAATAGACCATCAGAGCGCCCTTACCACGGGAGACCAGATTTCGCTGCATAGATCGTTGACATGGCCATGGCAAAGCTAGCAACGAACATGGCGATATACCACCAAACGGGTACCTCGCGGTACGCTTTCATCTTGGCAAGATGGGGATCGTAAATTTCACCTGCCTAGGAAAGGTCAGACAGCTTCAGAGCAGTGGAGGTGGTGCGAGATATTTACCCGATACTTGCGGATCACCTGTATGATATCCTTCCCGTACCAAATCAGAACATGAGTGATCGTCGAACCAATAGCGAGGTTGTGAGCAATTTTGGCGATGACTTGGGAACTGGCAAACCAAGGGAGACCTTCGGCTTCAAGTTTGACAGGGTCCAGCCTAAAGTTCTCGTCGAGGATACGAAGCTGTTGGAACCTTGTTCCATTCTCGTAGAACAGTGCTTGCGACAAGAACGGGAAGTTCTGTCCGTTCCATACATTCATGGCGAAGCACGCGCAGAAGGCGATCCTGATAGCAAATCAGTTAAGATCAGACCCATATGAAAATAGAAACGGCTTACATGCAAATCGCCGTGCCACAGTACAGAGAAAGTTGGGTCGACAAGGGCGTAAAGAGAGCACCGATGGCACCACCACCGGATCCGACGTAGTTCCAGTCCAGACATAGGGCAAAGGCGCCCAGTCCTTCATTACCAGCCGCGCCACCTATGTTAAGCAGTTTAGATGCGACGAAGGCGAAAAATAATGATTTAAACTGACCGAAGATGCGCGTAAACCAAGGGCTATCACGATTCGCCAAGCAGAAGATGCTTATACCGGTCAACGTCCTACGAAGGAGATTGATCAGGCAATAAAAATAAAGCAACATCGAACATACGGCGCGATGTACTCCGGGAACCATTCCCAAACGAATATCCCTGCAAACACGGACCAGAAGAACTTGACTCGTTTCTTCTGCAAGAATATCTTCTTCCCCCGATGAAGGGCGTCGAAAAGTTGGACAGTTGGGAGTAAGTTAGGGAACACAATGTAGGTGGGATAGACCAAAAAGGACCGCATGAGACCTTCGACATGTTAGCGTAACCCGAAGTAAGTCGCTATCGCACGGATTTAGAGAACTCGTACCTCCAATGCCGTAGCCCATCAGCTGTGACCCTAAAGCGATGTGAGATGGGATCGTTTAGGAAATATTTTGGGAGCGTACCGATGAGGGTGAATATTCCTACCACGACGCTAGGCTGATATGGGTAAGAGCGGATAGAACTTCGAGTGAGGTCATGAGGATCTTACCTGGATGTTGTAATAGAGATCATCTGCAGCAAAGATACTGATAGCAAGGGCAGAATCTGCCGCGGTCGATGCAAAGATAGTAATAGCGACGTGTTCCTTGATATCTGGAAGAACCGCATGGGTGATATGAAGACATGCAGGTTAAAAGATAAACGTACTGAAAGGTCCAGGATTGAGGAATCGCCAAAACCAGTTATCCGGCATCTTCAGGTTCTCGTGCTCGTTGCCCGGACCAGGAACAATCTCCTCCAGAACTCTTCCGAGGATGTAGGCAATGATCTGGATGAACAGCTGACTGACGAACACCGTCTGCGGTCGGAAGTACTGAGAACCACGTTAGCTCAGACATGCCCGTGTCCTAGCGTGCGCTAATTCGCACTTACGAAAATCTGCCCGAGGACTGCGCCGAAGCACGATAGGCCGATACCCAGGAACCACATTCGGAAAGTAAAGGCTGGGAGGGTTGGATCATCTTCCAGTGAAATGAGACGTGTCGCGACGTCGAGATCGGTTTCTGAGCTTGCATTAGCAATGCGGTCAAGGGTCAGACAAGGAATCTACTAAGGGCTGCATACCGATAGGCCGTTCACGACCAGTCTCGTCGAGGTCGATTTGTCGAACATCCTCGTAAACATCGCCTTGATACGATTCTGCAGTCTCTACACCGTCGATCGACTTTTTCTCGTCGAACTTTTCATCGCTGGATGACGCCTTTCTATGCTCAAGGATGCCTCCCTTGTCGGCAGTGCTCGCCATGCTGACGCTGACCTAGAGGGATGATCAGAATGGGTAGGGCCAAGCAAAGAAGTACCAACTTACTTTAACACCAGCGAAGTGGTTATGAGTAGATGATGGGCTCCGAGCGAAGGACGTTCGAAGGTCGGCCACATGCTCAAACTTCCATTTCTAACCCGCGATAAGAAGAACCGTCTGAGCCACGAGTAGAATGGGATACCAGATGTCACCGAGTGGACATTGACCGGTTTTTTCAAGGTTTGAGCCTCAAGTCCATGCGAAGCCGCAGCAATTTGGCACGCCGACATTGTGGTTGTGTGTACAGTGGTGCAAGTTAAAAATAGAAACACCACTGGCGAACAAAGTCGTACACCCACGACCATCACCGAGCCCCTCGCCAGTTTTGACTCGCTGGTATTTTGGTCTTGTCTCCCACAAGAAGGGGAGGGTCAGAAGTGTCAAGCTGGAAGTATTGCGGAACACGGATTCTCAGAAGCTGCCAAGCGAGAGGACCGTTCGCGAAAGCGGGAAGGGTACCCACCAAGTTCCAGTGATTGGGGGAACAGAGTATAGCAGGGAAGCGAGGTCGTGGCCCAGGGAGTCCAAGGAAGGAAAAAGTGTACACGCGGAAGTTCCACTATACTCCCCCAGTGACCACCGAGATAAGGCAAATGAATAGTGCAAAAGGAAAGATTGTCGTGAGGGGAAGAAACGCGGAAGAACCGCGATAGCTATCCGCGTGCTCGAGGTTCCAGATATCAAGACAAATTCCCAGACGGTGACCGTAGCTTGATTTTCTGGTGCTAGCATGTCGTTCAATCGTCAGAGCGAAACGAGATGCCATCGTGTCCGCTCCAGTAAAGCGTGAATGGATTTTCAGTTGAGATCGCTTGACTGAAGGCATTGGATACCAGATATTTTTCGCGGATCGAGGGCTAGAAGTATAGACGAGCCAGGTGGTTCAGAATTGAGAATCCAGGACGAGCGCAAGTCTCAAGACGAGGGTCTAAAATCTGGCTGAGAGCATACCGCGGGTTCTTGTTTGTCCTTGTATGTTTTGATTTCGTGATGCGTGGGTGGCGGATTGGGAAGTGGGAAGGCGCCCGATGGTGGAGAACGATTTCTTCTCCAAAAAGTCGAGTCTGGTTCACGAGACTAGAAGGCGCCGTGGAGTGGTGCGGTGTGGTATGAAGATTCGTGAGGTCAGCCAGTGGTTATTGAATCGTTCGTGTTTTTGACTAGATCATTTAGGTTTTCCGTAAAGGGCTAGGTCACCGGTGGAACGACACGAGACGCCTCTGTCGATACTATGAGCACAAGAAAACGAGTTTGAGGCGCAGTCTCCTGATAGGATGTTCCAGAGCTTGGTGCCCCTCTATCATTTGCTTGAGATGCAAATACTGAGATACGAGCGCTTGGATCTTACCCTCCAAGTCTGACATTCGTTCGATGGGCTCTCGAAGGAACGACTCCATCTGACGGCACTCTCTGTGGGCGTACACACATTCCATCAGTCGGCAATCTCGGCGTTCCAAAACGTTTAACTAAAGGAAGGAGCCCATGATCTATGTATGTGTAGGCGCAACCAGTTATGACTTCCACCACCATAGGGAAGGCGGAGATCGACAGACTCGCCCGCCTATTCACGACAGCCCTCTTCGATCTCCATGAAGAAGAGACCGCACCAACCACTCAGGCTCGTCTCGCATCTCTCATTCTCGAGGAGACATCCTCTCGAGCTCTACCCCTGGCACTCGCAAAAGCTTCCCTGGGCTTCTCCATCTTCGATGACCTCCTCCAACTCCTCATTCAAACTCTTAAATCAACACTCGAGAACGAGCGCATCAAGCATCTCCAAGTCGTGTGCGGAGAACAAGGCCCGCAGAGCTTCACCGCCCAGGTCCAAGGGGCTTTCGAGGAGGAATTGAAGGACCAGTTCCGCTCTGGTTCCACCACCTTCCCTCTGAGGGATGGAGACGGGTCATTGAATACGTTTAACCCGTGTCTCAACGCTGCGTTCTTCTCTGCCGTCGCGTTGAAGTTGGGGCTCACCTCAATCGGAAAATACCATGTTACCGTTGCCCTTGAGGCTCTTGGACTTACGGAGAACAAGGCCGCGGAGGACAGAGGTGGTCAGCGTGCTGAGGCGTACGCAATTGCTACGCTCATCATGTTCTCTGTTGGTGGCGTGGAGAAGTACGCCAGAATCCTTGCGGAGGCCGGCGTCGAATATGAGGAGGTCCCGAAGCGCCTCAGGGGCTTGAAGAATAGAGGTGTCCTGACTCGGGACAAGGAGCTTGCTCTTCTCGAGGTACGCATTCGTATGTTCATATCCTAAGAGCAACTTCATTTACGCCCATGTCTCCACAGACAGTAGCCGAGGATTTCGATCGCAATGCCTCCTCAGCGAGATCGGACGCGTATGTACGAGGACTCCTATTTTCAAATGGAAAAGTAGTATGAAGGGGTCGATAGACTGGCTATAACAGGCAGTATCTGTCCTCAGAAGTGTTTGTACCTCGCACAACGCAGAAGTTAACGGCTGTGTGATTATGTCATGTGAGCTGACCCACGTGAGCGAGGCGTGATGTAGACGCGCCAACGCGTCTCAATGATGGGATACTTAGTTAAGGGCAGCGGAACCTCAGGCTTGTCCAGGGGAATACATTAGAGACTCGTTGGCTAATACGCATAGGTAAAGCAGGATGGAGATGTCGTCGAGTCCATAACCTCCCCAACAGTGATGTTAGGACCTAAGGCGGGGAAATCCATCGCGAAGTCGAGAGTAATTTCATCCCGACCCCCTGGCGTCGTCGGTCCCGAGATCTCGTAGAGACGCGTCGCGGGATCGGCATTCTGCCATTTCCACCAGACTCGGTCAAGATTGGCATGATGTAAATAAAAAAGCGGATCTAACCACGCGTTGAACGAATTGAACAGGGCACAGAGAAAAATCAGACTTACCAGCACCGGCAGAGTAGATGTTGAGCATCTCACCGCCGACGATTCCGTGGCCTGCGCCGTGAGGGCCGTTGATCAGAAGCATAAATCTGTCAAAGGTTGTGGAGTTGTTGATGATTCGGTTGATGTTGGTGGAGACAACCGCCCTACGCCAGCTTTCGTCGATTCCACGAACGATACAGGGGGTAGTAATGAGCTTTCCGGGGCCACGGTGAACTAAGGCATCTTTGAATGGCCCATCACGGATACAGCCTCTGTAGATTCCGATATTGGTGAACAATTCGCCCTTGGGGTCAGGGGGAAGCTGGTAGGTTCCTGGAACACCATCCCCGCCAAAGCCGGCAACGGGGTCGAAAATCGGGGAGTCCTTGAGGCTGTACCATTGCAAGGGATTAGACAGCAATTGGAGGCATCATAGGGATACACTGACGGAAGGCTACTATCCGCGTCTCGAGACCAGTCCCAGAAACTAGAAATAGGTTGAGTCGGAACTCCATGCAGGAAGGAAGCGAAAGACTTACGCATAAGGTCCTTTGTATCCACACTCATCGCGGAGTGCATGGAAGTAAAGGGTTCCCAGGTGACGATGCCAGGGTAGGAAATGACCCTGGTGGGGAAGCTTCATTTCCATGTATTTGGAGCGAAATTGACTATACTTACAACCGGGTGAACCCTCTCTGTGAGTAAGATATGGGTCGCCTGAAACTCTTCAAATCGCGACGTAACTGCTTCGCGATCCTCTCTTGGCGGGATCGTCATCAAGCACTTTACTGAGCGAATATAGTCCGCTTTTTCATCAGTAGTAAGGTCTCTCCTAGGTGCATGTTAGCCAGGAGCACGTATCGACGGTGATGATACAACACGCACCATTCCTTGAAGATGTCGATCTTGGAGCAAGTGGCACGGGCTACAGGGACCTTGACGGGACCAGCTGTGACACTGGCAGTAGCGACCAGGTACACCAAGGTCAGCGAAGTGAAGGCACCTGCGAAAGAGAACATGGTGAGAGTTCTGACATTACCTACCCGTCATATGAGTGGTCCTCTTATACCTTTACCGCGGAAAGTCAACGATAGGATGTACTTCTGAAATGTTATTCACCCTTCGTAGATGTAGAAGATATCATACTGGATGAATTGCTGGCTGCATTGGGTCGGATACGAAGACTCTGTTAGGAAGTTGAGCCAAGGACAGGCTTTATTTCGAATCTTGCCAAGTAGGCTTCTGAGTTATTCCTGTTCGAAGAAGTGGGCGCAGCGATACCGACCTTGTTCCTACTCCCCACATTTAACCGCAAGGAAGTACTGACACCCTTCCGGCCGCGACGCAAATGGATGCGCTGGGGCTCCAATTGCTTACCAGAGGTGCTGGCTCCGCGACTCGTGCGTTAAAATCGACGAGGATGGCATTTGGGAAAATGTACTGACCTTCATCTTTGCGCCAGCTTTATCCGAAGTCGCAACATTCCTACTTCTCGCTCGGTTATTCATTTGGATAATTCGAGTTAGGCGTTACTACAGACGATCCTTGTGAATTCTGACTGCAGGTCCAATGAAAGCGAGGGGTTCAAACTAAAGAGCCAATCGCAATAAGAACATACCATACGGAAGCGTCACGAATAGAAAACGACGATACTGGGTATTCAAATTAAGCGCCCATAACACTCCTCGCACATCCCCCACCGAGCCCTTCCCCACCTCACCAAGAAGTTTCGAGATGACGAAAGTGCTACAAAGATTCTCCCTCCCCATTGGACGGTCCAGGATCTTCGGGTATTCAGGCTTCTTGCAACTTTATTTCGAGTCCGCATTTATCCGACAGCGTTCTCGAATCTGATTCTGCTGACCTCGAGGGGTAGAACAGGCAGATGGAAGAGACGTGAGGTCGTGGTATTATTCGTTCGGTTACAACTTTTGCCAGAAATTAATATATGTACAAAAGAAAACTAGACAGTACAGATCGATGACTAGAGTACGGGCGTTGATGTACAGTCCGGGTAAGAGCAGGGAAAATGAATGTAGGCGAATGTTGATGGCGATTGAAGAGAGATTGTCCAAGATTCTATCATAACTAAATGCGACGTCCAAAATAAGCGTCCAGGTGAGTAGGGAGTGGAGTGGTCATGAGACATGGGGCATATATGCATAAGGCGTAATATCGTAGAGGTCCGTCATAGCTCCCATCAATCGAGGGGTTTTGAGCCTACTCTACTCAGCGGCTCCAGGCCCAAGGATAAACGGGTTGGGCCAAATTTCGATGGTGGAACGATTGGTCGTACTGCGGATACTGATGAGGAAGGTAATTTGAGGTGTGTATGTCGTGCGCCTGGGCGAATACAGGAGGGTGCTCGCTCGTCATGCCCATGGCGGCTTCCTCGTATAACCATCGGAAGTCGTCGTTCCTTCGATAGCAGACCTCGTACTCGAGGGGGAACTGGTCCCAGTGCTCAGTTGGCTTGGGCTCGCTCGTCGACGAAGTCTGCGCGGACAGCTCGATTGGCGACAGTGGTGACGCTGGAGGATTGCTCGTCGAGCATTGCTGATAGGGGTAATAGCCTGCCGGAGGCGCTTCAAGTTGGTATTGTTCTTGAGAAGCAGAAGAAAGGGCGACGCATTCCTCTTCCACCTCACGATTGACGAAGCTCTTGCCTCGTCCGCGTGCGACAGGGTGCTGGCGGCTCTTGATGTCTCGCATCGTAGAACACGGGAGAGGAGCGAAATGAGCGTCGACGGGTCGTGAGGTTGGAAGTTGAACGGCCTGAGTATTAACTTGGACCAGCCAAGGGAGTCGTGAGGAGCGTAGAGTATACAGATCAGCCAGTCGCGAACATTGAGTATAAGAGTGCCAAAGGTTGTGGGCGCCGGCCTCGCGGTCAGTTAGTCCAGAAGAATAAACATGCAAAGCGTCAAGTGTGGTCGGTTACAGTAACCAACGGGCATAGAAACCGTTTTATTCTTTCGTTGAAGGGTTAGGCGGGTGGTGACAGCTTTGTTTTGAAAGACAATAAACGCCAGTTTCGGGACTGAGAAGGGGACCCACAAGTTGTTGTCTGGGTGAAAAGACAAGAAGCAATGGACGCGTTGCCGTCATTCCGTCGGATGCCGCTTATATATGGTTCCCACGGCTATGACGGGCGCTAGTTCACGGGGGTTCTTTTAGACGGAGAACAGGGCACATATGCATTGGGAAGTATATCACACAGACACTGACGTATTTATCAAGAAAAAGTAACAAAAACAGAAGCCAAAGGTCGACCCAATCAACCTCTTCGATTTCGCCCGTTTGGACCCCGAGCGACGGAAGGGGTGGCCTGGACAGGCTGAGCAGGATTCGAGGGACTTGGAGGGGCTGCGTCCAAAACGTTAGATATCAACGACATCAGACTAATGATCAATCTATCACTCACCGGGTGTATCTCCAGAAGACCTGCGAAGTCCATTGAGATACGCACTCGCAGCCTCAGCCGCGGCGTCCTCAGTTCCAACAAGAGGGCTGGAGCTCCTCGCATCATCCGAAGACCTCAAGATATCCCTGAGCTCATAGAGCATAATTGTTGTAGAATCACCAAGAAGCTTCTTCTCTTCAGGGGTCGGGCGCGTGTCCCGCATCGCAAGTCTAGCGAAGAGTCGGACGGAATAGGCGTGGGTTCTCGCTGCGTCCCGGACCTTGAGGAACAGTTCGACCAAGGGAAGGGTGTCTTCTTTCTCCTTGATTTTGTCGACTGCGAGTTGGACGATGCCGGAGCCTCCCCACCGCCAGGCGAGCTTGAGGATACAGACCCATTTGTCGACGCTCGCCTCGAATACCCCGATGGTGCTATTGATCCAAATTCAGCGCATCGTGGAAAGGAAACCGAGCCATGACTGACGGATTATAAAAGACCCAGAGAAAATTCTCAAAATCTTCGGCCGTTAACCTTTCGGGAATGTACGCGCTGTCTTCTGTGTTCCATCTATTGGTTAGGTTGGCTAGTTGGGCCGGAGTGACATCGGCCGTCCCATCGAAGAAGAATTTTCGGGCGTGGTCCTGAAAGTGATAAAAGTGCACACAAAAAAGTGTAGGTTGAATCTACAGAGGTTAAGGTACGCGTTCAGACTCCAGAATGTGATTCGGTTGAAAAACTTACGAATACGAACAAATCCGCACCGGTCTTGTTGTAGACTGGATGCCGAGAAAGCTGGTTACTCCTCGCAGAGACGGCTGTGGTGGAGTCAGGCATCGCCCGACCTGCCGGTGTGGTTTGGGAGCTCCTGGGCGTGTTTGCCGCCATGGTGCGCAGTACGAGAGATGAAGAGACGAAGAGGGTCGGGAGAGTCAGGTAGAACTATATAGACCCATGCCTCCAAGCGTCCTTCCCGAGGCCGAAGGAGTTGCATATCTCGTGCTGGGAGGAGCGCGCGATCAGTCTGCGAAGTTATTCATTTTTGGGCACACTTTGTACGTCGTGTGTCGAAGCTGTATTTCATCCTCACATGAAATGTAGAGACGTCGGAAAGGACGAGAAAGTGCATACACATTAACAGTAGTCTAATAGCCTGACCCATTGACACGACGAGCGAGAGTAGCGGACCAACTTCCGAAGGGATTATTCCAATGGTCATGATCGTCTACGACTTCAACACCGGCCTTCAATAAGTCCTGACGGTTTACCTCGGCGTACATTTGTCGAGCCGCGCGGTCTAGCACTAGTCTTGAAATGGCTGGCTTTCGCGACGTGATTGTGACAGTGGATGGGCGATGATCATCAGACGAGGTTTGCCAACGACGGGAGAAATACTTGACGACGTGGTTCACCAACGGGCTGCTAGGCGGAGCGTGGTTGAGGTCGGGCAAGTAGTTCTGACCTTGACTGAGAGGCGAGTCCCTCATGAAAATCTCGGAAAGGGTAGCCAAGGGGTTTTCAGCAGGGTCAATGAGGGAGAACGGGTCACCGTTGCGAACAGCGAGACATCGAAGTGAAGGCGACATGGCGATGAGGAAAGCGTCGTCCTCAACTCTTTGATCGGCGTCTTCGAGCGTAAGTGTGTGGACGTTCCGACACGATCTCCGAGCAAAGGCGTAAAGACAGTGCTGTCTCTCGTGCGAGTTGCCCGGAATAGGGGTCTCTGTGTCCTCTAAGCGGAGGAATTTGAGGTTTGGGAATGTAATCTTCCCCAAGGCGTAAATCGATTGCCCTTGAACGATGACCAAACGCTCCACGCTGCGATTCACCCGTATCTCTGGGGGGTGGAAAGGGGTAGTGGCGATCCGGTTACAGGAATCGATGATGACTTCCTGAAGGCAGGGGAGGCTGTTTTCCGAGAAGACTGAAGCAAAAGCCGAGCTCGACGCCTTGCACCGAAACAGGGTGATTGAGACGAGGGAGGGGTGTGTCAAGTTTTGAGCTTGACGAGAGGACATGGTCCAAGCCGTGATGCGAAGACATTCCAATGCAGGGAGGACAGTGGCCATAGAGGTGAGATCGATACGGTCGTCGACGTGGCCGATGCTTGCGGCGAATTCGCGAACCGAGGCCCAAAGGTTTCCACGGCCCATTTGGTGTTCTTGAAGGGCAGCTCCGAGAACCTCGCACGAGACGGTGCCAGGCAGACCGTCCAATTCCAAGCGTTTCCAACGTCGGCTTGCGACAAAGGAAGGGAAACCCACAGGCAACTCGTCCGCAGCTGTGCGAAAGCGGGATCCAGCCGAGATGACCAGCTGGAGAAGTGGCGAGGTTCCGCCCCTATCAAACCACTCGTTCAGAATCTCGACGCTGGGAAATCGCTTTGTATAGTTGAGACAAAGCCCCTGCCAGAGTCGCGGCATGTGAAGCTGGATCACGTCTCGCCATTTCCTGCAGACGAGTTGCAAATCGGCGAGAGCCTTGCAGTCAGACCTCCCCCGAAGCTTCGGATGCCACAGCGTTCCCTCGATGATGCAGGCGAGTACCTCAGTCGGGATTTTCAGAATGGGTGGTGAGGTGGACATGTAGGCGCCGTTCGTAGAAAGTTGGAGCGGTTACGGCAGTTACCAACCTTCAGTGGTGCACGGTATGGGTGAGGGATAACGGTGTTGTTGGTGGAATGGGGTTGACAAGGGATGTTGAGCGCTGGACACTGGGTTTCTACAAAGCGAAGAGGGGGTAAAATTCAGTATCTGCGACGAAGACGAGATTTCTGTCAGTGGCGGATGAAAGGGAAAAGCTGAGGCACGCATTTGGGCGCGACCCGCCTGTTTATGTCTGATGCCGTGTGTTTATCAAGATCGTCCATTTCAAACCGACTCTGGCATAGAATCCGAGTCGATCTTTGAGTTGGCTCATTCACTTTGGTTATCTGATAGTCACGGTTCCATTAATATTTGAGTAATCTAGTCAAGCCATAAATATAATGTACACTTAGAATTGGTAGTTTAATTTGGTTTTGATTCACCGTCCCCATTTCACCTTTTTGACGTTGTCCAGAACCCCTTCCGAGACTCCGTTGACCATCACAAGCCACTGCTTTCCGTTTACATACGGCGTATAGAAGCGCCCTAGCTCAGGTGCGCGAGGCGCCGAAGGGAAGACAAGGACAGACTCTTCTTCCGCATCGCAGTTTGCCTCGCCCGAGTCCACGGACGAGCCGTAGTCATCATAAGCGCTTACAAACCTCACCAAGCACCGCTTACCAGTGATTTCGGCAATAATTTCTGTGCCTATCTCTGGAGAGAATGAGGCTCTGATAGAGGATGTGTCACTAGGGGCATGATTTTCCTTGTCCGATTCGTCGTCGAACGTAGCGCCATCATCGATGTCCTCCAGAGAAGTCGGCAAGTCACGTTGAAGCGGTGCAGCGTAGAAGCCCCAGGGGAGTCCGCGAGAATAGTAGATTTCTTGACCTTCCCTATCAGCGACAATAGGGAGGAACCGATCGTAATCAGGATCGGGGAAGCCGACCTCGCTTTTCATCGAAACCGAACCAGAGCAGGAATCGGATTCGTCGTCACCCTCATACCCCATGTTGCTGGTTTCATAGTCTCTGTCCCCCGATTCATCGTCTTCCAAATGTAGAGAGTCCGAAGAGGTAAGATCCAGTTCGAAGTGAGTCAAGAGAGGCGATGGAGGAGGGAGAGGACTTTGTGCGCCAGTTCGCGCCCAGGTTGCATCGAGAGGAGTGTCAGAGAATATTTCCCAAGATTCATCGGAGACGTCAGAGACTTTCCCAAAATGAAGCGAAGATCGAACTCGAGCTTTCCAGACAGAAAACAAGTTGGCGAAGAATTGCTTGATACCCATCGTGGAGAGAGTTGGCTTGGATGGGAGTGTACTGTCCCTCGCTGCACCACAGTCTTCTTAAGTACAGGACAATGCTTTGACTCGCAAGGTCCAAAGGTTTGGTCCAAGGCACTGCCCGATATGCCTCTGGGTCAAAGCGCGTCAGGCAAGGCGCGCTTGAACGGTATACTTCCAGGAACCGTATCAAACGAAAGGGGTAACCTGATAGCGCTCACTGGAGACTTCAGAGCTGTGAACGGAGCAGTATAACACGAGCAATGCGTTCAAGCACCGCCCAACTGGCCAAGACGAAATCAAGGGTACCAAAGTCATCGCCAGTACCACTGATTGAGTTTTCAAGCGCCGCTTCAAGTATGTCGCACGTGGCCGAGGTACTGTACTCCATTGTTTTGGATTTGAAGCCTGAAGTGCTGTCCCTCCATCGTCCTGCATTGAATGCTTTCTCATAATAACGTCTGATATCTGGATACTAAGACTTTACGCTCATCCTATTCAACTTATCCAAAAGACCTTCAAACTCCTGCCCTTCGGCGAACAAGGCGACGCCTCGAATGCTGGTTCCTAATTGTTTGTGCCATGCTTTCATGCATCGCATCGTGGCATTGCATTCGGTCACAGAATGGTAAGTGTCAGTGACCTCTACAGCTTATCAATTCTTTCTCAATAATGCTCGTCGATCCTCGATTAAGACCCCCGAAAAGACAAAAGGTTCGATGGTGTGGACCCACAGAAACGACGCCAGCCCTTTACCCAGCTGTCAAGTTCGAAAATCTTGTATTCGGCACTTACAGCTTGTCTACCGGACCCACAGCGTAGCTATCAACGGTTTCTAGCTGGCTCTTCGGTTTACAGAGACAACAGACCCTAGCGACCCTTCGAGATTTAAAAACCCTTCACCTCGCTCTATGGAAGTTCAAACTACTCTATACATATCCCAACCCCTAATACGCGAGCCTGGACAATCTTTCTGGGTTTGCGCTGTCTTCCCCCTAAGCTTTGGTTAACCGAGGCTTTCTTCGCCTGTCCTCGAGTCTGCAACGAGGATGACCAAGTTCAAGATCAGATCACGACTCAGGCGCTTCTTCTCGCCTCTGCTCCCTGGCTTCCGCTCGAAACGCGAATGCAGAAACAATCCTCTCGGTGCTTCTCTGGCCAATGCTCAAATCGACATCTGGGTTGAGGACCATCGACAAGTTTCTACTTGCAGCAGATCGCTCTACGAACCGACGATTACGACGAATGTCAATACAGCAATACCTTCCGTTTCTGGCGTCTGTGGCGAGAGCTATGATGACGAAGATGCCTCGTCACGCATCGTTCCCACTGTTTCAGGAGAAAATTCCTTTTCTCCATCCCAATGCGAAGGACCTAACCCTCGACACTGTACCGCCGAAGGAGGCTCTGGCAGCGTGAACTCGGTTTCTGCGGGTGACAGCCTCCCATCCGACACACCTGACTTGGCCAGTATGGCGTCCCTCACCACGACTGCTGCTCCCCCGGCTAGATCTGGGGACCATGGAGGTCCACTCCCTCTGACACTTTCGACGACTGCCTTGAACGGAGAATGCGATGCCGACGACGAGCCTTCGAAGTGCATCGCCATTACACGGGGTCATCCTGATAACCAAATTGCAGATACTCCTAATTCTGACGTGTCATCGCTGCTGGCTCTCCCGAACTTCGCGCCAAACAACGATGCTAAGAGCATCGTCTCTATTCGTGGGACGAACTGTATCATCGAGTTTATGGGTCGACTTGGTCCGCCTGCTACTCGTCCCTCGAAACCCAGCCCTAGATCTAACATCACCACGCTCGAGTTCAGTACCCAACCCAGCCTTCCTAAACCTGGTCGGATCTATGCTCCTCAGGTCAACTTCGCTGGTCGGGTTGAACAATGGCTTATCATGGTAGAAGCTATCCTGGGAGACCACGTCGACAGGTACGTATTGGTTTACCTTGGAGTACGCTCGTTCTCTAATCAGTGGCGCACAGAGAAAACTCATCGCTGCCCCAACTCGAAACAACAGTCACCCCCCAAGTGCATACCCCAGGGTCATATTACATCCTCACGTCGACACCTTTCACGAGGAGCAGACTGGCATCCGATATCCCCGACCAAATCCTGATTCGTCTATGCCGATCCATCTCTCAATCGCAGCTCGACCTTCTCTATGAGTCTGCGCGAATGGAGGTTAATTTCTACTATTACGCCAATACCAATCCGAGGGTAGCGCTGGAACGGGCGAGGGCGGGAGATGTGATCCTACTTGCCCTACCCACCCAGGGTTCTGGATGTCGGAGGGAGATGTGGTTCGTGGAGGTATGTGCGAAGTGGGAGTGGCACGGCTTTACGGAGAGTGGAGGGGTGGTAAAGTCCAATGAAGGCGATGCTCAGTCTCTCAAGGCTGAGAACGGCCATGAGAGTGAGAGTGACACTTCCACGATTTCGGTCAGTGAATCATGGGCTACCTCAGTTACCGAGACTCGACTGATGATTGTTTTACAGGGCGAGTCCAAGGCATCCGCCGAGCTTACCATTCAGCGCCGAGTCGAACGGGGGCGGCTGGTCGAAATCCTGGACACTAGTCTCGACTTCCAATGTGACGCGATCGGTCCTACTACAGTTTGCGACGCTTCACTTGTCTCTACAGATTGTCGGGATGCGGACTTACCTTCGTACGAGGACGCCATCGAACACCAATCGCGACCTCCACTAGGGTACTATGGCGAAGCTCGGCCTGCTGGGCCATGGGGCTGGCAATGGCAGCCGGTCGAGCACCGCTTTATCCAAAGTCCAGAACCCGAGGACTGCCGTCGGCGATTTACTGTAACTCTTCGACCCCTCTCTGCGATTGGCCAGGGGAGGCCATGTCCCACTCCCCCGACGGATTGTAGCGTGGAAGCAAACTGCGGATCCTCGTCCCCACCCAGTAGTCCTGGTTCCTACTCCGACTCATCATCTGAATGGAATCCAGAGACCTTTTCTGAGCTTGGTGAGGTCTTGGATGACCTAGGATACTACTGGGACAACTCGGCCGAGTTGTCGAAGCAGAAGCCACACCGGGGCATTGACTGCGAGAATCAGGTTGGAATGATTCCTTTTCCTTCTCTGCCATCCCTCCCGCCTTCACCAGAGCCGGAAGATCGGCCTAGGGACGAGCTAACAGCCTTCGACCTCCTTATGGCGACGGAACGAGGTGCTCTCCCTCCATTTTCCGAATCTGCGTCACCCTCGTCCCATCTCGCTCACACGTTAACGACTTATGACAGACACGGAATACCAATGACGACGATTCTACGAGAACGACAATGGCCTGTGTTTTTTACACTGGAAGACGCTTTGATGTATGATGCTCGACAGGAGCAGCACGAAGAGTGGAAGCGGATTTGTAGAGAGGGAAGGTTGTTGGTGAGGAAGGAACGGGTGGATGCATGGAATGCAAGGGTGAAGTGGAGGGCGCAGGTATGGGAGGACCGCTGGCAAAGTTTCTGGTGGGAGCAGGAGAAGAGGCGTCGAGAGATGCTGTTCGATATGATGTTTCTTCAACCTTGGCAGCCGCAACCAACGCTGCACGATCAACAGTTGGCCTTCGTAGGAGGTGGAGACCCTTCCTGGCCCGGGAACCTGTATCCCAATTATCATTACAACGACGTTGAACAGCCGGAGTCTCGTGCACACATCCTGGACCTTTCCAATACACCCATCCCTCCACCGTTCGCCAAGGACCACCAACCAGACGGATGTTTCATGTGCATCGCCCAATCGTCTGGGATCGGGAATATGGAGGGTGCGATTCGCGGGAGAGGTCAACCCATTCACAACGATAGCGAGCATACCGTTATCTATGCACCAGAGCCTTTACGAGTATTTTAGGAATAGTACGTTATGACCGTCGAACGATTACAAGACCTACATCGCTACTTACTGGATTTCTACTAATTTCGAGCACGGACGATCTCATCGCATACATACATACTTATTACTCACTGGATCGAGAGCAATCTAGCACCTGGACAATATTTATTTAGCGTCGCTACAAATGGAATGAATGTTCAATGAAATCTCAAGCGCTGAAAGCAAATTACTTGGGATAGTCAAAGCGTGGTGAAGAACAGGTACAAGCACTACCTTCAAGGGCGTTTGGCACAGTGGTAGCGCGTTCGCTTTGCATGGTCGTTTAGATTCAGCTTGCGAAAAGTCCAGGGTTCAATCCCCTGAACGTCCAAGTCAACTTTTTTTGATTGTTTTGATCTTTGATGCGCGGTTATCTAGATTCCACCGACGATCACCCGCTGTCGCGACCAGAGTCAAAGCTTCGCGTCATAGATTTTTACATCGGCCAGAGGTTTCTTGTGCATGCGTATTGCCGTCCTCAAAGCTTCAAGCCAGTCACGGACGTTCGTTGTGCTTTAAACATTTTTATTATATTATATACGGTAGGGTTAACAGAGGGACAGGGACTAGATTCGCCGAAGCAAATAGGAGAAGTGATTAAAGACGGACTCTAGATATGAGATGGTATATGAAATAGTAGGTAACGCTAAAGAAAAGGAAAGAAAAAAGAATGGTGGTAGATGAACTTAGAGATGGAAGGCTGAAGAGAATGTGTACTCGATGATCATAAAGTTCGTGAAGAGGCCGATTAAAGACCTCCGAAGTGATTAAAATTGTAATGGCCACTAGGGCCACCTGCTCCTCCATCGTAATGGCCATTTCCGTCGCTGTCGTCGCCTTGAGAGTGGTTGGGATATTGAGAAGGCGGTTGGTTCTCATCTTGGAACAACGCCGACAGGTCGAACTCGTCGCTACCTCCGAGTCCCTGTCCCCCATCCGTATCTTGCGTGGTGAACACACTCGGATCGAAGTACTGCAGCAGGTCATCGAAATTATCGGCGGCAGCTGTATTCTGGTGGTTGTTGGAATAACTGGGGCCTGGAAGAGGGTTAGTCGAACCGTAATTGACAGGGATTCCGTGATTCATGTAAGTCGATGGAAGAATGGGGAGGAATGCCAACGAAGGACTCGGTGTAGCGGAAAGGTCGGTGAGGAGAGGGGAAGGTTCGTGGCGCTGGGAGGGCTGACCTACGTATCCCGGAGGCGGTTGCCACCCATTACCAGTCAAGTACGACAAGAAAGGGTTGACCAGGGAGGCTTGTCGAGGCCGGGTTGGATACGGCGCGTGGAGGGTTTGAGTTTGGTGTGCGTAGTTGGCTTGGCCAGACGTGGAACCAAAATGGTTCAACATTACCGGGTTCGAGTTGCCTTCAGCCTGCTGAAGGGTGAGTCCGGCTCCGTGATCTAGAGTGTGCGCGGAGGTGCTAGCGAAGCTATTCGACTGTTGATGAGTTGGGTTGGAATATGTGTTCAATGCCTGTGGTTCATGGTTTCCAGAGGGAGTGTTATGCTGTTCGACTGGGGAAGGGACTGGTTCGGGTACGGTTAAGTCGCCAGGCTCTTGGGTATTCGCATGTTGGGACTCGTCTGAGAGCTCTGATTGAATGGGAGGGGTGACCGTACGTTCAGTCTCTGCTTGCGGCTGCGGAGCGAAAGGCGTAAACTCGGCAGCCGCCTGAAGCAGGGTCTGCTGAGCGATCTGTACCGCGCTGCGCGGAGGGCGCGCTCCTTGTTCTGCTTGGGTTCCGCGTCGATTGGTTTGCCTCTGGCGCTGTGCCCTTTGAGCTCCGGTGGATGATTGGGATGAGGATGCCTAAAGGGTTGTATAAGTACAAAAGATCAAAGCGCCGTAATTCTGTGAGACTACTTACCTCTCCGCCCTCGGTATGTCGGCTTGGTCCTGCCACAGGTCGGTTCGTCGCTTCTTCCTCAGGTGAGCATTGGCGCTGATAATCCTGGATCGACCAGTGAGTACCATGGTTCGACTTTAAGATAGACAGAAAAGTTACTTACCTCCAACTCCTTATCCAATTTCTTTTTCGCAGACCTTTTGCCCCTCTTCTCGCGATTGAACTTATAGTCAGGGTACAACTTCTTATGTTCCTTCTTCTCTTGCTCGGCCTTTGCGAAATAGAGGCTTCTAACCTCCTCACTCTCGTTCCTCCAAGCTGCGCCAGCGCACCTGGACACATGTCCAAAGGTACTCTTGGGGTCGGATCCGTCGCCCTGCATTTCGAGCGCTTCTTGCTCGAAGCGTTGTTGGCGCTCTCTTCTGTAGATCATGAAAGCATTGGATGGGCGAGGGATCTCGTTTTTCTTTTTCTTCTGACGCTTGGCAGGCCGAGCTGGGGTGTTCTTGTTGTTGTCGTCCTTCTTTCGACCCTTGTCGTCGTCGTCGCCGTTGTCTCGACTTCTTTTGGGAGGCATCGCTGCGTCGTGAATGAAGCAGTAGCGAAGACGGTGTTGTGGATAGACGATGTGTAAGAATAGGGAGGTTTGAGTAGGCTATGTGGGATGTCTTTAGAGGGGGGTGGAAGAGAAACGTGAAGTTGAAACGACCGTGGTCGCATTTACTTAAGTCACCCAGCGTTCTTTGTGCACAATAGCACGTGACCCTCGATAACTCATTAGACGCGTAACGCGTCTATCTAGTTGCTTTGTTTCGCGCGCATTGATCGCTCGTTTCTTGTTCCCACGGATCTCGAGACGACAATGGGGTGAGCGTAAAGTCAAAGTGATAGGGAAAAGGCAGTTCAGGAGATGTAACTGTCGCTCTTGGACACTAAAGCGGCCGACTGCGTTGATTTGGGGTTCTTTGAGATGGGTCAAAGTTCAAACATCGGCGATATTCTAGTACGTGACGCATGGACCACGAGCACTAGACTCCGGCGCGTTGGTTTTCAAAATTCGTATAGGAAGAGACATGGCCGCAAACGTGCTCTAATACTTTTCGGGTCACTCTCAAGGTCAGTGAAGGTCTCAATCATAGAACAGGACTCGTTGTGAGTTCAAGTAGATATGGTGGGCAGGACACACGAGCTGGCCAATGCCTCTAATACTCGGAATTGAATATTGTTAATACAAGATACGAGACTTTAGTAGTACCGATAGAATCGAGCGAAGAAGAGTAACTACGACAACGTTTTCAAAATCAAAATTGAATTCAGAAAACGAAGTAAAAATACGCCTAGTATACGCACAGCTCCGGAAATATCTCCAGAAACGGTTGGCCAATAACCCAACGTTCAGAATTGTTAATGGTGCGCCGATCAAAGTAGAAATCGGCTTCGTCGAGGCCTGCGTATTTGAAGAACGGCGTGTAAGTAAGTGCGATTCGAAGCCATACGATGAGCTGAGAAAAGACATCCGACCAGTCAACTCCGAACGTACTCACCATCCTCCTTCAACCTAGCTCTAACATCCTCCTCCTCCCTCTCCTCCTCAAACGTAGGCAACAACTCTTTCGACATGCCTTCCCACCCCTGCACACCCTCGATCTCCTTAATCTGCATAACAAGCATATATTGTCCAGGCTCGATCTGCGTCCAATGGATGACCGCCTCCCGATAGACACGTTGCGTTTCGAGTTGCCTGAGGATCTTGCAATATGCCCGGCCTCCATCCCGATCCGTTTGGGGGTCGTAGTACTTTTTGTCGATGTTGCTAGCCCATTTGCGGATGGCGTCGCGGGAGAGGACGAAGCCTGCCGCTGCTCTGTCCATGAGCTCAGCGCCCTCTGGATATTGGATCGTCTGGAGACGCGTGGGCTCTCTGCGGGGTGTGTGGGTCGAGATGGACATGATGGTTGAGCGAGGCGAGAGGTAGTTGGGGTCGCACTCGTGTAGGTGACCTGGTGTTATATGAGTCTGGACGCGTCCTCGTGCATTGTTCGTGCCGGTTTGTGGACGCCAGTTACGATAAGCTCGATCGATAGAGAGTCAGCAGAATTCCAGCGGAACGTCCTGAAATTGGACGCGTTGATTGGCGATGAGCAGATTGAATTACGCAGAATCCTGTATCATGGGTAAAGTGCATTTTGGAAAACGGCGTCGCTTGGAGCAAAGTCAAAGGTGCCAGCGGCGGAGAAGTATATCATTATCGACGGAAGCAATCGTTTTCTATCCGGACAAATCTACATAACAGACTCAGGCTCAAACCCATCGGCTACTATATGATCAAAGGCTGCCCAATAACCCATCGTTTGCCGTTACTAATGGTTCGATAATCGAAGTAGAAATCATTTTCGTCTAGACCTGCAGAGTTGGATGGGTAGAAGAATAACATGTGAGCATATGTACGAGGAATTACAGAATCGACTTGGATACTCGATACCAAAAACGCACTCACCATCCTCCATCATCTTCCTTCTAACCTCCTCCTCCTCCCTCTCCTCCTCAAACACCGGCAACATCTCCTTCGGCATCCCCTCCCAACCCTGCACCCCCTTAATCAACTTAATCTGCGTAACGAGCATAAACTCCCGACGCGCGATTTCAGTCAAATGGAAGACCGCGTTCAGGTAGACGCTATGTCGTTCGAGATGATCCATAATGTCGCCAAAAGCTTCGTTTCCATTTGGGTCTTCGTCAGGTTTGTAATGTGTTTCGTCGACTTTGTGTGCCCATTTTCGAAGGACGTCTAGGGAGAAGATGAAGCCTGCTGCTGCTCGGTCTCGGAGTTTGGCTCCATATGGAGGTTGGATGGCGGGTCCATACCGTGCGGGCTCTTTTCGGGGAGTTTGAGTCGATGCGGACATGGTGGCAGTGGGCTAGGTGGAAGGTTTAGTTGGTGGGCTGTGTGTTACTTATGTGGGTCTGAACGCGTCCTCGTGCATTGTTCGTGTCGTTTTGTGGGTGTCGGTTACGACGAGTTCCATCAGTAAAGGATCAGCAGAAAGTCAAACAACTAAACGCGCTATCCAATCACACTGTGCCGCAAATACTTACTAGGAGGTCCTGAGAGATGCCTCGCCGTGATGGTACTCATTTAATACGTCAGACTCGAAGTATGAAGAACGGGAAAACATCTATTTTATTCAGCGAGATCGGAATTATTCAGGATGGATTGAGTACGATATGAGATGGATGAAGCCATAGTATAGAACGTCTAAAAGGATAAGGGAGTGACAGAAGCCAATAACTCACGGAAGGGATCAAGAAGCTGGTGCCGTAGAGCGAGCGGACTCGGCTAGCGCGCTGGCATGCAAAAAGGGCACAAAGTCGGGGTTCACAAAGGCCCTCCGATGCCTGTCCACAACACAGCCGGGACTGACACGACCCAAAACCATAAGAAACAATGTAATGGCAACTTCCCAAAGCCCCTCGCACACCGTGTGCTCCAGCGCCTCCAGAATCCATCGCCGCACATCCCGGTCCCATCGAAGCACAACCGAAACTTCCCCATCAACATCATGACCATCCTTGTATTTCAAAGTCACTTCGTTGTGCCTTCTGCTACGTGTCTCCTCGACGATGCAATCCTGGGGTGGCAAATCGGAGAATTCCTGTGTTCGAGCTCTCGCGCCCACCAAGTTGAATAATGGATAAGCGTCTCTCGATCCGAGACATCTCCAGGATTGGTCACGTCTCTTTCGAATTGGTAGAGATCAACTGAAGGACTCGAGAGTTGCATATCCCATTCAATGAACTCAGCGATAATAGAGGCATCACGCCTGCCACCCCAACGGGTGCCCGACAGCTCTATGAGCGCAACCGGTAGGGGGTTCGGCGGGTCGCTGACGTCCATCAAAGACACGAACGACGGGCCTCCCCCGATGTGGAATATCGGTATCGTCTGTCCCATGGGGTATAGAACGGTGTTAAAGATATTGCCCGGAGCGTCTGAGACGATCTCAGTAGGGTTCCTGGGCTCAAAAACGTACATCTCTGGGTCGCTGTGCTCAGAAACCAATGTTGGCATCACGAGGCTCATTGTTGCTTGATTGTGGGTCTTGCTTTGCGGCGATGATTGAGTCTGGGTCGTGGTGTGTTTCGGAGCGGTTTGCTACTGGACGGTAGATGGAGCCCATGCGCCTATTTATAGCCTGATAAATTCCTTTGTGGGCAAACGCTTGGACACTCGGGCGCTTTGATCTCTTTTGCTACACATTGACCACTGAGGTACCCCTGGGCCCTCACCAAAGACCGGTGGTGAACCGTTGTCGTTTGGTCTCAATGGTCCTCGCCTACTAGTCGTGTTTGTTCGTGTTAGGATCGGATGCCCTAATGGCAACCTCAGGTTCGCCTGCTCTGAACCTCTTTATTTCTCTATATCCATACAGTTAAGCCCTTGATAGCTGTGGAGTATAGCTTGAGAGACCAGACCATGCTTTCCTAACGGCCACATGGTGACGAGAAAAAGCGATGTTCTTCGTCGCGCAGCCAGCCCGCGGCCTCATCACTTTGAAACTCCGCTTGAAATAGCCGAACTCGCGTTCGATCGCGCTGAGCGAGGTTCACAATCTTCTACATTCTCCACCAGCGCCAAACTAGCTAAACCCTCGAGATTTGCTTTTGGGGTTGGAATTTAGGCCTTTAGACGGTCTATACAACACGTTATATCTGCCAGTGGGAACCAGGACGACTCAACATGCCGAGCGAACTAGACAGGTAAGGTATATCTGCGATTTGGAACGAGATTTCACCAATACGGACTTACCAAGCCCATATACCGCCCTTAAAACCACATTTTATCGACGTACGGTCCTCATTTAATACCGCAAACCTCGTCTTTCTGGCGACAATATCTCAGACAAATCGAACAATTGACGAAATGCGAAATCATCTCAGAGGAAGCTGTGAAGCAGCTTTGTCTAAAAGCTCGAGAGATTCTGATTGAAGAAGGGAACGTCCAGGTCGTCGATGCTCCAGTGACGGTGCGTCCTTTGAAATTCTCATAGAAAGCAAGTGTCTGACCGAGTTCTTTATTCCATCTACAATGGCACCTGGCTTGCGAACCGACTCGCTGATTGTCCTAAATCCCGTTTCTGTGGACTATCTCGTTCGTTCAGATATGTGGCGATATTCACGGACAGTTCTGGGACTTGATGGAGCTGTTCAAAGTGGGAGGTTTTTGTCCAGAGACGAATTACCTGTTCATGGGTACATTTTCCAATCATCCATTGTTCGATCCGGTGCTCATACCCATTCCCACCAGGCGACTTCGTAGACCGAGGGTTCTACAGCGTCGAAACCTTCCTTCTCCTACTGGCTCTCAAAGTCCGGTACCCCGACCGTATAACCCTTATTCGTGGAAACCATGAATCTCGTCAAATCACTCAAGTGTATGGGTTCTACGATGAATGTCAGCGGAAATACGGGAGTTCGAACGTGTGGAGGTGTGTCTTTCTGTTCTTTAATTCCGATTTGAACGACATAATTGACCGGGGCGGCTATAGATGGTGCTGTGAAGTTTTTGACTACCTCGCGTTGGGCGCTATCGTCGATGGGCGGGTGTTCTGCGTACATGGGGGCCTAAGTCCGGCACTATCGAGCATCGATCAAGTACGTCGGAATTCATTTCATCGCGTCTCGTTTGACGCCCTTTGCTAACGCCCTCAAAGATCAGATCCATCGACCGGAAACAAGAAGTACCACACGACGGGCCAATGTGTGATCTACTCTGGAGTGATCCAGATGGTACGCTTCCTCTTATTTTTCTTCTTCCTCGTCGCTTACTTTTTGTTCTCCAGACATCTCAGGTTGGGGCCTCTCGCCACGCGGTGCTGGATTCCTCTTCGGCGCAGACATCACTCGCCAATTTTCGCACAACAACGCCATCGACCTCATCGCCCGTGCCCACCAGCTCGCCATGGAAGGCTATAAATTGATGTTCGATAAGATGATTGTGACGGTGTGGAGCGCACCTAACTATTGCTATCGGTGAGTTTTCTGCGGACTTTCATGTGCTACGAATGGCTGAATAGCATTACTTCTAGATGCGGAAACGTTGCCTCCGTCCTCGAACTCGACGAGCACCTCGCGCAGGAATACAAAGTATTCAGTCACGCGCCGATGGTGAGCTATTTCATATTTCTTTCTTACTGTCACATTCTAAGCACCCTTGTCTGATGTCTGATTGGCATACTAGGATATCCGGTCTATCCCTGCTAAACGACCGCCTGCGGATTACTTCTTGTAGTCTTTCCGATGTAGGAGTTTTTGTTATTTTCGATATCCATTTGAATCGTACTCTTGGGGCACGTTTTCACGAAATGGGTGGGTCGTTTGAGCGTATTCCAATGGTAGGCGAATGAAGTCTTGGCTCTGGCGATCGCAGCCCCCAGCATCACATCTGGAGCAGCTTCAAGGCATTCTGTTCCCCGCGATCTGGAGACGACACCTTGAAATGAAAGGGAGGAGAGTCGTTGTAGGTGCGTGTTGGCCGTCACGGCGTCACGGTGCGCGGTGTAGTCACCAGTGGACCCACTCCTGTTCTGAGGCAGTGCGAGGTGGTATTTATCAACCTAACGACCGACCTTCCACTCGCGAGAAAGCTGAGAATATTATCGGAGATACCTGACATTCATATTTTTGGGAATGGAGAGCGTCGCAGTCTCAGCGGATGCGCAGACTCCGACTCCTCGTACCCGGACCTCGGTGAACCTCGTGGGAAAGCTTGCTTTAAGCGCCCAACGTCCAACGCCAAGCCTCGAGCGAACGAACTTGGGTATGTAGAATCGAGGCGATTGTGTCAGTTGCTTTGTACATTTGTAGTCTGGTAGAGGCTAAATTTTGAAAGGATCGGACTCGTGTACTTACATCCGTATACTGCTGCGTTCTGAGACAGGCTGCTATTCCGCCGACCGGTTTGGGTAGGCTATAGACCCAACAATATTAGATAGCATCGATGACTTGGCTGCGATCGTAGTCTCCACAGCCCTGGTTCTTCCAACCCCACAAACGTAAATTCCTTGCATGGGGGGGAGACGCGCGCTGTCGCAAACCTCGCCCACAAACTGCCATGAGGAATACACGACGAAGAGGCGTTCAAAATGATGTAATCCCAAGCCGCGTAAAGGTAAGCTCGTCCGATTGACCATGAGGAATACACAAGGAATTGAAGCCTGAAGACGTGTTTAGGTTAAAATATAACCGACACGCATTGTTCCCGGCCTCTCCCTCTCTCCCTCCTCCTCACGAGTCACTCACTCACACCACCACCGTGTCCATGTCCGACTCAACGCACACACCTCGCAAAGAGCCCACACCTTCGACCTCCAGAATCCATCCCCCAAAGGGTGCTAAACTCCGCGACAAAGCAGCAGCAGGGTTCATCCTCTCCGTCGACGCCTTACGCAAATGGGCGTCCAAAATCAACGACCCGGAGTATGATGATTACGACCCCAATGAGGATCTGGACGGAGAACAGGCGTATGGCGAGATACTGCGTCACCTTGAAGAACACGCCGCCTACCGCGAGGCTGTGATCCATTTCATCGATGGGGAGCGAGAGGGGGAGTTTCTGCTTGTTACGCAGATTAAGTGGATTAAAGGGATGCAGGGCTGGGAGGGTATGCCGAAGGAGCTGCTGCCTTCGTTCGAGGAGGAGGCAGAGGAGGAAGGTGTTAGAGAGAGATTTAAGATGGATGGTGAGTAACGTTAATCATGCTTCACGAATCTCTGTTTCTTTTCTTTACTTTTTTTTATTTTTTTTTTCTTTTGTTTTTTACTCACCGCTCGTATACGTAGGCCTGGACGAGAACGATTTCCGCTTTGATTCGTGCACGTTGTCGGATGCCGAACGATGGGTTATCGGGCAGCCCTTTGACGATAGTCATATTTAGCCTATGCTACTGAGCGTGTTGGAGTACCGGAAAGTTGGTCTACACATCGGGATTCGAAAGCAACCTTAGGGTTGTGCATGTAGCCTTTGCATTCGAGCGTATATATAAGAGAACTACTTTCAGCATGCCAGCGGTGCGGTCCCGGTAGGTGGCAGGTATATTGCCTATCAGGCCCTAAAACACAGTTGGGCAGGGCTCCCGCAACCGCGTGAACTGATCATGAGGTGCGAGTTCCCAGTGTCACTCGCTGGTATTGGCGGTACACGTACTTAGTTAAACAAATCAGTCACTACACCGGATTACCAGGGGTCTGACCATATCGAGGAAAAGAACAAAATCACCTTTATCATGAGGCTGAAGTCAGTTTTACTATGCTTTGACGTCGACACACACACCCCGCGGAGAGCCCATGGATTTCCAGACGATTCAGTGTCCAGAGGGCGATGAGCTCTGGGGTAGAAATATTAGGGCTAGCAACGTCGACAAAGAGGACGACGACCCCCAAACGGATCTGGATGGCGACGGGGCGTATTTCGATATCCTCAGGCACCTCGAGGCGCAACGTGTCTATCGGGAGGCGGCCATTCATTGGACCCAGATCGAGCCTGGAGAATATACCCTTGTTATTGGACAATGACGTGAAATGACCACCTACCGGAGTTAACGTAGATGATGTGGCTTAACTTTCCGAGTCGGAATCCATCACCTTCCTCTCTCTCGTCCTCGTTAGTATGTACTGTATCGTAAGCGATATATTTTTGTATAGATTAAGGGTACAGGTCACTCGATGCTTGAAATCGACCTCATGTTCTTCGATATAGCACTTGGATCGGTGTCAAAGTCGTCCGGGAAACTGCCCTCATTGATTACTCTTCAAACAGGCGTTGCTTTCTTTACACGACCAAAGTTCACACAAACAGCAATCCATTGTCATTTCATCGGACTTGATTACAGAAAGTACTGATATGGAGATGTTCAGTTACGTCGTATGTACACTCGAGCTAGCTGCGATAATGCATAGTACTCAGAAAGGCAGGTAGGCGGCCAAATTGGCGGGGAGGGAGGGGACAAGCAACACGTTGTAGTTGCTATAGAGAAGGTATTTGCTCCTGTAGTAATTATCGTTTGTCGTTTCCGGCACATCGTGCCACGCCCATGGCCTGAAGAGTGCCAAGAAAAGATAGCACATAAAGGTGCCCATTTGATACCCCCTCGCATCCAGCTGGATCCCAGTAAGGTATTCCAATAGATACCCAGCTGAAGTCATTTGAAAAGACCCTACCTTTCTATCTCTGTTTCGGTCGATCCACGTGAACTCGAGTATCTCATTGTGGTATCGTCCGTACCACATGTGGCTGACTCCGGGTTGGTCTACTTGGAAGCACAACCGCTGGTCCCATACGCGTACCTTAACGAAGTTAGCGAGGGTGACCCATCCATCCGTATGTGTGGATGAGATTTGTGGAAATGCCCTAGGTTGTGTATCACCCAGCATCCAAGCGGGCCATTCAAACTGCAAATTGAGGTCCTCCTTATCAGAAAACTCGGAACCCCTTGCAGGCACCATGTTTGTAACGAACGATCCGTTGTTGGCACTCGATGATTTTGTGTTGAATCTGAGGACCTTGCGCCCGAGGACCGTGACATCGCAGTTGAAGATTGCATACTTGTTCTCCTCTATAATGGTTTCTGCATGGATCCGAAATACCGCCTGGGACTTTAGGCGCCGGTCAACGCTTTGCCATCCCTCCTGGTACCGATCCGGTTGAGGTTGTCCTTGAATCTGGCCACTGGCTTGATGCGTCGTCAAAGGGTAAGAGGCATAGCTGTGCGGGGTTTGGTGGCCCATATGCGCTCCATGCAAAGGCTGCGTTTGCGAGCCGTAGTAGTAATCCTGAGCCTGAGGGTTCCTGCTTGACCCTGCGACTTGTGATGGGTGCATTGCGGATCCTGGTGCATGGTGGGGGTATTGGCCGTGCCAGCTTGAAATGGGCTGCCCTTGGTATTGCCCGAGTTGAGCCTGTTGCCACTGTTGCTGTTGGTGAGCATGTTGAGCATGCTGGAGTTGGTGATGTTGGTGAGCATGCTGGAGTTGGTGATGTTGTTGAGCTTGTTGGAGTTGCTGAGCGTGAGCGTGTGCCCGAGCCTGAGCTTGAGCTTGAGCCTGAGCCTGAGCTTGTTGTGCGGCCAACCACTGTTGCTGCTGCTGTTGCTGCTGTTGCTGATCCATTCTGAGCTTGAACTTGAAGGTGATACTGTTGAACGTCGAGTGAAATGTTCGAGGTTTGCGTTGGAGAGAATAAACTTGTAGATGTTCTTAAGTGAAGTTCGCTTGATTCTTGAATGTGTCGGAGAGAGATCGATTGCTTTGAGGGAGAGTTCGCTATGGACGATAGGCTTTATATACCTTTCCAGAGAGAGAGTCTCCCTTGGCGCGTTTCGTCTACATACATCACATACTCATCCCAAGGACAAATTCAGATGATTCGAATCTCAGAGCCCTTCGTGAATTTTGAAAGGCCTCGATTGAGATACGAGTCGTCCTCCGTTGCCCAGGTGGAACGCGTGCGTACTAGGAGTCATGAAGCGAACACATATCCCCGAGCTTGAGAATACGCACTAGTACCTAGATTTGACAACCAAAGAAGTTAGTGCACATCTCGTCCTAGTCGCACAGCTCGTCCTAGTCTCGATTCTGTCGCCGCTAAAGCGAGGCTACATAGTATCTTCGAAACCCACAACAGCAGTTGAACGCTGAGAACGAACACCTGTAAAATGACGGGATGATCGACAACAAGTCACGACTCCTTAGCTCTTGAACCGTCTCCCTGCATTTTCAGGTCTCCAGCGGGGTAACCAGGCTCTAACGACAACGATGGTAGAAGGTGTGTACTCAGTCGGGCGATAGCACAGCTTTCGAGGGACGTCGATCCCCAAAAAAAAAAAACTCGACTCCTCCGACATCCAAGTCACTAATCAGTTTCTAACGACAGAGCGACCGACGGAGTCAGACCCCCGGTTAATACTCAGTGATAACACTCGACTCCTCCATCCAAGTAGTAACCAACTACTACTAGGCTCTAGTTAACGATACGAAGGGCCCGGGGTGTGTATGTGAACCGCGGAATCAGAACTGGTTACTCAATCTCAATCTATAGCACAGCTTTCGAGGGGCCGGCGTCGATCCAAAAACTCGACCTGACAACCTGACTGACCCCCTCGAACTTGACGCTTGACGCTTCAAGTCTGAATGCTCCAAGGGGCCACACTGGGGCCGCGGCGCTGCGCCCCCGTCCTCTCGAGCAACCAGTTACCAATCCCGTCCTCTCGAGCAACCAGGTTACCACTCCCGTCCTCTCGAGCAACCTTGAATCCCGGCTCGTCAAGTCACGAAAATTCCAGTCCTAGGGGTCTAGTAGTTACTAGTAGTACTAGCAGCAGTGGCTATGATAGCCTTTAGGCCTACTATTATCACGGACGGCCTGTGTGTGTCCAGCTTTGGGTGGACCTACATGCTCGATGTAGGAAGCTCCCAAACGACGACTGAGCACTGAACCCCTCCATTCAAGTTATTAACGCTACTACGGTCCACTCGCTGAGTCGACTTCGGATACGATCCTAAATTCGGTGCTCACAAAGACATATCGGTAGTGCATACACAGGCATATCAGTGGTTCCCCCGTTGACGCAGGAACGCCTCGACGACGCTGCCTCGGAATCTAGAATCACACACACAATAAAAAAGATACTCATTATTCCAATTCACGCAAGAAAAAAGAAATCAAAGAAAAGAAAAGAAAAAAGCTGAACCGTAAGAGAATCGAAACATACAAATAGAGAGAAAGTAATAGAACGTCAAAAAACAAGGAATTAATAATTAACCACAACACTTCCTCTCCACCTCCCCCCTCCCCCCTCTCCCCTCCTCCCACCGTCTCCCTTCCCCGCCATTCCCATTCCCCTTCCCCTCCTCCCTCCCTACGAAACCCCACCCCCTAAAAACCCTCCCACCTAAAACCTAAAGCAACGAATCCAACCGCCCCAAAACCTCCAACACCCCAGCAACAAGCTCAAACCCTAAATCATCCTCCCCTCCCTTTGCCTCCTTCCTCGCCTCCGCCACCAACCCAAGCACACTCTCCCGACCGTACGGGTCGTTCGAGCCACCCGTCGCGATCCGGTTGGCGAGCGAGGCGCGGCGGGAGGCTGCAGAGGCGGAGGAGGGGGTCGAGGAGCCTGTGGTGAGTTGGTTGGTGAAGGTACGAATGTTGTTGTTGTGTGTGGATGGCGGTGTGAATCGACGCGGCGAGGGAGGGGTGGGCGATTCGGAACATGTCGAGCGACGTAGTCGTTGTGGCGAGAGCAGGCAAACAGTAGCAGGAAGGCGTAAAAAAGCGAGAAAAAACACATCGGTCAGCTAAACCACCCAACCACGCACGAGACAAGAGACCAAAAACGAAACATCTACTCACCAAACCCACCGCTCCCACTCCCACTCCCTTCCTGCACACCAAACGGCCACACACAAAACTCACTCAAAATATCATCACACCGTCCAAACGCAGCTTCCCTATCCTCATATCCAAGCCTCCCAAACGCATTATCAAGGACACTCCCCGCGTACGCAGCACACACCATACACACCGTACGCGTCACCCTGCACTGGACGGTATCTTTTTCCTTTTCTGCTCCTCCTCCCCCTCCTAGCCCTCCTGAACTGGAACCATCACCCAAGCCGCCACGCGAGTCGGCAGGCGGAATGTTAATAGCCACAGGCGGAATCGCACTCGTCGTACTCGTCAACAAGGCCACCACCCGATTGATCACGCTCTCTTTGGCGCGCACGTCCGCCAGTGGGTGCGTCGCCATATCGAAGAGTAGGAAATTACGTTTTTCGGTGCGTAGGATCCCTTTGTCGACTAGACCTTTGAGAAGACGTTCGCGGACTTGTTTGAGCTGGAAGCCGACTTTCATTACGTTCCATGTTTCGCCTGTTAAGGTGGGGTTAGTAAAGCGTTGTTGGTGGGAGTTAGAGGGAGAAGGGGGAGTGAGCGAGGAATAGGGAGACGCACCGCTCATGAGATCGATCCAAGTGTTCACGCTTAGCTTTTCGATGTCCTGCTGGCCCTTCATCAACCGCAGCGCCTCATCCAAAATCGTCTCCCCCGTTTGTCGATCATCAATCACTTCCACGATTCGTTCGCCTGTTCAAATAGGTGGTCGTGTATTGCACGAGGTTGGGGCGGGCGCAAGCAACAGACGTGCCGAAGATTGGGTAAGCGTATTGTGCAAGTCGTCGATCAAGTTGAGGGCGTCGCGTCCATCCAAAGAGCACAGCGTCCAAGGTAGAGGGTAAGAAGCAAGCTCATCAGATCACACCAACACCCTAAAAGCAAACTACGAACCTGGCGTCACCCGTCGACGATTGGGATCCCTGACCAACGCTATCCGCCTTCGGAGGGCAAGCTCAATCAAGATACAGCCACGTAGCGCATACGAGATATTGTCGTTCCAGAACGACAGGTAGCCCTACACAACATCATCGCATAAGGACCTCACAAATAAACCGGAGAGAGAGAAAAGGCACACCTGTTTGTCTTTAACAGCCAAAAGCATAATCTCCTCCATGATCGTGAGTTTAGGCAGCTTTCCTCCTACCCTCGCTTCCTCGCCGGCGGCCTGCTCCATATCTCGAGGGTCGAACGCGATCTTGGAGCCTCCTTCGAACGCCGAGCCTGTAATACCATGCAGACGTGGGATGCGCAGCAGAGGCGGGGTCGTATAGCCGGCGCAGCGGTCATCGGGGTTGGGTTACACATCGGCGCGAGGTGAGCGTCGAATGGCGGTGGGAGAACGTTGTGGTCATCGTCCAAGGCCAGTTAGATGCAGAGTAAATGAAGAAGAAAAAACAGCCTTTCCAGTTAGCTTTCCGCCACACAAGAGACAGGACAACCGAACGCCCGCTCACCAGCATGATACTTTGGCGCCTCGCTCGTACTCGCCCTAGACACCGACATCCTCGTCCTCTTCACATCATCATCGTCTTCGTCTCTAAAGCTCGACCCATTTCCCGATGAGGAATTCGCGACTCGGCGCCGTTGAAGACCTGAAGAGGCGTCCCTATTTGCGAGAAGAACGAAGAGGGGAGAGGGGAGGAGATAACCATCAGATTGCTGTTGCTCGTCGTGGCTCGAGGGGGAGGGGGTAAGCGTACCCGTTCGACATAGTGCTTCTCGTTCTAGTTGTTTAGCTGGTGTTGATCGTTTTTGTCAAAGGCTGGCGTATAAGTTGCAATTCGGGTTACTTCGAGATCAAAAATGTGGGTTTTAACGATGCATCTGCCCCTGTACCGTCCCTAAATCTGCTCAATGGTTTAGTTTATAGTCCTGTTTTCTAGTCTTAAAGACGTACGGTTTCCTGAGAAGTAGGTTAGATAGTGAAAAGGTTAGGACAAGCGGAAAACATACCTGGAATGCCGAATTGAGCAGGTACCCGTGAGTCGTGGCCAAGCTCAGCTCGCGCGAACAGCAGCTGCTGGCGGAGAACAAATGCGTTCTCACGCTGATCAAACACCGGGACTGTCGGATCAATACGCCCCTATCTCGTCTCGTCACCGCGTCTCGTCGCCCTCGAAAGCGATGCTGTCGCCGACTGAGTACACGCCGTTAGAGCCTGGCTACCCCGCTGGAGACCTGGAAATACAGGGAGACGGTTCAAGCTAGCTACGGTGTTGTGACTTGTCACTTTCTAGATGTTCGTGAATCTGCTGCAAGGCGCCGGGACGATGGGTCAGAACGTCGGTGCGCAAGAGCAACAGCAACAGCAACAGCAACAGCAACAGCAACAGCAACAGCAACAGCAACAGCAACAGCAACAGCAACAGCAACAGCAACAGCAACAGCAACAGCAACAGCAACAGCAACAGCAACAGCACCAACAACAGGGCTGGCCTGTACCCGCGGCTCGGACGGCGTATCGGTATCCTTCAGCGCAAAGCGCAGGACCGAGTGCGCACCAGTTCCAGCAAGGATCGAGCACCGGCGGTCACCACCATGTCCCACACGGCGGGGGACTCGGAGCACATCCGATGAATCCAGCGAGCTACTACCAGCCACAATAAAACTTACCCGCTCAGTACCAACCTGGCATGAAAGTACTGGAGTTCTCTGCGAAACCAGCTGCTGAAGCTAACCCCAGGCTCGCGAGATGCCGAAGAACTGCGTCACAGATTTCTTTGATTGTAAAGTCTTGCATCTGCATCTGTTGCTCGCAGTAACTACGATTTTCTACTTGGCTCCCACATCAGAAGTCAGAAGGTAGAAAATGGCTCTCCTACATACGGGGCTTGGGGTCACGGTTGCATCATTTTGAACGCCTCCTCGTCGTGTACTCCTCATGTCAGTTTATGGGCGAGCTTTGCGACAGCGCGCGTCCCCCCATGCAAGGAACTTACCTTTGCGGGGTTGGAAGAACCAGGGCTGTGGAGACTACGATCCCAGCCAAGTCATCGATGCTATCTAATACTGTTGGGTCCGTAGCCTACCCAAACCGGTCGGCGGAATAGCAGCCTGCCCGAGTCTCAGAACGCAGTAGTATACGGATGTAAGTACACGGGTCCGATCCTTTCAAATTTTAGCCTCTACCAGACTACAAATGTACAAAGCGACTCACACAACGCCTCGATTCTACGTACCCAAGGTTCGTTCGCTCGAGGCTTGGCGTTGGACGTTGGACGTTGGGCGCTTAAGCAAGCTTTCCCACGAGGTTCACCAACGGTTCACCACCGGTCTTTTGGTGAGGGCCCAGGGGTGCCCCAGTGGTCAATGTGTAGCAAAGGAGATCAAAGCGCCCGAGTCCAAGCGTTTGCCCACAAAGGAATTTAACACGCTATAAATAGGCGCATGGGCTCCATCTAGTACCGTCCAGTAGCAAACCGCGAGTCCGAAACACACAGTTACACACCACGACTCAGATTCAATCATCGCCGCAAAGCAAGACCCAGAAAATCAAGCAATAATTATTAATGAGCCTCGCCATTCCAACTTTGGTTTCTGAGCACAGCGCCACACACACGTACGTTTTTGAACCCAGGTACCCTGCCCGCACCGTCTCAAGCGCTCCGGGAAACATCTGCAACACCGTCTTATACCCCATCGGACAGACGACACCGATATTCTGCATCGAGGGAGGCCGGATCGAGGGAGGCCAGTCGTTCGTCCGGTTGGTAGACGTCCGCCGCCCGAGGGAGCTAACGCTCGCGATCCTAACGCTGTTGGGCACCCATTGGCGTGGCAGGTTTGACGTCTGGATCGCCGCTTCTTTCATTGAATGGGATATGATACTCTCGGGTCCTGCATATCGTTTCTACCAATGTGAAAGAGACATGACTGACCCTGGAGCGACCTCGGATCGAGTGACGCTTATCCATTATTTCAACTTGGTGGACGGGAGAGCTCCAGCAGATCCCGTTTACTATCAGCCCGAGGCTTACATCGTCGAGGAGACGCATAGCAGGAAGCGCAACGAAGCGACTATGAAATTCAAGGATGGTCTTGATGGGGAAGTTTTGGTTGTGCTTCGGTGGGACCGGGATGTGCGGCGATGGATTCTGGAGGCGCTGGAGGACACCGTGCTGGATGGGCTTTGGGAAGTTGCCATCACGTTGTTTATTTTCGTTATGGGTCGTTTCAGTTCCAGTTATTTTGTCGACAGGCGTCGGAGGACCTTTGTGCATCCCAGCGTTCTGAACCGTCTGCATGCCGAGAGGAATAGAGCTTCCCCTCGCTCTTCGGCACCAGATTCTTGATCCCTTCCGTGAGTCTTTTCCTCCTGTCACTCCCTTATCCTTTTAGACATCCTATACTAGGGCTTCATCATCTCATATCGTACTCAATCCATCCTTAATACCCATCTCGTTCAATGAAATAGATGTTTTCCCCGTTCTTTATACTTCAAGTCTCGACTTATTCAACAGGTACCTGTAGGGGTACGTTATCACACACAGATAACATGATTGATTCGAACATCGACAGCCATTTCAATTAACATAGACAGATCTAAACCCGGATGATACTCTATATGATACAGGAAGGTTCCATTAGTGTATTTGTTGCTGAAGCCACAAAAGACATTCTTGCGCGCGGCCTTAAACCGCGTCGCATTGCTCCTTGACCAAAATAATGATCGCAGACAGAATCGCCCACACATACTCCCCATTTTCAATTTGCGAACCGTCGATGCTGATCTTCCATTCGGAAATATCACCACTGTGGTTCTCGTGGTATCCAACAGGCTTATCACTGTCACCATACCATAAGTAAGGCAGCGCAGCATCCACTTGCACCAACCATCGAAATTGTGCGTATTGTTCATCAGGAATTCGAATCCTGTGGACAACGGGAACAGACCAAGGTAGTCCGCCCCTGCGATCTGTAGCGATGATTCTCTCAGAAACCCCCTCAAAGTTAACCTCCCTGAAGGAGTCCCAAGTGGCAGTTTCATAGATATACTGGATTTTGACGCCTACTACTAGGCTCCGGCGGTCCGATGTGAGCCAGCAGAATTGCCGAGGAGACTGGATTGCTTCCATCGTTATGTCACTGAAAATAACTTTTCTCTGTCCTTTTGAGTCCCGGATGTCGTCCAGCCTCCATAGTGGAATTCGCCTATCCCCACATCCGAGGTAGACTTCCACCCCGTGTAGGTCCGTCGAGCTGTTGGGGTGCCGGGTCCTCCTGAAGGTTACGATACACCAGCCTGGGTGATTTTGATTCTGTACGACTCGGATAATGTCTTCGATGTCCATTCTGAGATTTGTTAATTAAATAATGCGGTAGAAGTCGAAGTGGCGGCAGGGGCGTGGTAGAGAGAACAGTGCGGGGACGGGAGAGAGAGATTTGAAGATGAGATGCTAGTGCTGGCACTTCATCCACTCTGGCCAGACCTTCTTATTATATACCTGGTCAAGAACCCTCCTTTTCCTCCGGGTTACTTTACCAGGCGTCGATCTCAGCAATGTGGCCCTACTAGAACCAAGCACAACTTGTCACGACGACATCGATTCCGACGGTAGCGACTCCAGTATGCGCTACTAGATGATTTCCTTTCTGCGGAAAGGTACGCCATTGATCGAGTCGAATGGCTCTCCGAGGCGTGGATCGTTGAAGAGCAATGGAATGCCCGGTTGATAATCGTCCCCTCTCACAACGCAAGCCGTACTATAGTCACTCATAGCAACGGCAGAGAAAGTGGGTCCAGCAGTCCTTCCCACGCGATGGTGTTGAACGTATGTACACACTGTGTGTACAGCACTCATGACTGAGAATAAACGGGTATGCGACGAGCTGTGCGTTTGTCCTTGCATTCGAAGGTATCGTTGCTAGGTTAAGACGTGTTGCTTCGGAAGGCGGCAGGGGCGGTGCTCGTTCCTATCGTTTAAACTTTAAACGTATAGTGCTCCCTCAAAAATTAAAATCGAGTGATCGACGTTCCTCGAGGAGCTGTGCTCTCGACTAATGAGCGAGTGCCGTTCCTCGAACGCTGTTATCCGAGACTACTTAAGTGACTAACTAGTACTAAGCGATCATCAAACACCACTCTTGTGACTCCATGCCTATCTACATACCTACCTACCGTTCCCAAATGGCATTCTAGCTTTCCAGGTTAAGACGATTCACTTGAGTGGACTGGGGCGGTGCTGAGCCCTGGCGAAGACTCGGTTGGAATACAGCTGCACACCTCTTCGTAAACTTAGTGGCTTCAGATACTAGCCCGCAGGGAAAGATATCGCCGATAGTTTCCGACTCGTAAAGCTATGTAAGCAAACCCCGTCTACGTTGAACGCTCAAGATGCGGCCATTTCAGACGCCGCGGCGCTTGCTAAAAAGGCTGGTGCGGCGCAGCTTGCGCCACCCCGAATAGCAAGAACAATTCTTTAAGAGGTTTGATTATGTTGGATTTCAATCCACTGCACGCTTTGGAATGTCCAGTCTCATCCTTTCCTCTCAGAACTTCAGAAAAAAGTTCTTCCCCTATTGCCAGGCGCAGAGCACGGCTGATATGTAGCTTCGCTTACTGATATTCGCGATTGATGCGCCCAATCCCGACAGTTTCCCCATCCGGTTCCCGACTCCGATGCTTATTTTGCTTCCGCGCTTACGCATTTCTGGGAGCGTAAGCGCAGCCGGCTTGGGCGCTCTCTCGCGAGAAGGCAGGGACGATGGAAGACACTGGACAAGATAAACTTGAATTCCGTATCTCTCGCTCCGACGACCCAAAATACTACTCCTAGAATGCCGAGATGGGCGTCCGACGCTGTGCATGACGGAATGTAAGCCTGCGGCCGGCCGTGCTGATTCGTTCTAAGTACATGAAGGCACACCTACCTATCTCGAAGATTGAAAGGAGCTTGAGAGAATGATTTCCAAGTCGGAGGACAGACGTCACACTGGAACAATATCGCCTCCTAGGCCGGGTTTGAGGGGTCCGTCCTGATACTCATGATGAGCGCCCAAGAAATCGATTGACAGGACTTTGATACATACGGATGTGATGTGACGAGCTCAGAAATGATAGTGGGAATACCTGTGCCGAAGGCGATATTTGACGTTGTGAAGTCCTGAAAAGGTTCGCTGAGATGGGGTATGTGATCTTGGCGCTTGATGTCTACCCTCCAGTCAGGGTGTAACGAAGTTCTCCGGGGTAACCGTCCTCCAGGCGCCCCTGGTTCCTCACCCTTAAAACCTTTCACTGGCTCGACGCCGCAGTGTGGCTTGATATCGGAATGGACGAAGAAGCAGGTACGTGGATTGGGGAGATAGTGGGGTCGGAGAATGTGCCTTGGTATCGCAGTGGAGGTCTGAAAGGATTTCGGGTGATGTCACGATGGATCGTGGACAGTGGGGCTGGATGGCTGTTCTGGTAAATGCTTCCTCACTCGCGACCGATTCAAACGAGTTCCGGCCTTTATTCATAATGAACAGAGATCATTAGAACCGCTGCTCAAGTGCGGGCCTTCCAACTATGCATCTATTCCTAGCACTATCAATGAGTTATCACGAGCGAGGAGACATACAAATATAGCCTGTTGCTATAACGAGCCGGAGAGGTCGCGATCTGAGAGAGAAGCTCTGAAATTGCTCATTCTTCATTATGACTCACCTTACCAGTTCTCGACGTGTTAGCTGCGGTGAACCCGCACAGCTCGCAACGAAGATCTTGGTGTACATAGGCACTAAACCCGGAAAATCATTGAATATCATTCTAAGGATGCACCCGCGTGGAGGCACCACCTCCCATCCCAAGGAACTATATACGGTCTTGCTGTGCAGGCTCCATTCACGCCGATTTGACCCCGACAAGTTGCGAGTGCACTGTTGTTGTGCGTGATTGATGCAACGCTGAACAGCGCTCGAGCCTCGATTCAGAGGAGCGTCATACCCCAGGATGCCTGAGTATTTCTGATGACATCTTATCTCTACACTCACACACGTTGAAAGTAATTCGAGTAAGTTTCTTCGTTGGACTTCTTCCCCTGGGCAGCCATAGTAGCCGGGGACGGAATGGCGGACGATCAATCAGGTGGTCATCAAATTGATTTTTGCGAAACAGAATGCGTTACAAAGTATCAGTGGCATCAAATACAGCACCTCGCTATCTGCTTCCATACTCTAGATAGCGAGTCGGTGAGCATCAGCCGCGCCCAGAGGTATCGTCGGAATGCCCCAAATCCCACTGATGCTCCCGCAGGAGCACACGGTCTCGATCCGATTCCGTCACATTTCTGGCACCCCCCATCACCGCCCAGGTTTTCGCTGCGGGTACGGGTGTGTTTCAAGTTGGAACCCTTGCTTCTGAATAATGAATCTCTTTGCTTTTTCTGGTGGGTGGCTGTTGCTCGTTAGATGGTTCATCAAGTTTGAAGGAAGACGCCAGGCGCCAGGGCGTCACTGCCATCAACGATTTGGGATCTACAGCTTTTTGTCAGCGAATTTTCTTTTTTCTTTGCGCCTTGTCCGGCGCTCTTGGATGGATGGGTGGTGGGTACATAATGGGTGCCGTATCTATGATGTGGAACTTCAAGGCCGCTCCTAGATACCCCTCCCCCTTCCAACCCCAACTTCGAAGTCTCCCTAGCGAACCTCTGACTCGATGCTCTCACTCGTCGTTCTCTCCGCTTCTTTCCTTCTGTTGTGGGCTGGTAGGGTGGTGTTCAATGTTTGGAAGCTGAGGAAGAGTGTTGGGTGAGTGGACTTCCTGTTTTGTGCTGTGGCAGGTGTAGTTCGGCTGACAGTGATTGGCAGGTCTTCACCCGTCGACTATCTCCTCCTTGGGTATGGGTGTATACCAGCTATCGTATTTATTCCGGCCTGGCGCTATATCGCATTTGGAAAGAGTTACCAGCTTAGATGGAAGCATAAGAGTAGGTGTTCGAGTTCACTGCGCTCTGGGCGCTCTGGAGTACGAATTCTGATCTACTCCGCTCCGCAGTCTTCCACGAACTCAAAACCGACGTCTATCCTTTGGTACGCCTCGACATCCTTGATGTACTACCAACATTTCTAATGATTGAGCCCTTAATACCCAGATTTCCATTCTCTCTCCCGCTCAAAACTACACAGTCCAAATCGCCGATGTCAACGCCGCCAAGGTGCGTTCAATACTTCCGACCTTTTTCGCGTTTCACTAACATGGTGACCATGTTTTGCATTGACAGGAGGTTACGACATACCGGTCTCGATTCCCCAAACCCATGGAATTCTATCGTCATCTCACTTTTTATGGAAAGAATATCGTCGCTGCTGAGGGTGATGACTGGAAGAAGTATCGGAAAGTTTGTGCGCCTGCTTTCAACGACGTAGGTCTTCGTTTGGATTTTGCATATTCTCAGAGGGAGGATGCTGAAACCCAGGTGTAGAGAAATAATAAGCTTGTTTGGGAAGCTGCTATTCGAATCATGGATGATCTCTTCAGGGACGTCTGGGAACACAAAGATGAGGTTGAAGTACCTCATATCGTCGATACCACTGTCCTCGTAAGTCGCCTGTCTTCAAACCCCTATGGAGTCGAATGCTAACTCACCCATGTAGATCGCATTGTTCGTGATTGGAGAGGCTGGTACGATTCAATCTTTCTTACCATTCCCCGACGAAGGCTTACCTTACTCTTAGGATTCGGCGAGAAATTGACATGGAAGAACGACGTCGTTGCACCGCCGGGCTTCAAGTACACTGTCAAGGAGGCCCTACACGTCGTTTCTCGTCACCTCATCTACAAGGTCATCCTACCCAACTGGGCGTACAAACTCAGCAAGTCCCTCGCGGATATCGATTTGGCGTTCAAAGAGATGGGGGTGCGTATTACTTATCCCTACCTATTTCTAAACTCAGTTTTTCGTGTGTCTTACATGACATCGTTTGTTTAGATGTACATGCAGGAGATGATTCGAGAGCGCTCGACGGGCGAGAAGTCGTCGGGACGTCATGACTTGATGACTGCCCTCGTCGAGAACAACGTTACTCTCCCAGCGGACGATCCTAACCGCCTGACAGACCAAGAACTAATGGGCAACGTCTTCATTTTCATGCTGGCTGGACACGAGGTATGTACACTACCGTCACTCACACTGCTTATGATGGTTAACTGACTGGCTCTGTGATAATAGACTGCAGCCCATACGCTTGGCTTCGCGTTTGCTTTTCTGGCGCTGTACCCGGAGGAACAGAAGAAGCTATATGATCATATCAAGTCTGTTATTCCCGAGGGACATACACCGACGTATGAGGATATGCCTAAGCTTACGCGGTGCTTGGCGTTCATCAACGAGACTTTGCGACACTTCCCTCCCGTACGTTCCACCACCTAATTATCTGGCTTCGCAGATGCTGATTCTTGATTTGATTTCCTTCAGATTATTGAATTGCCCAAGAAGGCGCAGGAAGACACGGTCCTTCATACCACAAACCATTACGGCGAGAAGGTGTCTGTCCCTATTCCCAAGGGCGGGTGCATCTCTGTCAATATCCCTGCTACCCATCATAATCGTGAGTTCAAGCTCGTTGCTAACTTTGATTCGAGGTTATTGACGGTGTTTTGCGTGGGTGTTTAGCTAAATACTGGGACGATTGCGACTCGTTCAACCCGGATCGGTTCTTGGGTGAATGGCCGCGGGAGGCGTTCCTCTCGTATAGTGCGGGGCCTAGGAGCTGTCTTGGTCGGAAGTAAGTGCTCTCCTCCTTTCCAGTTGACGTTGGCACGGGTGTTGACGTAGATTTTGCCCCTTTCTTATCCTAGGTTCTTTGAAACTGAAGCCATTGCGGTTCTGACCTCCACTCTGTTGCAATATGAGGTTTTCTTGAAGGAAGAACCACAATTCGCACATGAGACGTTTGAGCAGAGGAAAGCTCGTATTTTGAATGTGAAATGCGAGGTGACTTATGCGTGAGTTCATTCTCTTTTTGGTTTCCTGATACAGGTGGCTGACCCAGATATATAGTCCTGTGCGCGTACCTCTCGTCCTTAAACGACGCAAGTAAAGGACCGACTTTGCTTAGTTAAGTTCTGACTACGGACCCTCCAACATTTTGATTTCGTTGGCCCGACACATTCCTTTAATCTTTCGAGGTATCAGGGCACCCGGTGATATTTATTCTATCTTTATTTTGGATATCCACATTCGTTGCTACGTCTGTTACTACTAGACAATTTGGGGTACGCAGAAGTCTGATTCATCGCACAGTGTATTTTTATTGCTTTGGTTTTGCTTTGTATGTATGTAATTCTATACCTATACCTACTCTGTTCTCTCATTTGTTGGTACCTCCTCCGTTGATCTTCTATTTGAGCAATGGCAGTAATGTCTTGACAACGAAGAAGCCACTAATCCATCCAAGGGCGTGAATATCGCAGTTATGTTCCTAGCGGAACCCATTGACCCTGCCGAAACGGGGCTGGGTTGACCTCACTTCGTGAATCGTTCCACGACTTGAAGCTCTCGTAGCAGTAAGACTTAAAGCTTAATGCTTAATGCCTCTCATCGTAACTTATATCCGCACTACGCGCATACTGACCTAAATAGAACCTCTCACTCGTCTCGCCTCGCGACGCGACGCGCACCTGTTAAGCGCCCGTCGATCACCTCGATCGACCGTTCCTATAAGCGCCTTCTTAGTATGCCCAAAGACAGCTACAGCAACTCTACGCTTTACCACTGTCGGAGGTTTAGGTATAAGGGTATGCATTCTCCGCGTTTCCCGCCCCTAGATAGCCTGGGATGTCCATGTACCTACGTATCTAGCGGACTAAAACGCCTCACCAAATTCGACGAGGGACGCGACGCGTCTCGGCACGATCAACGCGGTCGCGAAAGACCTTCAATGCCACCCAGGTGCGTAACCGCCGTCCTTGTATAACCATTTAGAATGGAATCGACGGAATGCAGTTGATAAATATGACGGAGAATTTTGAGACAATACGGTTATACCACATGGCACAAGGTATTCATTTTTAATTGTATTTTTGTGTTTCGACGAGTGTAGCTAGTACTAGTCAGACAAGGTAGGAGGGTTCAAGCAACTCGGTGTGGACGTCGTTAAACTGGAGGTAACTAAGGTCAAGTTTGAATGTGGGCTTCCAAGTCAGAGCACCCCTTTTATTTTCATTCTTTATTCCGCAGTAGTATGTAGAGCTATAGTTTGCGTTGTTCAAGTCCCACTGGCAACGGTCTCCATACAGTTCGTCAAGCTGCTGTATCCGAGTCCTGAGTGGCGCGTTGGTTAGGTGTGGGTCCGGGTCGGGGAAGGCGTATATATATACGCTTCCCTCGTATGAACAAACGATACCTCACATCGCATCGCACCCATATTCGTTCATTGACAGCCTACTCTACCATTCCAACGCTCGTGAAGCCTTACACCAAATCAGTTCAATCAATCATGTCGACCTCACACCAAGACAGCAGAATGGCAGAACACAGAAGGCAGAACGAGAACCATGACCCACCCGCAGATTCACGGTCACAGCCGCAACCACAATCACACCAACCTCCAATGACAACGATGATTCCGAGTCGTCGGCACAGAGACAAATCAGGACTCCCCTACACAATCCACTTCCACTCCTCCACCAAAGAGAAACCAACGCGCCATCTATTCCTCACAGGGCTCCCATACGCCCTTCTACACATCAGGTTCTTCCACGGAACTTTCATGGATTACATACCAAATCCCCAGGCGCGGGTTGACGCTGAGGAGAAATCCCACCGAGTTATCCATTGTATATGGATCCGTACGAAAGACCTACGGTCTCGGGGGAGGGACACAGTGGGTCGGGAGGTGGAGTCGACGCTTTTGGGAGACGGGGAGAGGGTTGTGCGTGAGGAGCACTGTGCGGTGTTTCCTGCTACTCTTAAGGTTTTTTTGCATTCGATATATTGGATTGGAAAGGAGGAGAGTGGTTTGGAGGAGGATGAGATGACTTTGTGCAGGGCTTGAGTGTCGAGGATTTCGAGAAGAGGATATCCATCAGGAAAAGCCCAGGAATATATTTGACACTCAGGTTATATAGTAGGCACTGAGTCAGGACAGACCTCCCTCGGGGCTTAGAGCGCCGAGTTCGAGGCTTGAAGTTGGCCCCAGGAAGATGAAGAATTGTCGATGGATCACGCAGTGAGCTGTGATTCTGGTCCAGCTACATGGACTTCAGATTAAGTTCAAAGCCCGGCTGGTGGACTCACATGGCACCGTACGCAAAAATAAATTATAAATGAGAGATATTGTCAAAGAGTGTATTCGTGTCGTTACAGTGAAATCGTGAACAAACCACGAGCGACCGCGATATTCTAATTTCTGGGCAACGTCCAATCTTCGACAAAAATGAAAGAGAATGAACAATGATTCAAGGGAAACCCGTATAGACCCTGCCTAAACTTACCCAACAATCCTACTGCCACGCCCAAAATTCAAATTCCACCGCGATGTTATCCAGTATGTATTGCGTATCGGTAACCATACGCCTGCCGTATTCGTTCAGGTTGTTAGGATCTGCCATTGTCGAACGGTCGAAATCGATTATCCTCCAGGGATGCACGACGTTGTGCCGAGGGCATAGACGAGCCTCACCGTGTGGAGAGGGCTTGAACACGAGTGTGTTCCAAGGAGTGAGGTTGTCGTGCATCACGCCAAGTTCAGCCAAATCATCCATGACCTCCTTGACAGCCTGCCTGGAACGCAAACCTTTGAGTGAGGGCGAGTCTTGATTGTAACGTGTGCGCACTCACTTGTCTGCTTTCGTCTTCCATCCGGTACAGGGCTCGCCAAGCAGCTCGAGAACGAGAACAGAGATCGTCGGTTTGGCGGCATCCCGGTTCCATTTGTACCAGGGTGAATCCAGCTTGGAAGGTGGGTTTTCGTATATCTCTTGGTCGTCGTTTTCGGGTACGTCGTCGGTTAGCCAGTCCGCGGAAGGATATTGGTCGATGTTGTCTGGGATCGTGTCTGTATCCTCGAACAAAACCTTCCGGTCCATCCAAGGCTCGAATCCAAAGTCGGCCGCGACATCTGGCGCAGTGGAGGTAAAGAAACCGAAATAAAGGGGCACGGAGATACCCTGGAGAGATGACATTTGTTCATAGAACCAAGCCTCTCGCGCCAGGCTGCGGCTGAATTCCGGCTTTGCGAATTTGAGGCAAAGGGTGGACGGTAATGTTGACCGGACATCACAGCCGCCGTGACAGCAGAGACGACGTCTGCAGCGTAGGTTACGCCGATTCGGCCCTCTGAGATGCGTTCGACGAGGGAAAGTTCGAGGGTTCCGTCAAAGTTCGAGGGATCCTTCGGTCCCCATGTGGCAGGGGCTGGTTGCGCCCGATCTTGCTGAAACCAGACGGCGCCAGGGAAAGAGGGCGAGGGTCTGAGAGTAATCGATGTCGTGCGCGCTCCGTCGCCGACAACACAGTCGTGAATCAGTAGCGTCGAGAACATCTGCTGAGTATGGGTGATGCTAAAGAGGTGGTGGTCGAGGTTCAAGCTCAAGTCACACAAGTGGCGCTCGTCGGTCAACTTGGGTCCATCAATTCGGAGATCAGGGATGCATACCTCACATCGCATCGTACAGTTCGCCCAACCGTTAGCGTCAGCCTACTCTACGACTCCAACGCTTGTGAAGCCTTACATCGATTCATCCGTAGATGCTGTGGTACGACGACCTACTGAACACCATCCTATAGCCCACCTCGCCATCTCCATCGCCATCTCCATCTCCATCGCCGTCGTCATCGATTCCTCCTTCTTACGTCCCACGACCCATCTTGAGGTTTTCAACTTCCGAGGAGGTGAGATTCCGACACATCGATTGCTCCGATGAGCTGTGTGCTGACCAGGCACCTCTAGTTGTTGTGCAGGTCCTAAGGCAACGCGACCAACGGACAACGACAACACGCGAACCCATACATCCGTCCAGGCCCCGATTTCAGAGGGGATACGTTTCCCGCCCATCGAGGACCAGACGATGCACAGGCCGGTTTCATCGCCAGTTACTAGCCGCTGTGTACCTGTGGACCTACGTCTGCGATGTGGAGGTGATTGATTAGGTCGCTGGGCAATCGAGGTGATGTCCAGGTGGGTGGGTGTTGGGTCTGAGGTTATCGATGAGATCCTTGTAGACGCGGACTCCGGAGACGATGCAGACGCTGCCCAACGGTTCCATGACCAACGGGCAACACAACGCACACCAGTGCATCTAGCCAGTCGCACACTCGGAGCGAGATCAACATCATGATCCCACCCGTCGTAGACCAGTCGTATATCCAGGCCGGTTGCGTCGCCTAGTCATTCACCGATGGCAGCGTTTGCGATGATGGGGAGGCGATTGTGTGGGCTCTGGTCAACCTGGATTCTCGACGACGCGTCGTCGACGATTTCCTGCCCTCATGTTTTCCTTATGTAATTTCGCTCTCAGTTTCAATCACTACAAGCTTCGCTTGCCCGTGCCTTCGGCACAGGGGCGGTGGTTAGGGTCGGGCTTCGCCCTCCACTCACAGGAATGGCGGGGAAATAATTGCTGTGTACTCGCTGGCGCCCGCCTGCGGCGGGCTTTCGCTCGTACACGGGCCTGTGGGGATTTTGCCGCGCGTGAGGATTCCGAAAAGGGAGGTTTATTGCTGACATAATTATTACATAACATTACTTTGTCAGCATTTCCGGTGTGCTTTCATGTATAGGACTTATTTTGATCCCAACATTTGAGTCAGCCCCAAATACTACTTCCGAAACATGATCTTGAGCACCGAGAAACTCTATCTGCCGTATAATCGAAGAGACCCAGACGACGTCAACCAGTACACTACACACACCTCAGAGTGGCCAACGAAAGACATCGGAAAGCACTGACAGAGCTAATACTGTCGTCCCATTCGCTCGCGCTGGAAAGACTTCGTTGATTGAGCGTCTGGAGCTTGCTGCTCGCCTCTTCTGGAGCGACATCGTACAGCATTAAGTATGAGATAAATACGTTCATGCGATCACCTTTCATTCCCCTACAGACGAACATTAGCTGTTAGATTGCGACGGCATCGTATATTCTCACCGAAAACGGTCTTTCCTCAAGTGCTCTCCTCATCGCCGACATTTCCACCGAAACTTAGAAAACGGGTTCTGAGCCAATTTATATCGCCAATGCGACGTTGAATGGAAGTAATGCATGCTACATTCAGGCTGAAAGAGAAAAAAGAAAACGAGACAGAAACGGGAATTATACACACTCACAAAAGACCAAAGAGACAAAGGACGAAGGAAGAAACAAAAGTCGAATGTGGAAAACGGGTAATCATAACGGAAAGAATAATCATAATGCGAGTAGGTACGGCGACGAAGAGAACCATACGTAGGTAAAATGATTGACGACAGCGGCAAAGAGGATCAACTAAGTCTACATCAACAAAAGAACCAATTAACAATCGACCTCCCCAAATGCAGAACACGAAAGACGCACCAGAAATCACGACCCAACATACCCCTTCAAGGAGAGAATCCCACATCACCACTACGACTCATGCCCAACTCTCGAAAGAGCCATCATAACCTTCCTCTGACTCCTCACAGGCAACGGCTGATTCACATCCACACCATCCCCAACAACAGGATCATCCCCCAACACACTCGACGGCCTTCTCGACGGAGGAGCCGAAGCACTTCCACCACCTCCATTCAACAGCGAATTCCGAATACTACTCCCAAACCCACTCCCAAACCCATTGTGGTGCCGCGTGGGTAGAGGAGGCGGGCGGTCCCAGTCACGCTGTTGTTGTTGTTGTTGCTGTTGCGACGGTTGGTGATGAGGGTGATAGTACCCATTCGAACCAGACGCCTGACCTTCCCGCTCCATATTCATATTCGACGAACTCGCAATCGAAGACGACCGTTCCCTCTGCCTACCCCTCTCCATCTGCGGCGACATCTGGATATCACGATCCTCACCCTGCCGCGACTGGGTCTGGGACTCGAGGTACATAATCCGCCTCTTCAACTCTTCCAACTCGGCCGCCACATCCCCACCACTATCGCCTCTGCGTTCAAGTGTATCACCCCGATCCCGATCCCGACTCCTATACCTCCCCTCCTCAATAGCATTCCTGACTTCAACACGAGTTCTCTCCTCCATGTCCTTCATCCTCCTGTCCAAACTCTCCACCTCGGCCTGGTGCAACAACCGCAACGCCTGAATCTCCTCTCGACTCCTCCTCTCACTCGCAAGCTGCTCCTCTCTCGAAAGCTTAATCTCCTCCCTTATCAGCCTAAGCTCGTCACGCAGTGTAGGGAGGAGGACTGTGGTAACGTTGTTCGCGTTGACGTTCGAGACCAGGTTGTTCGCAGCAGCAACAGTCGAAACACGAGTCGTCGAGGTCGAAGTCGAAGACGGAGAACGAACAATCGAATACGGGTCGTGTTCCCTCTCCTTGCCCTTGCCCTTGGCCGACGTCGTCGTCGTATACTCCACATCGTTCCCATCAGAAGAAAACTCGAGGATATCCGCCATGTTCCTCATCACGTCCATGACTTTACGCACGAGCACTGGTTTCGGCCCTCCTCCTGATCGACTCGGCCCACCGTCCACTCGCGATCGTGGTCGTGAACCAGTCCTCTCCTCGAAAGGCGGTTCATCCACCATCGTCAAATCCTCCTCCAACGGCCTCCCTCTCGGCCTCTCTCCCTCCCCATCCTCTTCCTCATGCCACGTCTCGTCCGTCTGCGCACCACCCTCCACACGCTTAATAACCTGCAAACCCATCTCCCTCTCCCTCAACGCCCTCTCCTCATCTCTCCCCCATTTCCAATCAAACCCATGTCGCCCCCCATCTCCACCCAACACAGAATCAACCTTCCTCTCAATCCTCTCCAGCGCACCACGAAGGTCTTCCCATCCAACTCCAACTCCTCTGACACTACGTTCCTCCCCATCCCCCACCCTCTCCAAACTGGCTCGCAGTCGATCAACACCGGCCACAACTTCCTCCTCCACCAACCCCTTCAAGGAACCTACGATCTCCTTGATGACGTCCGCATTCACACTACGATCAACGTCCATCCGCTCCTCCCGTCGTTCCCCCGCGTTCTTCAAGCTGTCGAGGATAGCTCCGAGCCCCTTCTCAACCTCCTTCCCCCAGCCTTCAACCAGCGCCCGAAGTATCGAATTGCCCTCCAAAAGACCGAGCAACGCTTCAAAAATCTTGGCGATTTCCGGTTCCACAGTCTTCTCAGTGGTGGTTATCGCAGTCGTCGACGTAGATGACCCAGACGAGGAGGACGAAAACTCCAAACGCTTCGCGCCATCGGAAGCAGAAGAAGCGAGACACCCCTCCAAAACAGCCCTCACAGCTTTCTCAACAGCGCCCTCGATCACTCTATCCGTCTCCTCCCTCTGCCCTCTCAAAACACCTCCACAAACCCCGGCAACGTCCTCCCTGACACCCTCCCGCACCTCCTCCCTAACAACACCCCTCAGCTCCTCACCCAATCGCGATGAACGGGAAGTATCACCATCAACGTCCATCTGGTCACCCGCTGCTCCCTCCCGTCCACCATGGCCATCACCCACCCCACCCAACTTCTCAACCCCCTCCCTAACAACCCCACTCAACCCCTCCACAACCTGCTTAACCAACACATCACCCAATGAAGCAGATAACTGGCCCGCAAGTGACCGGGCGAGATCGTCAATCGCGTTGGTCGTGATACCGCTCGACGCTGAGGGCGGGGAAGTTCGGAGACTGGTCGTGGAAGGCGAAGACAACGTCGGTCGAACACCAGTGGGGGAGGAGGTTGAGGGACGAGCACCAGTGGTGGATGAGGTTGCGGGTCGAACGCCAGTGGAGGCGGCTGAAGATCGGACACCTGTAGTGGAGGAAGACACTGAGGGACGGACACTCGACGTCGAAGGGGAAGCCGTGACCGAAACTCGAAGCCCACTCGCAGTAGTAGATGGCGTCGAAGGCTTCGCACCAGCACGCTCTGAAGTCGTAATGGTCGCTAGACCTGAAGTAGACGTAGCGGGGGGTTGATTCGCGCTCAAAGTCGACGTGGCTGGGGGTTGAGCTGAAGTTGGGGTAACGGTGGTATCTGGCTTCGCAGCGGCGCCTGGAGCTACACCCAACTTCGAAGAAGTCGTTTCATCCGGCTCAGCAGTCGAAGCCCCAGCGTCGTCCTGCACATCCACATCCATATTCACATCCACACCCTCGTCCTCCCTCTCTCTCTCCTTATCCTTCTCCTTCTCCCCGTCTTTATCGTTCTCCTTAGCCGCGTCTTTCTCTTTCTCCTTATCGACGCCGACGGCTGTATCCTTCTCCTTCTCCATGCCTTTCCCATCATCCTTACCCCCACCCAAACCCTTCCCACCTGCCACCGCCATACTCGAACTCGAAGACGCAGCACCACCACCACGCCCAAACCTCGGTCCTCCCATACCCCCCAAACTCCCAGAAACACTAGCAACCAACGCACTAGCAGGCGGGGTCGGACTCACACCTCCACCACCACCACCCGTTCCAGCACTCCCACTCGAACTCGAACTAGCAGAATCACGTCGTAAGACAGGCTTCGCTCGTAATTGCTGCGTAGCTGATAGATGCGGTTTGGAGAGTTTGGGTGGGGCAGTCGTGGATGGTGCCGTCGTCGTGGATGGTGCTTTCTCCGTAGATATAGTCGTCGTCGACGTTGATGTAGCTGCCACGGGTGTTGATGAAGCCGCGATGGATGGTGTAGCCGTCGATGCGGTCCTAATCGAAGCTCCCTTCTCCGCACCAGCAACCGCTCTCTCTTTCTCCTTCTCCCGGTCCTTCTCCTTCTCTCCTTCCTTCTCCAGCGCAGCTTTCACACCCGCAACAGGCGTCGACCTGCCAGACCCAGACCCAGACCTCGACCCATCCTCCGACACCGACAAAGCACGTCCGGATAGAGGACTAGGCACAGACAGAGGACTAGGCGCCAACAGAGGACTGGGCGCAGAAAGCGGACTTCCCGAAAGAGGACTGGGCGCCGACGCACCCGGACTTGCCGCACCAGAAATACGGTCCTTCTCCTTCTCTCCTTCCTTCTCCAGCGCAGCTTTCACACCCGCAACAGGCGTCGACCTCCCAGACCCAGACCCAGACCTCGACCCATCCTCCGACACCGACAAAGCACGTCCGGATAGAGGACTAGGCACCGACAGCGGACTGGGCGCAGAAAGCGGACTCCCCGAAAGAGGACTAGGCGCCGACGCACCCGGACTTGCCGCACCAGAAATAGGACTAGACGCAGCAGTACTACTCCGACTACGACTCCTCGTCTTCCTCCCTCCACTTCCTCGCTTGCCTCCCCTCTTACTCTCACCCCCCTCTCTAGCACCCCCCTTCTCCTTCTCCCTCTCCCTCTTAACCCTCCCAGGTACAACCTCCCCACTCCGATCCTCCTCCTCAACACTAGGCCCCATCTCAACACCAACACTCGCACCAGTACTGGGAGCGGGCGCAACTCTAAACGCAGCAGCCGTCGTACCCACGACAACTGTCGGTCCGTAGGGAGGCGTGCCAGACCCTGGTGTGCCAGACGGAGTGTATCCTCCCGGTGTACCAGAAGGCGTGTACCCAGGGGTCCCAGATGAATGTCCATACCCATGAGAATGAGACGGATGGTACCCATGCGGAGACCCCCCATACCCAGGCGCAGTAGCCACGTACGGCACAGGCGAAGTCGCGTACCCAGGGATAGTCCCAAACCCTCCATACAGCGTATGATTCCCGCTCGCCACGCCGTACGCCACGATGTTGGTGCCTGTCGACATCGTAGGCGGATATTGTTTTAGCGTATGGCGAGTCGTAGGCGGGTATTGTTTTCGCGTGTGGCAAGGTCGCAGACGTTCATGGCCGTGATGTAGTTAGTCGTAGGCCGTGATGTAGTTAGTCGTAGGCCGTGATGTAGTCCGCGCACGTCGAGGTCGCAGTCGTCGATATGCCCGTATGCACGTCATAGTCACAGACATGCCCGTATGCACATCGAAGCAATAGGCATATTCATATGCAAGAAAAAAGGATACGAAAGAACGCTCCCAATCAGCCCCTTCAGATCCACCTCAAAAAACATTATCCACGCACCTTGCGACCCATACGCAGAAATACCAGTCCCAACAACATTATACCCCCCTCCTGCTCCTGCTCCCCCTCCATACCCTCCTCCTCCACCACCTCCATACCCTGCAACACCCCCTCCCGCAGTATTAGGCACAGCATACCCCACAGGGATCCTCCGTCCAGCCACAACAATACCCGAACCGCCACTTTGAGGAGCTGTACCACCCGTCGTCGTACTCGAAATAACAGTCCCTCCGCCAGCTGCTGAACTAAGACCAGCCGTCGCACCTCCCGACGCACCAGCCGGACTAGCAGCCTTCTCCCTAGCAGTAGCCAACGACATACCCATCGACGCAATCCTCGTCGACGCAGCCAGTCTAGGCGGGAGAACGACAGGTGGCGTTGTCGTCGTCGTCTGCGATTGTGCTTCCGGCGGTGTCGTAGTCGGAGCCGTAGTCGTCGGCGCTTCTTTCGCTGTCGCAGTCGTCGACGATTCTTTCGGAGGTGTCGTCGAAGAGGTTCCATTCGTTGCCGCAATCGTAGAGAGTTCGCTCGTGCCGTCGTCGATGCTTCTTCGGTGGTGTGGTCGACCCTCCTTCCCATTGGCATCAGCACTCGACCGACCACCCTCAACACGGCTTTCTTCACAACCCTCCCATCCTCTCCTCCCTCGCCCTCTTTCTCATTCACCCTCTCCTCCACACCACCCTCCTTCACACCACCCTCCCCACCACGCGCCATACCACGATTAACGTCCGTCTCCGTCGTTCCCCCTTCCTCTCGCGGTCGTTTATTGCCCAACACCGTCGTTGTCGTTGTCGTAGACTTGGATGCCGTCGTAGCACCCGCCACCGAAGCCGACGCAGCGCCACTACCCATCCTACTCGACAACGATGCAGCACGAGAAGATAACCCTAACCCAGGTATCCCGTGATCCTCCTCTGGCACCCCCGCTATCAACGCGTCCACAGGCACTTCCTTCTCCACACCCATCCTCGCGTCGACAGGTGCTTTCTCCACACCCATCCTCGCGTCAACAGATGCAGCCATGGGCACGTCCACAGGTGCCTTCTGAACAGACAACGCCTCGTCCACAGGCGGCCCCTCGCTAATCGACAATCCAGGTATCGGACTCAGACGCGCAGTGGCGGCTTCGTTCGTCGCGGCTGTAGTCGTCGTCGCAGTCGTGCCTTGACTCTTATACCCACTCGTCGTAGCCACGCCTTGAGTCGCAGTCGAGTTCAAAGTTGTTGTCGAGTTCTTCAAAGTAGTAGGAGTAGCAGTAGTAGTCGTAATCGTAGAATCTACACACACCCAAAAGAATAGTCAATATATGCACTTTAAAAAGAATCAGAAAGACAAAACACGCACCCTTCGCGATGGTAGCGGTTGACCCAGACCCAAGAGTGGCTGCTCCTGCTCCTACTCCTCCGTCAACCTGCATCCCCTCGGCCCTATCCCTATCCCTATCCCTATCCTTCTCCGCAGCAGCAGCAGTGGCAGTCGCATCCACCTGCATACTCCGAGTGGCAGTCGTCGTCGTCGTCGTGCCATTCGTCACGACCGTACTCTCCGCGCCATTCGCAGTGCCGACATCCTCCATCTCAACATCCCCATCCGCATCCGCATCCGCATCCTCATCCCCGTCCCCGTCCCCATCCGCATCCCGCACAAGCCCAGCCACACCTCCCTCACCCTCCTCCTGCTTAACACGTATAATCTCGTCACGCTTCATACCCGCATCACCCACTGAAAGCGAAGCAGGTGCAGAGATTACCGCAGGGGAAATAGGCACACTCGAGAGTGGTGAAGAAGCCGCTACGGAGGCTGTCGTCGTCGCCGTGGGGGGCTGAATCGTCGTTGTCACAGGTTGAGTCGTCGTGGTTGGCCGAGTCGTCGTCGCAGAGGATGGACCCGCCGTCAAAGGTGCCGTAATCGAAGTAGACGCAACAGGTTCCTGTTTCGTCTGGGGTTGCTGCTCGACTTGACGCTGGGCCTGCGTATGCCCAACCATCGCAATCGACCGCGCCTGCACATACAAATCATTATCCCACACCCACTTGCCCCCAACCTGCCCAAGACCTGCCATAAACTGCTCAGCCGTAATCCCATTATCTACCTCCTCCTTCGTCAACAAAAAGCCTTTATGTCCTTTCAGGACCCAACGCGCCCAATCTACATTCACGACATCAGAAAAATCGTTCTCTTCGCATAAAGATGTAGTAGAAAAGAGAAAAGGACGCACCATGCTTCAAAACATCAGCTTCATACTCCTCCTCCCCATAATCCTCCCAAAACCGTCGAAGACTCCACTCCCTCCCAACCATCCACTTGCGATAAAACCTCGTCAACGCCCGATCAAACATCGCAAACCTCCAATTCCTATCCACACTCCCCACCCTATCACCCTTCACACTCTTCATCGGCGTACCAGCCGGACTGTTGTACGGGAGTTCCATCGCAGCCTTCCTCGCCGCCTTCAACAAATGACTACACAGCCTCGACAAATGCACGATATCAAATTTGAACTCGTCCCACTCCTTCTCGGGGTCGGAGGAGGTCAGGACGAGGCGGAGACTCTCCCACTGGAACTTGGCTACGAACATAAGCGGGATGCGGTACCCTTTCGGTAAAAGGGTGGTGGTGCCGTCGCGGGAGGTGATAGAGGCAAAGACGCGCGTGGGCCGGGTGTCGCGCGGCGGGACGGAGAACACGTTCTGCGTCAGATACGAGATCATCATATCCTGCGGCCAGTCGTCCCTACAGATGAACAACAGCTCGCTCGGGTGCTTCCACGGTTTGTCGGGTTCGGGGAGGACGACGGACGTCGCGCGTTGCCGGCCTTGTGCTGCTCCACCATTAGCTGAGGGAATGACGGCGGAGATGGACTGGGCGTCGGTCGTGGAGACAGGCGAGGTTTGCGGCTGGATGTTGAGTGGCGAATCGCGCGAGGGCGTGCCGAGGCGCACGAGCGGCTCAGCTGAGGACCGCCGCCCTACTCTCCGCCTCTCCATAGGCCGTTTGGCGGCTTGCCTTTTGGACGTTGACGATGACGACGAGGCGTTATTATTTCCATCCGGCGTTGAGGTCGACCCTTTACTCGCTCCATACGCCGATATCGAGGTTCCCGCCGTTGGCGTCGTCGTTGAATATTGCGTGGCTGGAATAGGTGCAGTGGCGTTGGCATTGGACGAAGACGAAGGGTGGTTGGTAATCGCGGTGGGCGTGGTCATAGTAGTAGCAGTCGTCGAAAGCGCTCCATTCAAGCCTACTTGGCTCATCGGATTGTCAAAATACTATTTCCCGAATTTGCCGACGACTTGGTAAACAGCGTTCGGGTCTTTTTTCAATGTTGGAAAAAGGCCTTCTCCGCCTCTCTCTCTCTTTCTCTCTCTCGCCTATAGCACCTGGTACTTCACGGCGCGGCGTTGTTCTCCCGCACTTTTTTGCTTTCGCTCGTTCTTCTTGCCCCCCTTCGTGACCAAAAAACCAAATCGTAGCAGTCAGTCAGCCAATCAAATCAACCTATCAGTCCAATCCAGTCCAGCGGTTCTCCAAACCACCAAAAACTCTTCAGAAACTACCGATACCAAGAAACGAAACGAAGCAAACAAACGAATGAATAGACGGGATAAATACCTCTTGTGAAAAAGTCCGCGCTGTAGTTCACTTCAAGTTCACGTTGGAGGAATCGAATGGAAAGCGGATGTGTAACGGGGGAAGGGCGTTGGGGCTGGGAGGTAACAAGTAAAAAAGGGACTCGATGCCAGTGGACAAGTCCAAACTTCACACAAGTCAAGCTCTCGACCAAACCGTCGCTCAGTCGAGCAAGTCACGTTTTCGATGTTCCCACACACTGCATTTCTTGTTCCTATTTGGCTAAACCGTTTGATAGTTTGGCTGGGTCTTTGAGAGTAAACACCTCTTCCCGGCCCATTTTCCCCTCTTTCGGTCCCCGTGATTGTCTAAAGTACCGCCTACAGCTACGGGAGTAACTACGTATGATGTCTACACCCACTCTCCGAGGCAGAAATCGACGAACTAACGGACCTGCTCCCCGAATACGAACACCCAAACAAACGACGGAACGTATTCGAACTCTGCCCTCACGTGTCCCGCCGTATTCATCCGAAACGTTTTCCGATTCGTGACTCCCCCGAGTCAAGATCAAGGTGTCCCAGGATATCGATGATGACCCAAGCTCCCATCGATAGCGATAACGATGGGGGTCATCACCGTTCACGCTTTTTTCACTGGTCGAACTCGAACTAGGGAGCTCCCACTGGAATCCCCTCCTCCTGTCCATCCATCCACCGATCCTCCCTCTGAACCCACCCAGAGGCCAAACTGTTACCGCTTTGAGCAGGGCTCACAGCCTGAGGCAGGAGGACCCGTGCGCAATCGATCGTACCTTCCGAGCATGTGAGGGTTGTCTATCGTCCCCGAGCATGGGAGGGCTGTCCAACGTCTATGTCCAAACCAGCGTCCTCAGCTTCTACACAAGGAGGAGGTCAGCCTCTCTGAAGAACGAGAACGACGACGACGAACCTGATCTCGAGGCCCCTTCTGTGTCTGACCGAGATCTAGATCATGGGTGGTAGCGTTCGCCGTTCGACGTTTCATCCTGAGCCACGTCCAACGTCCCAACCAAACGAAAGGTGAAAGCTTTGTTGGGCGGTGTTATGTAGGCTTCCCTGCTTTCTCAGGATCACGTCAAATCGTATACGCAGTCTCCCGTTACCTGAGGCTGGAAGCTGTAAGCCTATGCCATCAAAGGATTAAGATTTAGGATGTGGCAGCTGATACACAGCTGATACACGAAGATTCACAGTTGGAGGGCTCTCGGCTGTCTGTGTTACTCTCATATTTCTAACGCCCTTCTCGTGTTTTCTAAAGCCTTTCTCTCGTGTTTTCTAAACCTTTCTCTCGCACTCCTAAACTCTTCTCATACTCCTAAACCCATCTCGCACTTCCCAGTCCATCCACATCTGCATATAACCCCACCGCCCCGTCACGGTTCTCTCTGGGTCTCTTGGGCAGCATCGTTAGATTAAGACTGACCTGCCCTAAAGCTTTAAAGTACCGTCCAAGTTCCAAGTCGCTAAGTAATACTTAATCACATATGATACTAATAGGGACTAGATTTCTCTCCGTGTCTCTTAACAACACGGGGTTAGATTTCTTGAGGCACGAACGTCCCATGCAGCTCTGTCAACGCCTCAACGGACCTGGCAGAATACATGATATAAACCTCTACTTACCAGCACCTCGGAGGCCTGTATCATAACATAGATCACCGAGTCCGAATTGGAACTTAACCCAAGTTCCCCGCTGACAGTCAAAACCTTCGAATGCAAAGTGCCCTTGAACGAAAGCGGGGTTTCCAAGTAGGGCCCATTGGAGATGATCTGCGACCATGCGCGCAGTAGGATTCTTGCTCCGCAGCCAGCCACAGCCTCACTCCGAACACGAGTTTCGTTTCAGTGGGACTGGAAAGTGCGTCTTGTACCTGGACATTCATTATAGGACTGAATCCCGAGTGTTGCTCAGGTCCGTCCTTCTCACCTTGACTTCGCCGTCTTCCTATACACCAACTACAAAAGCTGTGCCAACACGAACTTGAACACCGGGGGGTTCATTCTGTCTTAAACGATATAAGTATCCTGTCTACCTTTCTGCGTCCTCGCATTCTCTGAACCTTGTCAGAAACTTCTGGACGAACTCCAGCCTCCGATGGTTAAGAGTTGAAGAAGGACATCTCGCAAGGCGCGGGATGGCGAGTCGACGCCATGAATTAATTAATAGGTGTTAGAGGTTGCTGTACGAGCTCCATGTAGTATGTACGACACTCGTTGCTCCGAGTCGGCACAATTCTCTTCCTCAGTCTCTGCTTAATATTCTCAGGTATGTCTAATTTGTCGTTTTCTAATGCCTTTAACTACTTACACGCAGCTATACTCTTCCCCAGTTGGAGCAGCACATCACGGTCGAGCCAGGTTCAAACTTGTTTTGGTCAATGAGCCATCGGCGTATGATCATTGTTCCCAGCTCATATCTGAAGTTTCTAAAGCTCAATTTAAGCTGAGTAACGAGTAACGATGTGTATGAGCTACAACGAACGCACTATGTGCCCTGGACTGGGAGGAAGTAGCAAGGTGTTCACGGCCAGCTTACGGTATGAAATTGTTACTATTTGGACCTGGCATGGAGCGTGCTGTTAATCCCTGCGTTCGCATATAGGCAGCGACATGGAGGGATAACACCCCCCAAATGTATGACAGTAAAGCGGGGTTGTCCCTAACAGATGAATAGATCCCCCCGAGCGGTCGATTCAGAATCCGAAGACGCATTTATCCGGTACGACCTGGGCTGAGTGATTTCCACCGGTTTCTGATTATTACTTAATCTCAATATCTAATCGCCTTACCGGAGGGATATATGCCTCGCAGCACTTGCGTAGCACTTGAATACTACAGACATCGTTACCCGGCGTCAAAGGCCAAGGCGCCTAAATAGCGGGACTTCCAAATACGGAGTGGAAGTGATCCCCGATCAAACAGCGCGGGAAACTGGTGCCTCCTCCAAACACGTTGTTCTGGTTTGCAGGACCCTGGCAGACGATATAGAACGATCCTACCAACGATCCTATCAGAGATCTCAGCTGTAAAGATTATCTCAACTGAATATCTCCGAGGTGGCGAGTGGCGCTACTAGTATGCCGTCTTTCGTGACCTATTGACCGCCCATTCAATCAGCTTCAACTTAGTGGTATCGATAGGGAGGTCATTTCTCGTTATCAACCATCTATTATGTGCTCGTTTGACATCTCAGGCCATCGATAACATATGTACGGACGTTCTGTATACTAGTAGACTGTGCTTGGGGCTCATATCAGCGCCATATCTCTTCAGTTTGTGGACCAACACGCCAACCGAGGCGGCGCGAACCAGTTCGCGGACCATCAGTGGGGTCAGATCGACATACTCAGACAGATAGTATACACACACCTCCCAAATGGAAGGAATAGGTATAGACCGAATACCATATAAAGCATCCACATCCAGCTCCTCAACTATCACAATTCACCGTTCACGTGCAGCATTCCATTTCTTACTGCAGCCGTCCTGCGTCTCCGTCGGCTACTAAAGCGCCTACCTTGTCCTCCTCGAGAACATCCAAGCTCCACTCGAGTGAGGGGCTCGCATGTCAGGAGGCGTCTTGACAGAACAAATGGAAGCTCACGATACGGGTTCTTATGCTTTTAATAGTTTAGACCTTGCGTCCAGGTGCGGAAATCCTTCTTTCGAACATTGCTTCGGGAATTCTTCCTTCCCGTTTGAAAATACGACTTTTTCTCGTCACTCAATTCAGTTTTTAGGCGAGGTTCTAGACTTTTTGAATCTGGTCACTTCGGGCCGTCCCTATTTGCTATTCACGCTCGCTCGTCGATGATTGGGCCAGAGGATTGCCGCAGGGCGTATGATTCTGGGGTACTCCATTGCAGCTCGAACTATGTGCCCACTTCACACCCACATCAACCACTCAGGGAAGGCGAAAGTATTTTTACCCTTCCTTAGGTATCGGACTGACATAGTGCCGTTCGTGTAGAGGCGCAATGGTCGGACTGGGATAAAAGCTTATCACGATCCACCAAACTTCAACCTCCTACTATCTCCTGAAGTTCAGGAGCCCTATTCAGTCTATTCAGTGACCATTGCCTCGGGATTGGACTCTTCGTACGGCGTCTTGGCCCAGTGGCGGACTCGGGACCTGATCACCCTGATCACTTGCACTATGTGTACGATCAAGGCGGTTATGCCTGTGCCACCTCGTTTCTTCCGAGTTGATAACCTGAAGACCGCTGGTACTCATCGATACGCTCGACGATTCTGATCCCCGGGACTAGTTGGATCGATAGGCGAGCATGTCCTGGGCTCGTTTGTCTATTTTGGAGTGGACGGTTTCCTCGCCCCTGGCCGTTGCCGTGACTGCTATAAAGATAGTGCACAGTTTTGCGGGTGCAAGTAATCACATCCCCCCGATGTGAGCGGCGAGATTTGAGCGGACAACCAATTATGTAGGGTAGCGATACAGCAACGCGATGAGACGCCAGGGCACGGTCACTGCAGATGCAGTGCTACTTAATGCAGTTGGAGACCTGGGGTGACTCCTGAAACCACATTGCGAAGAGTCCAGCGAGCGCTAGCAGAGTATAAGTTGAACATAATTCGCCATGGACCGTAAATTCTGCATGACCGGGAATTATCATGAATCGTATAAGGACCCGCCGCTTCTGTCTCCTGAAATCGATGGAGGACTGCAACGTCCTCCGAAGCGTTTCATATCTGTCTTTGTCTTTCTATTCACAACTGACACATGCTGGCCACAAGTGCATCCGCCCTAGTTGTATAGAACCTTGTGCTACTCGGAGTAACCATCATTGTTTCAGTAGGACGGGCTTCTTGACTGCCACCAGAATAGTGACCAATGGTGTTCATGCGTTTAAATGTCGTATCCTGCCTTGTCTATAACCTTGGACTGAGCATTTCCGGCATGAGCTGGCTTCGATTCTCGTCCCACTGAGGTGAGATGTGATAGCCCTTACACCGGCAGAATCAACCAAATGATAGCCATGTCTCTTCCGGCTTATAAGGGCTACTTTCAAACGATCCACGTGCATCGTTCTGAGATGCGAAATAATGTCCTCCTTCGAACGCGCCATTTCGAATGTAATGGATTACTTGGGAAAAATCACCTCCAACTGCACATCTGAGGCTGCAAAACCGTACACAAAGACCTCACTGCCATGGGTTCCGGCTGATGCGATGTGATCGAGTGTTAGAAGCTGGAACGTGGCTTTCAATGCAACTCTGGGGTGACTGACCATGCTATGTAGGTGACCTGTGGGGGTATTCCTGTTAATCTATGGCTCTTCAATCAGTATGCCTATCGATGAACCACTGGTAACTGGAAACTTCCGAAATGGACCAGGCGCTTCCAAGCATATCCACCAGCTCGAGCGCTCTTCCGGTTAATATATTTTGAAGTGATGTCTACACCCCGCTTTCAAATGAGATCTCAATCGTATTCTACCTGCTTCTATTCGTGCTACAAGCACCCTCAGCCTTGGGATATATCCGGGCTTCCTATTTGTCGGGAGATCGCCTTTCCGCGTCTCATCGCTCCATTTTCCAGCAAGAAAGTGACTCATTAGTGACTTAACCAGGCCTGAAGTTAGCTACAGTTTGCATTTCAGCCTCTACGCTCTGTGTACTTAGCTACAAGAACTTCAATTTACAAGCTCGTCACACTCTTTTTTTGTCTCTTTTTCCAGGCGGCTCGAAACCGCCGACCAACTGGGCGCTTAATGCAAATTCTTTAGGGAGTGCCGTCTCATCTTCTATCTGGACGGAGCGAGGAAATCTGCGATGGTACTGAATTGGCAAGTCAATCATAAATCTATCTTTATCCTAGGAGTCACAGCATGTTGTAATGTATTCGTCATGGAGTATAATATAGACACTCTTCCGCCGCAATAGATTCTCGAGCCACTCTTCTTCTATCGCTATTTTCACTGTCCTCACGGTCTTGGTGAACTCGGAAAGGAAATCTGTATGTAACAGCAGCGTTGGCGGACCGAGGCGAGAGCTACGTGGGACACCCCCTCAGTAACGGAAAGCCAACGGACCCCGGTGCACCGAGGCGGCGGACAACCTTGGGCGCCTGTCGGTATTCCCTCGCCTGAGCGGGATTCTGATTTCTACAGGGCGGAGTAACCTGGTGTAGCCATTCCCCAGTTTGGAGGCCTCTAAGAGTGACTTAGGGGCCCTCTCGGGTGAATGTTTGAATGCCGAAGCGGGAACAAACTTTGCTTGTTGTTCCAGTAAGCACATACTCAATGGTCATCCTCAAGCGTCTGAGAAGCACTATTTGATTCCCGGTAGTATGTTACGCGAAGCGCCTCACATCGGTTGGTAGAAGGAATCCCAGAATCCGAAGATTCAACCCTAGTGTAAGTCCGCCACAAGAATGTTGGAATATTCTCTTTTCTTGTGCTTTGTTAGTCGAATACGCGACTAGGTCTACTGAGTTACCGGAAACCGCGCTCTTGTGCTGTAGGTTTCTCGGACGTCCGAGACGCATCAAACAGGCGACGGAGACGTCTGTAATGCCTCCACCGCCGGGATAGAATTCAGAGAGAGCGGCACGGTGTCTAAGTGGACGGTGACGATCCTGGGAAGGGGGTGTGCACTCGTCGGAGAACTCGCACAGGCCCGACGTTCTCAGCCTGCCATGGCAGTTCCAGAGTCGACGGAGACCGAGGGCCCGCTTTCGTGGCCACGTCGGAGCGCTCTAGATGCTATATGCTGTGGGAAATCACTGAGCTGGGTGCAGTCGTTACGAAGATCCACGGTGGATAGAGACAATGGGAAGGTGTGTCTAGGTCTGTTGTTCCATTAAGCTTTGCGTGGGTTCATCGTGAATTCGAAGATGGGACAACATTCACGCGAAGTTGTAACAAAAAAAAGTTACCTCTGCCAGACCTGTGACAGTATGTGTGCATGGCTCCTTCCACAGCACACTACTCTACGAGATCCGACTCTTCACTTCATTGTCTCGAAGAGCGCCCGCCTGCTATTTAGGTTTTCCAATAGACGTGGCTTGATTGACCTTGCATTTTGTGATGGAACGCAGATGATTCAGACCGGTTTCTGATACACGGCGGTGTCTTGCCGGTGTTCCATTGGTTCACCGAAAGCCCCTCTACACTCCCGGCAAAATCACGGGTCTGGCTGTCCAAGGGTGCACTTTCTAAAAGCGTCCTTCCTTTATTATTTTCTGAAAAGGGATTTGGGTCTTGCTGACAGCCATTTCTTCATTACTATGGTTAGAGCCCATGAGTTTCGTTTGAATGGGCTGGTTGCGGCTGCAACTGGGAAGAGAATTGAGAAATACACGGATATTCGCAACGAAGTTGTGGGTCCATCCGATGGACCTGGAGCAACGGAACTGAAAACAAGTCTCCTCAACGACCACGGAGACTATAGCTGATGATATCTCCTCTCGTGAGCCTTGAGCAACGCTCCGGGACTCGGTACCGGTGTGGATCTTTGAAGAAAGGACGAGTTGTCGAGTCTCATCGCTGGATTGTCAAGTTGGATGTTATTCTGCTCCTTTTCTTCGACTTGACCATGGTTCTCGAGATTTTATGACCATATCGTTCATGCTCATGAGTACGGCACTGTACCGAGCTTCGGTAAAGGGTAGTGGAAATTGAGAAAGTCGTCGTATTCCAACGCTGGTTCAACTTTCGCTACAGACGGAATTACCTTTGATCGGAGATCCCTATGGATGTAGCTTGGGAATGGCAACTGGCGCGAGCGTTGATCGAAAGCACTTCGACAAGGTCGACTCTCGGTGTCCACTCTTTCACACAGAGAAATGTGTCGCGTGTGGTTATTCAACCAGCACGAGAACACCAGAAGGAGGTTGGAAAATAACTGTACAGGCCCCCACCTTAACGCTTGTGTGTGCATCTTCTACTACTGTCTGCAGACACGCTGTAAATCGGAATCCAAAGTGAGCCAGCCACCCGGAGTTCAGCCCTCCGGAACTGAGACTTCAAACGGGGACAATCTTTACCGAAAATCTCAATTACCACGTGCGAGTTCATGGCAGGTAATGGCAGAGCACTTACTTGCCAGGTGCCGAAGGCCTCGGTTCCTTGCCTTCTGGCGCTTCGGTAGTCGTTGAAGATGCTGTCACGTTACTCAAGTTCCCAGGAGAGTTGCCGCAGCGATGCCGAAGGCATCTTTCACGAGGAAGCAATGTACGTATGGTCCAAAGAATTGTCAATGAATTTCTCGAAGCTAAATCACGTTGACGATGGCGCTGAGAATAAGAGGTAGGGTGGTTACCGTGAATGTACTTACCCCACCAGTCTGTGGCATTCGTTACGACATGTGTAAATATTCTAACACTTTTTGAAGTTCGTAATTGGCGACTTGGTACCGTATACCAGGTATTATTTTGCATTCTTCCATTACCACGTACTGGCAACGTTGGCGTTCTGATGGCTGGGAAGCTACACCGACGACAAAAGTGAGCGTGAGAGACGCCGTGCTTGGAAGGAATGATAAATTTCCAGTGGACAATTCTATCTAGGTGGCGAGAGCTTGAAGCTTGAATATACAACATGTAAGTAATTATACAAACTAAGGTAAAGGGGTATAAGGTTATAATCAAAACTTCCAACACTGAAGGCTCGCCAGCGCTCTCTCGAAAGGAAAGTCACCTCCCCAACTCTGAACGTCTGCGAGACTTTCGTGTACTGAACGCCGTAGCTCCTGCACGGCTTCGCGTGCGGCATGGAAGTCCCCAACACGACCACCTTCGATTTCTTCTTTCGAACTCTGGGAAGCAATGTGATAAGAACGGGTGTAGTGTATCGAGATAAGAGTGTTGCTTACCTGAATCGCTTGTCCTACATCAGCATCAATGACGGCCAGAAGATCAGCCATATCCCCATCGTCTTGCCACCGGAGTCCTACGGTCGCGCGAAGGACAGACGCAAGTATTCCCAAGCTTGCAAAGCCCAAACCCGCTCCATACAGCGAACGAGCCCGGGTCAGAGTTTCGTGAAGGTGAGGTAGAGGGGCTGCCTCAGAGTCGCGCGTTTGTCGTCGGAAGAAGGCATAGGGGTTGACTTTTGATTTTGCTTGCGTTTGACACAGCCGTGAACGTGCAGCGTTGGTGAATGCTGGGCAAAGGCCTGGAGGGCCTGTGGCGAGGAGGTTACGCATAATAGACCGGAGACTGGGTGGATACATTAGCTCCGAGGACCACTTGGGATGAAGAGGGGCGACTTACTCGTCAGCGGTCGCGTTTGCGATGAATGTGTCAATCATAAGGTTGCTGTAATGGGGTCCACAGTCAGAGTCTATTCTGGAGGACGTCGAGGGATACATACACATGGCCCAGTGCAGGACGGGAGTCGTATGATCGCATGGAGGAAACTTCGGGGGCAGGCATGGCTGGAGTTGGAGGGGAAGAATAGTGGGGGGAATTGGTCTCGAAACGAGAGCCTTTTTGTAGAGTTCGGGAAAGCGAAATTTCTCATAACTGCATTTTGTCTCGTTATATAGCTCCCTACAAAGAATCAGCGAGCTTGAATCAGGGGCGGAGGCTGAGATCTCAGTACCCACAGGGAGATCCCAGTGATGGCACGTATTCTGATTCCGTGGAAGCTCCGGCCTATTTCTTCCAACGGGCTTCAAAGCAAAATGGGGAAGACGCGCGGCGGATGTCGCACCTAATCTCGTCCTCGGTCAAACTTGTGACCCTGGGACCATGGTCGTAACGTCAATTTTCAAAGGCGCTCAATTATGTCACACAGTTCGTTCTGGTTCATCTCATCCCTCTTCAAGCGCGGAACCGGCTCGCTTTCCTCCCAGTTCAGTTCCACGGCCCAAGACTATTCACCGGAACGTCCACAAATATAAATCGCTCCATAACATCAACAAGATATAAAATCCTTCACCAACGGTCTATATCGATTGTTCAACGACATCGCCCTCATATCCAATGACCAACCACGCCATTGAAACCTTTCGTCTGGGTCCTTTCATCACTCCGCGTATCTGGATAGGGCTGTGGCAGCTATCGAGCAATGCGTGGGGCTCCGTTTCAGCTGGCAAGGTTCGACAAGGAATGGCACGACACGTCGAATCGGGTTACCTTGCCTTCGGTAAATTTCCTCGTCTCTCGGAGGCAATTCTTGGACTTACATCTAATCAACCTCGCAGATATGGTATGTCTCCTTCGACGCTCACACGTTATTCATCATCATCGTTCTGAGCGATGTTCCATGTCCACTGGGGATTTAACAGGGTGAGTTTCTGCGAACCATCCATCCACTTCTTCCAGATATTCACCTATATTAGCCGACCACTATGGGAGCGCAGAAATTATCTTTGTAGGTTGAATTGTCGTCTCTTTGTCGGATAATCGCGCTCACCTTCTCCACTTCGCAGGGTCAGTTTCGCGAGTCGAGACCACCTTCGGAGCAAATCGTCGGTGCTACGAAATGGTGTGTCTTCAAACAGATTATCCCAACTCGGCAGGCCGTTTGGGCAGCTGTCCAGGAGAGAATGGTTCGAATGCGATCGCAGCAGGTGGATTTACTCCAGGTGAGTCGACATACTCCTGTGCAGCCCGTACGCAAGTTAACAAAAGAGCTTTTGTTAGTTTCACTGGCAAGACTACACCGACAAAGGATACCTTACGGCGTTGAGTATCCTCAATGACTTGAGAATGGAGGGCCACATCCGCGCCATCGGACTATGCAACTTCGATGCCATTCGTACCGACGAAATCTGTACTGAATTAGGGCCTGGGGTTATTGTATCCAACCAAGTTCAGGTACGTGCCGACATCCATTATCATTCCAGCCACCTACATCCGCGTACGCAGTTCTCCGTCATCGACACACGACCGCTTCACGGAATGTCCGACGTCTGCGACCGACATGGACTCAAACTGCTCACCTATGGCACTTTGGTGCGTTGTTCCGCTATGTTTCATTCTTTCACATCAAGCTAACTAAACCAAGTGCGGAGGATTCCTCGCCGATAAGTGGCTTGGAGAGCCAGAACCGGATCCATACTCAGGGGATCTCACCCCATCGCAACGGAAGGTAACCCAAACACGCTCCCCTGTTCAGCTCTTCTTTCTCTCTTGGCTAATTGTATCATCTCCAGTACCTCGACATGATAGTCAAAGCTTGGGGCACGTGGGACTTATTCCAAACTTTATTGTCCGTATTGCGAAAAGTCGGTGATAGGCACGGAGGTAGAAGCATCGCGAATGTTGCAACTCGCTGGGTTCTTGACCACCACTTTGTTGGTGCTGTGATCATAGGTCAGTTCGAAAGGATCTTTCCACCCCCTTACCTCATCTCAGAACTCTTTTACAGGCGCACGGCTAGGTCTCTCGGAGCACAGAGACGATAACCTCCACGTCTCTTCGTTTCGTTTGACAGATACTGACAGAGCCGAGATTGAAGCTGTGCTCGAACGCTCGAATGGGCGCAGGATCATCTCGACAATAGGCGACTGCGGGGCAGAGTATCGGTAACTCAAACAAGATCCCCGGATGCCATTTGTACTCGAGTTGCATTCGTTTCATTTTCTTATTGTTTTGGGACTACCTGGTCAACTGACTGTTGAAGTCGTGATACCAATGATTAGAAACTCTAGCTATTGATACATTGTGGTACGCTACACATGACGATGAAATGAATGATCCCTACGGACGGTCCCCAAAATGAAAAGGTTTGATGATAAGTAACGATGCGCGTGTATGGATATCTAATTATAATTTGCTAGTGGTTGAGTATATCGTGGAAGAGAAAGAAGAAGGAAGTCGTTGAATAGGCTGGAGTTTACGCTTCAAGTCTCTCAGGATAGTTGTCTTGGGCTGCCATTCGCGGAACGCATCGCGAAGTTGGGAGACCTCCTTCGAGAAGTAGTGGATGACTCGTTCATCAGCGATTACATCGCGCAATGACCACGGTATCTATCAAGACCCAGCTTAATTGAGAGCTCCTTTGCCACAAAGAATGGGCACTAACCTCGTAATCATTTTGCTCGTGAGCAGCATCGAACGACTCCAATTGAAGGTCGGGATACGGCGCCAAGCCATCGTTTGCTTCGAACAAATATCGGACAGCCAAGCTAATGATTTTATGAGCTCCATGAAGTAAGAGAGTTTGAGATAGGCGGACTTACGAATAACATGAAAGCTCTTCATAAGCTGTCGAATGTCCTATACCGCTTAACGAACCCGCGGTGGCCTCCGACAAATGCGCGATTAAACCGCCGTCTGGGATGCCCGAGTTGCGAAGTCGGAGGAGTAAGACCAGAAGGTTGGAGAGAAAGTCGGACGAGCTATGAATAGGTCCATTAAGATGTTGGCCATGACGAGCGTCGGGAAGGAAACTCACTGATATGCATCACCATCTATGTAAAGGGCACGTAGAATCATAGGGTGAGAAGCAGCAGTGAAGATGCCCGAGTAGATGGGAACGACTTGGTCATTTAATGAAGCGATATAGACCATTTTGACCTGACATAACCTTGAGTATGATGAAGGACAAAAGAGACTGCCGAACATACGCCATGATGAAGCACATTTCGAAGAGCTTGGACGTAAGCCTTTGACACTGCACTTTCTGTATTCTAGATAGATGCCAATGAGACTCGGAAGTTCATCATAGAGGCCTAGAACATACCTGGAATTCGAAGAGTTCACGGGCCGCGGTCGATTCGAAGTACTAGCGGGATCCAGTGAGTTAAACACTCTCGAACATCTCCCGTCGAAACACGTACTTGAATATAAGGTTGTACTAACGAGCTTCCACTGAGGTAACGCAGAGGGCCGAGGTGAATGCCACATAGGGCCAAGCAGCAAACGCGCTGAGGCTTCCGTCCAGGCGAGACGTTCACTCCAACAGCCGAGGGGAACGAGTCGGCGCCAGAGACTTCGATAGGTTCGACTGAAGTCCTGATATGCTTATCCGCAATCAAACGATCCAGCAAATGGGTCGAGACTACCGATCCTTGCGAATGAGTGGCGACGATAACAGCATCAGCCTCGTGCAAGTCGCTCATCCATTCACTATTAGCGAGGAGATTGCTGTAAAGCCTATTCAAGCAGCCTCATTAGCGCCCGAGGACCTCGAGATGGAACATTCGCCCGCACCTTTCAACTCTGCGTTGAATAGTTCCTTCACCTTCCAATGGGATCTTCGTCACCTTCTCCAATTGAACTCCATGCGCGTCTTCAAACTCTCTCAGCGCCTGTTCCATCATATTCGCAAACTTCGAACTGGTTCCTGTAGGCTATAAACCGGCGCCGGGTAAGTATAACATGCTTCTCCGAAGGAACGAAGCGATCGCATAAGAAAAGAAATGAGGGAAAGTGACACAATAAACTTCAAAGCATTGCGCAAGGAAGTAACTGCCTCCATGCCTCATCCGCACAACTGGCGTCGCGCACGCCTGGTTCACATATGAACGAGGGAAAAATACACGCGTCGGAACACGACGCGACTCGGGGGATAACGAGCGAGTTTAACAACGTTCGAGATTTCGAAGACCGAGCGCGCGCGTGCTTATGGGAAGAATAGAAGAAGGAACCATGCAAGTGAAAAACTCACCTCTCCAAGTACAGTTCTCATTACGGCACCTATAGCAGTAACAAGACGTGTAAGCTCTCCATCGGCGACTAGTTTGATAGCCATGAAGCATTAGAAGACGAAACTTACCAGGGAACCAACCATGCACGCCAATTACGACCACTCGCCTACAGCCCCTCAGCACATCGTGAATCGCTTGCCCCTGGCTATCGCCCAATCCTGGCACGCGCGTCCCTATCGTCGCGTTCACACCGGTATTCGCCGATGTATCGCCGAGCCCTACATCCACTCCTTCGATCGGAGCTGGAGAACCACCACTCCCAATCGTACCATTATGCAACACTTTCCACGCCTTGGGCAACTCTTCTCCAAACCTCTCGAACCGCTTCTGCCTCTCCTGTTCCAATAACGTGCCGAGATCGAGGGGCCCGCCAACGCCGCCGACCCCACTCGAGCTCCGTCTCAATCTAGAACTGTTCGTCGGTCGAGAAGAAGAAGACGAATGTCGATTGCCACTGGTCGATCCGCGTCGGACTTGAGAACTCGAACGAGCTCGCTGGTGCGACTGCTGCTGGCTCTGGTGGTCATCCTTGGAGAACAGAACCCCGCTGACGAACTTCATGGTTTTTCCGAGAATCGTACTCGTAGAAGGTCCGGGCGATGAATCTTCAGAGCTCGAATTAGACCTGGAAAGAGGAGGTGGAGGGGGAACGACGCTTCGTGGAGGAGTATGGAAGATATCATCCCAAGTCGGTAGAACAAGATTAGGTGGAGGGGGAGGCCCAGCCTTCTTCGTCGAGGGTGCAGGAGAGTTGTTGCGTTTAGGAGTCACAGGCGCAGATCGAGCCTTCTCCTTTTCCTTGGGAGAATCCTTGTTCATAGTAGACTTTGAGGGACTGACAGGAACAGGAGTCGACTTGCCGGAAGAGGGTTTCGATCCCGGCTTGGTCGTCGGAACAGAATCTGAGACTTTATCCTTGAGATCTTCGTCCCGAGTCAACGGAGGCGCAGGCTTTTCGGCCGGAGGTTCGGGTTTGACGTCCTTGCTCGAATCCGATTTCGATGACTTGGTCGATGCCGAACTGGACTTGATAGGTAACTGAGGAATGAGCGCCTTCGTAGTAGCAACCACAAGCGACGAAACATCCTTCTTATCCTTCTCCTGATCGCCCTTGGCGCCATCATCTCCACCTTCCAAAGTCGAACCCTGTCCCTCATCATCACTTTCATCTATGTCCATGATCTCCGCGCCATGCTCATCCCTCTTCACCTCATCCTCCTTCTTTGCCAGTTCACTTCCATATCCGATCGCCTTGACCATAAGCGCCCGGGAACTAAAGAAGGAAGCCCAACCGCTCCGGTTCGCGTGAATGCTCGCCTCAATCGGGTTCGTCTCTCCCAAGCTCCCAACACCTGCTCTGGCACCATCACCGCCACTACCACAACTACCACCTCCCTCTACACCATCATCCTTTTTACTTCCCTCCTTTGGATCCTGAGAACTCGCGGTCGCGGAGGCATTGGACGGCGACTCGCCTCTCGTCCCCTCTTCACCCTCTCCACCACCATCGCGGTCATCGCCAACCTTATTCCTATCCCCACTCCCGTCACCCTTATTCCCATTCTCCTCTGGCAAACGTCAATCCCTCGGACGCAGTACGACCCCCATTCGATCCAGACGAAGATTCCGTTTCCGGTGCAGATGACGGCGACGTAGACGGCAATGTCGTTGGTCCTTCATCGGTTGTCGTTGTCGTGGTTGTGGTTGTGGTCGTCCCAGTGTAGTACCACGCCCACGGGGAAATCCACGCGATAACTCCTCCACCTCCATTAGCCCCGCTCTCCGACGACGATCCATCTCCAGCCTCAACGCCCTCGGCCTTCCCAGTCGCGTCTACACCCTCCTCCCCTTCTGCCTTTCCTTCCCCTCCCTGCCCGAGCGCCTCTCTTTCTCCATCAGAACCACCGGCCGTTTTCGCGGTACCATTGCCCTCCCTCGGCATATCCCCTGCTAAAACGTTAAAAGCAAAGAGTTTTTATCAGCCTCGTTTGCTCCTCCAATGTTAACGTTGATAACGAGAACGTCAAGTCAAAAAAGCGGAAAAAGAGAAACAAGGGGAACGACGGGCGGCCGCCGCACGAGGGAAGACGACAAGGTTGACAAAGAAAGGAAAAGAGAACAGGTGAAGCAACGGATATGTGAGATAAACGTGAAGAAATTAACGTTAATCCTTGACAGTACACCGTAAAGGCGACCATCAAGCGGCCCTTGGAACCCCAGGAGCATAACGTTACACCCATGAGGCCTGCACCGCAAAAACACCAAGGCTGCACCGTCGAAAGCCCACTCGTTTCGACAATGTCCAACTCTCCCAAAGATCAAACACACCACCCGCTCCAGAATCACGAGGATCCCAAAACACCAAAAAAAAAAAAATAAAAAAAATCCCAAAACAAAAACGAAAAGAGACAGACGACTCACCATTAGCCACATCGTTCCCATCCCTCGGCGATTCTCCTTCCCCACTCAAACCTCCGTCGACGGAACCTTTACCGTCGGCCATAATAGGAGTCTCGTCAATACTGACGGCACCACCACGACCACGACCACGACCACGACCACTACTAGCTCCACCACTACTACTGCTAGCCTCCTTCTCCTTCTCCTTCTCCTCGTTCGCGTTCACGTTGACCTTCTCCTTCTCTTCCTCGTGCACGTTCTCCTGCTTCTTCTTCTCCTTGGTCACGTCCTGCTTCTTAACGTCCACGCTCCCCTTCGCGGCAGAAACTCCCAATCCCAATCCTGGCAGCCCGAATCCAAACCCAAACCCAACTCTATCTCGATTCCTATCTTTATCTTGGACAGAGACCGTGTCCTTCTCGTTGGTGTTGTCCTTCAACTCGGCCTCCTTCGTGCTCCCACTGACTTGGGAAGCCAAAGGGGGTGCTGTTGAAGTGGGTTGTTCAGATTGCGATTGCGATGCGAGATCCGATGGTTCTGAGGAGGGGAGACCCGATAGTTCCGACGAGTCTGGATAGGGGTCCGTCTTCGTCTTCGTCTTCATCGTCGAGGTCGGGGTCGAGGTCGAGTCCGCCTGAGATGTAGTACCAGCACCAGCTCCAAGTTCATCCTGCTCTGTGTGTCCTAAAAAAACCCCAAAAACAAAGACACGCACAAAAAGGCAGTAATACTCAATTAGCAAAAGATACAAACAAATGCTAAAGTTGTGGAATGACATACCCTCACTCTGAATTGAACTCTCCTTCTCCTGTAAACCTGATCCCGATCCCGAGGCAGAAGCGGGAACGGAGGTAGACCCTCCCCAACCAACATAAGCCCACCACGTACTCGTCGTAGTCGTAGTCGTACTCGCGCACGTAGTTACACCACACTCTCTCCCTCCCGTCTCCTCCGAATCGCCCTCCTTCCCGTCCGACATCGTGGCAGGAGCGGAGGCTACGTCGCCAGAACCAGAACCACAACCAGATCCCGACAAACCACTAGAACCACACCCGGACGCAGACCCAGAAGCACCCTCTCCATCTTCCACTCTTCCATTCCCATTCCCAGTCGCAGACCGAGTGTCAGGGTCAGACTTTCCATCTCCAGCAATCGACCTCGTCGTGGGATCTGCTTCTGGACCAGAGTTCAAGTTCGATTTCGTTCCCGAGACTTCTCTACTATTCTTCGTTCCCGAGACGTCGTTGACGTTCGAGTTCGAGTTCTTCAAGACCGAGCCCGAGCTCGCATTGACGTTCTTCGAGTTCGCGTGGACTTCGCTGCCATCGACGATAACATTCGCACCCGCGATGGCGGCAGAAGACGAAGAATTAGCGTCAAACGCCGCCGAAGTGGTGCTGGCGACAACATCCTTCTGGTTCCGGGTCGAGGTCGGGGTCGAAGTCGAAGTGCAAGTCGAGGTCGAGGTCGAAGTGCAAGTCGAGTCCGTCGCGCTCCTACTGCTCGATGGAAGATGGTCTGGACCAGAAGACGCCTTAAAGGAAGACAGTGGTTCATCGCTCGAGATAACCGGTTCGTCTTGCTTACGAGCTGAACCTAGAGAAAATGGAGTCAGTAAAATTGCATTATCGTTATCGTACACCACGGGAACCGGCCGGCCAACCAAGTGACCGAAGAGGAAAGAAGAGCAAAATGAGAAAAAATATCGAGAAGAACTAGGACGATAGATCGATCGAAAGAAGGTGAAAGAGGGCGCGAGGCTGGACTGGGTGAGGTGCGGCAGCGGCAGCAACGTGCTGAGAAGGCGCGGGCAGTAGGACAGGCGTGGACGAAAGAATGTCCGTGGACGGGGAGAGAACAAGACAAGGCGATCATGAACGTCAAAGAAAAAGGACGTCCGTGGACGGAAGAACAGGCAAGGCGATCGTGGACGGAAGAACAAGACAAGGCGATCATGGACGGCAAAGCAAAAGGACGATCGTGAATGCAAGAAAGAAATCGTCGACGCAAGAACAGGTCGATCGTGGGCGCAACAAAACAGAAAGACAAGACTCCCGAAGCCACCCCCAGGGTATATATCCCGCCTGTCTGTACATATATAAAAACACACACAACTCCCATCAACGCCACCAACCGCATTTGAGACGTCAGACCGCACCCAACTCCCCCTAAGCGTGTGTATGACCGCATCCAACTCCTCCTAACCGTGTGTACAGCCAACACAAGAGCGGTAATACAAACGTGTTCGACGACATTCGAAGGGGGTTCGAAGAGATCAAGTCGTGAAAAAGGGGGAGATAACAAGGGAAGTAAAATGAAAGGGTGATAAACGAGATACACCGCGCTCGACACCTCCTAAAAAGATGCGCAATTTGGCTGGTTTGTGGACAGGGAGGCCGGAAAACCCAACTTGAACGAACAACGAATCATAGCATGCAACCCAAGTATACCCTGCCTGGACACCGCACACGCCCAAAGCTAGGGACAACCGACACGTCCCCCTAAGAAAAAAAAAAGGGGGCGCGAAGGGACGAATTAACCGAGACAGTGATGACGCAGTCTACCACCATCGTCCCCTCATCCACCATCCAGCATCCTCGATCAAGAAGAAATGGGGATCGAAGCACAAGTTTATAGCCAGCAACCGATGGGAGAAAACTGGTAAGAGGCTCGGAACGAGAAGAGAGAAAAATAAGGAGGAAACACTGGAAGGGTAGGACGAACAAAAGTAAAGGAAGAGAGAAAGATAACTCACCATCCTTCCCCTCCTCCTTCTCTTTCTCCTTCCCAGTCACACCCCCACTCTCTCCTCCCCCCTCCAAAATACGGCACCACCAACCCAAACAACCCTCCACCACCAGTAGTCGTAGTCGCACCCCCAGCAATTGTAACAGGGCCTCCAGCAGGTGTCGAAGGCAAAGACGGAACTCTGTCATCAATACTCGAAGGGAGTGCCGAGGGGAAGTTCTCAGACGGAGGTGGAATGTGGATGGACATCTTGCTACTCGTGCTCGTATCTTCCGCCGTATCCGCCATAGTCGCCGTCGCCGTCATAGTATCCGCCATAGTCGCCGTCGTCATCGTATCCACCATAGTCACCGCCGTCGTAGTCGTCGCGTTCGTACCTCCCGCCGTAGTAGCATCCGTGGTCGCATCTTCCGCCGTAGTCGCAACCAAAGCCGACGTCGAAATCGATGGAATAGCGGTCTCGTCGACGGTAGGCCGTGTAGGAACGATAGTAGCCACCGAAGCAGATAGGTCCTCCAACGCGTCGACCAGCGCTGCGCCGCTCACACTGCCCCCGCCCCCGCCCGTACCCTCATTCACGTCCATACACAAACTCACACCCCCATCCCTTCCACCCGAACCTTCATTCGCTCCAATACCATCGATAACATCCTCAGAGGAGACGCCCCCGGTAGAAGAAGAAGAATAAACAACCCTCGCCAACGGAGACCCCACACTCGGCGTCGACGAGTTCGAACTAGAGCTCGGCGTTGAAGAGTAGAACCACGACCTCTTCTTCGGTGGTGGGGTTCTCACCGGTGCGGATCTCGTCGCTTGGGCTGGTGGCGAGCGCGTCGGTTCTGGTGCTGGTGGTGGTACTGATGGTGGGTGCGTCGAGGTTGGTGCTGATGGTGAGTGCGTCGAGGTTGGTGCTGGTGACGAGTGCACAGCCCTTGGCTCTGTGGAAGGTGCCGGTGACGACTGGGAGACTGGTGTCGACGCTGACGTGGGTGCAGGCGGGGCCCCAAACGACGCCTCAACAGGGGACACGATCTGCTGGGGAGCAGGGAACGCATCCGTGATGGAGATCATAGGCGGATAATCTTCCTCATCCTCGCCTTCGTCCTTCGCTACGCTTGGCTTCTGGTACACCGTCGATGTCGAAGCACTGGGTTTCTGGTACGTCGTCGATGTTGAAGACGACTGCGCACGCTGCGGTCCTTCCACCCGGTCCCCACCTCCACTACCTCCACTACCACTGCCACTACCATTATGACTAGAACGAGAGCTATCCACCGAATCGAAATCCATCTTCGCACTCCTCCCTTTCGACCGACCAAACGAAGCGAACCACGAGGAGGACTTGGGTCTGGTAGACGTCGATGAAGGCGCAGGGGCTGATGCTGATGTCGCACTCGCAGGTGTAGCCAGCGATGTGGGTGTTGCCGAGACTCCCTCTGTGGATGATGAAGGAGCTGCCGTCGCCGTCGTCGTCGTCGTCGTCGTCGTGGAAGAAGAAGCCAAAGCTTGCGGCAAGGATGCCGTCGACGTGGTCGCCATTGATGATGATGATCCCGCCGCCGCGTGGTCCAAGCTCGTGATTGCCTCTGTACCCATCTTCACTGCGTCCGATGACGCACTGGTTATAGCTTCCTTGGCCTCCTTGTGTATGTCCTCTTTGTCTGACGTGGGCGTAGTCGCGGTGGTAGTCGCAGTCGTGGTAGGAGTCGTAATCCCAGAGCCCGTCGCCGTGCTGTCTGAAGACATCGTAGGTACCTCCTGTCGCTGTAGATCCGGCGGAGCAGACGCAGGCGAGTCGAAGCCGGAATCGTATTGCTGGCCCTGATGATGATGATGATATGGACGGGCAGCTGTAGCTGCATCCTCTAACGTCTCCTGAATCACGCGTTCCGCAGCCGTGAGATGTTGGTCTACAACGTATCACAAAACAAATAGCCCAATCGATTAGATAAAGTCCATCGAGAGAGGTAGTTAGATAAATGGAGAACGCACCACCGGTAAGACTCTCCAACCTCTCCTCTAGCTTCTCGATAGCTTCGCGATCTTTCAGGTAGGCGGTTGACGGTCGGTCACGGCGGAGTGTGTCCGAGACTCGACCACTGCCTGTTCTGCTCGTACTCCTGCTCGCACTGCCGGTCCCGTTTCTAGACCCTCCATAGCCATAGCCGTTCGCACTACCATGACCGTGACTGTGAACGCTAACCCGACTAAGATTCGACGCACTCCTCCTAACCACCCTCTCTACGCTCTCTCTCGCACTCGTACTCCCATTCCTACTTGCACTCCCACTTGCACTATCCCCGTTCCCACTGAATATACTCCCCCTGGCACTCCGTATACTCCTCGAATCCGAGTTGTTGACCGAAATCTCTGGTTGAGCCGTGACCATCGAGAGTTCCGCCGTCGCTGTAATGGGTACCGCTACCCCGACTGAAGGCGCTGCTGTACCGAGTGAGGGCGCTGCGGTACTACCAACTGAAGGCGCCCCTTTCCCAACCGAGATTGGACTACCACGGCCGCCGTTGGATCCGCGGAATAGCGACGAGGTGGAGGGGGAGCGCCATGGTCCTGGTCCATGTACCGTTCGTCGAGATTGCGAGTTCGAGTGGGAGGTGGAAGAGCGTCGACTTGACGTGCTCATAGCACTCGTCTTCGTTGGTGGTGCTGGTGGTAGGTGTTGATGGTGGGTGTCGACGTTGGTACTGATGATAGTGTTGGAAGAATGCGGTGGTGGTGGTTTGAAACTCTAGTCGGTCCACCAAAACGTGTATGTATGTCGACGATAGGCTAGTTTTTCCAAGCTTTCTTGTGGTGCCGTGTCTCGTCTTGCTGTATCTCGTCGTGCTGCCTATAACCCACTCCGTTCTCTTGGACCCTTATGACCCGCGAAAGCACCCAAAAGAAACGTAGACCCGTGTTGAAGAGAAACGATAAAAAAACGAGGAAGAGATCAAATAACCACGAGTGAACCACGAGCGGTCAGAGTGTTGGAGCACCACACCCGTTCGAGGCTCCAAGTTCGAGAATGCACAGCAGCAGCGTCAGACAGGCAGGCAAAGGCTAAGACGGGAACCCAGGGTTGCCGTCGCCGGATGCCCCAAGCTTTCTCGAATCGACGTCATCATTTCCTAGGACAAGTCTGGGACACGTGGTGCGAGCCTCGCTACGGTCACGTGTTGCTGATGGCATGAGGTCTCGGTTCGCCACTGGGTTAGGGGGCATAAGTTAGGGGCCTTTAGGTCTCCTGGACGCGTTCACCGCTAGTTTTTGGGGACCCGTCGGTTATTGTACGACAACGAACGACGATAGGTACGTCCGAAGGTAGTCTAACAAGCATTAATCAACTGTCAAGATATTCGACACATTCGAGTCAGCGATTGTACATGGATCGACTACAGTTGATTCATGAAAGCCGCCTTTTAATGTACAAACGTTCTGTGCGGGTGTCTATTTTTACATAACACCGATGTACAACGTGTGATATCCAGGACCGACCTAATTGAGTGCCTGGCAGTGTTCGACCCCAATACAGCAGGGTAGCCACAGCTCTCAAGTCTGACGCCAGCCTCGTTGGGACAGCCAACTTGGGCAAGACTGTGATATTATATAGTCGGTATTTGGTTACAATTGTTCTGAGGCAGCTACATAGGTTTCGCTGTATCGTCATCTACGGTCACTGGAGAGACAGTTCGAGCTAGATTACCGTGTATGTACGGTGGTCGATTCAGAAACGCTCCAAAGGTCGGGGTGGCACGGGGCTGATCGACGGGCGCCCAAGTTTTACATTGAACTTTGAACGGGATTATGACTTGGTCGGAGAGACATTAATGTCGAATCTTTATACAGAATCTCGCACGTAAGATAAGACTCACCATGACGAGGATAAATCCTTATTGGAAGCTTAGCTTTTTAACTCGGACGCGGACAGAAACCTGACTTGTTCGTGGTAAAAAGAATCGCGATCCTACTACTTACTCGAGAGTTCGTTGTCAAAAGGAGACGGACGATTCACTGAGTGAGTGAACATAGTCCTGTCCCGACAGGCTTAGCGGGCGACGCTGGAGACAGAAACTGGAGAAGAGTAATGCGAGTATACTTAGAAGGTGCTTGGATGATTCCTTCATCGGAAGCTCGGAACCAGTGGCGGTCGCCCCCAGAGAATCCCGTGAATGATGCCTATGAGGTGGAGTGAGCTGCGAAGGCATGATAATCGATGGCTACTCGACATATATACAGTCTGAGGCTACCCATTCAGAATAGGCAAAAGTTCAAAAGCAAGCCGTCGAATTCGTTTGTGTGATGGTGATTCTGCAGCAGTGGGTGGTTGTTCACGGGCTTCCCTCATTCTGCTGTCTCGGTGTGAGGTCGACATGATTGATTGAACGCGCTACGTCGGTTTGTATGTTTTGGTATACGGCTTCACGAGTGTTGGAAGTGGTAGAGTAGTAGGCTGACGGTTGGGCGGATTGTACGATGCGATTGTGAGGTGTGCATCTATCTATGATCTCATTGATGGACCCTTGAAGTTGACGCGACGAGCGCCACTTGTGCACTTGAACCTTGACGACCACCACCAAATTTGCAGATGTTCTCGACACTACTGATTCACGACTGTGTCGTCAGCGACGGAGCGCCGACATCGATGACGCTCAGAGCCTCGCCCTCTTTCCCTGGCGCCGTCTGGTTTCAGCAAGATCGGGCGCAACCAGCCCCTGCCACATGGGGACCGAAGGATCCCTCGAACTTTGACGGAACCCTCGAGCTTTGCCTCGTCGAACGCATCTCAGAGGGCCGAATCGGCGTAACCTACACTGCAGGCGTCCTCTCTGCTGTGAGTCTCAACGGCCGTGATGTCCGGTCATCACTACCGTCCACCACCCTTTGCCTCAAATTCGCAAAGCCAGAATTCAGTCGTAGCCTGGCGCGAGAGGCTTGGTTCTACGAGCAACTGTCGTCTCTCCAGGGTATCTCCGTGCCCCTTTATTTCGGTTTCTTTACGTCCACTGCGCCAGATGCCGCCAAGTTTGCATTCGAGCCTTGGATGGAGTCGACCGGGAGGTGTTGTTCGAGGATACAGACACGATCCCAGACAACATGGACCAATATCCTTCCGCGGACTGGCTGACCGACGACGTACCCGAAAACGACGACCAAGAGATATACGAAAACCGGCCTTCCAAACTGGATTCACCCTGGTCCGAATGGAACCAGGATCATGACGCCAAACCAACGATCTCTGTTCTCGTTCTCGAGCTGCTCGGCGAGCCCTGTACCGGATGGAAGACTAAAGCAGACAAGTGAGTGCGCACACGTTACGATCAACTTGACTCACCCTCACACTCAAAAGGTTTGCGTTTGTGGCAGGCAGGCTAAGTATCAAGGAGGTCATGGATGATTTGGCTGAACTTGGCGTGATGCACGACAACCTCACTCCTTGGAACACACTCGCGTTCAAGCCCTCTCCGCATGGTGAGGAGGCTCGTCTATGCCCTCGGCACAAGGTCGTGCATCCCTGGAGGATAATCGATTTCGACCGTTCGACAATGGCAGATCCTAACAACCTGAACGAATACGGCAGGCGTATGTTTACCGATACGCAATACATATTGGATAACATCGCGGTGGAATTTGAATTTTGGGCGTGGCAGTAGGATTGTTGGGTAAGTTTAGGCGAGGGCGTAAAAAGTTACTTTTGAAGTTAACGTTGACTAACTTTGCCCGCCTAAGAACATAGAGCCTAACTTTTTCCCACGCATTCGAAAGTAACGTGCTAACTTTTGGCTAACTTTGGCTAACTTTCGTCCCCCTTACTGCCAGCCTGAGACGTACTTTCGACTTGGTAGGGAGGGGTTGTGTACGGGGCTCAAGAGCTACTTTATCCGGGGAGGGATGATGGTGCGAAGCCGAGAACAAAAGAAGAGCATGATAGTTTATTGTGCGTGCCAACCAGTTACCAAATGGATTCTTGAATATGTTGGCTCTTCTCGCGCAGTGATACACGATCCAGTTAGCACATCACGTATACAGATGTGCTAGGCCGTCTGTTTATTCTGGAAGTAAAAGGGCTAACTGTGGCTTCATTACATCGCGGTACAATCTTGAATCAATGTTTGTTGCCCTGGGCACCTCGACATCAGGACTCGGCTACCGTCTACCACTTCGCACTTGCCCCCATGATAATGAATACACAATTTTGGTTACAGTGGGGCAGAATCCAGTGTAAGTTCTTGATCACCCCGTCATGCGATGTGGGGACCGTGCCATCTCTTAACCCCTTACTGTAGAAACGAGATCCTATAGCCAGCTGTAAGTATGTACTCTCAGTCGTGCATATACTCTGAATCGACTGAGGTGTCCATTATAATAGTGTCTATAATAAAGGGCTTTGCCCATTACAAGTCCGTTATGCCACCCACAATCGTGGTGTTGAGACACTTACAGGCCACCTCGTACTCACGCGACCCTGAACTCTTCCCCAGGCTCATGCAATCCATCGCGAGAACTTAATTCGAATTGCGGAGTGTTTGCGGGTGTGGTCCGCGTCTGGACCTGTGTCGCCATTGGGTTTCGGTAGACAGAGGCCGATGTAGCGGGCCCAAGGAAGGATGCGGGCGGACCCCAGATTGGCTGCTCCTGGGGCCGCGGGGCGTCAGGTTGGCGGAAGTTGGGTGAAAAGGGATTGTGGAGGGGGTCGTCGATGACAGGCGGATGTCGACGATGATGTGTGGAGATTGAGTAGGAAAACTCCGGAGGGGTTTGCGGACGTTGGAACACAATAGAGTAGTTAGTGCTCCTGGTGCGCATACCACAGCGTGCTGATCCGGAATCTACTGTTAGACTCTACGGAACTGCGGAGTCTGCGGAGTCGAAGGGACCTTGGCCTCAACGTATTGCGTTGTGCCCACGCTGGTGGTATATGGTCCAACCCGAAAGGAGAGGGGAGGAGAGGGGGAGAGAGACGCGCCTTGCGGCGGAAGACGAGGAGAGAGAAGAGAGAGCCTTGCGGAGCGGAATCAGGAGCACTGTGCGGATATGCGGAGTATGCGGAAAAGCTCTAGCAAGCCTGAAGGCTCAAGACTGGACAGAGGGGAAGTTCTGTATAAGTCTGATTCGAGATTCCGGATGAGTATCTACTACAGAAATCTAGCTAGCTTATATATCTGTAGATACTCTGGATATACTCTGGGACAAGTCTGGGACAAGAGAAGAAACTGAGTCATAAGAAAATGCGGAATACCGCGGAAATGCGAAGAGGATGAGTAAGACGATTCCACAAGAACAATAGTAAAGCAGAGAATGAAGTCATAAAGAAGTATAAGGGATCACATGCAGAGTCTGGGCGCCTAGAGGGCGGTTACGAGGTTTCTCCGCACGGTCCGCACCGGCCCTCAGTTGCGGCCCGTGTCGGTCCGCTGGTACTTGCGGGCTGCGGACTTGCGGATGCGGACATCCATAGAGCGGACACATGCGGGGAGTCCGCATGTGCAGGAGTGGGATGGAGGTGCGGAGATGTGGGAGATGTGGGCATGTCGGAGAGATGATGGCAAGTGTGGGGATGTGCGGGATCATGCGGGAGATCATGTGAGACTGTGCGGGGAGTGTGGGTCAAGGCTGGTGGGTTGTGGGTGGATGTGGGGTGGATGTTCGAGACCCTAACACGACACGAATACACTCTTTGACAATATCTCTCATTTATAATTTATTTTTGCGTACGGTGCCATGTGAGTCCACCAGCCGGGCTTTGAACTTAATCTGAAGTCTGTAGCTGTACCAGAATCACAGTTCACTGCATGATCCATCGACAATTCTTCATCTTCCTGGGGCCAACTTCAAGCCTCGAACTCGGCTCTCTAAGCCCCGAGGGAGGTCTGTCCTGACTCAGTACTACTATATAACCTGAGTGTCAAATATATTCCTGGGCTTTTCCTGATGGATATCCTCTTCTCGAAATCCTCGACACTCAAGCCCCGCACAAAGTCATCTCATCCTCCTCCAAACCACTCTCCTCCTTTCCAATCCAATATCTCGAATGCAAAAAAACCTTAAGAGTAGCAGGAAACACTGCACAGTGCTCCTCACGCACAACCCTCTCCCCGTCTCCCAAAAGCGTCGACTCCACCTCCCGACCCACTGCCATGTCCCTCTCCCGAAACCTTAGGCCCCTCGCACGGATCCATATACAATGGATAACTCGGTGCGATCTCTCCTCAGCGTCAACCCGCGCCTGGGGATTTGGTATGTAATCCATGAAAGTTCCGTGGAAGAACCTGATGTGTAGAAGGGCGTATGGGAGCCCTGTGAGGAATAGATGGCGCGTTGGTTTCTCTTTGGTGGAGGAGTGGAAGTGGATTGTGTAGGGGAGTCCTGATTTGTCTCTGTGCCGACGACTCTGAACCATCGTTGTCATTGGAGGTTGGTGTGATTGTGGTTGCGGCTGTGACCGTGAATCTGCGGGTGGGTCATGGTTCTCGTTCTGCCTTCTGTGTTCTGCCATTCTGCTGTCTTGGTGTGAGGTCGACATGATTGATTGAACTGATTTGGTGTAAGGTATCACGAGCGTTGGAATGGTAGAGTAGGCTGACGGTTGGACGAACTGTGCGATGCGATGTGAGGTTTCGTTTGTTCATCTACGAGGCGTAGATATACGCCTTCCCCCGACAGGCACCCGCACCTAACCCACGCACCACTTAGGACTCGGATACATACAGCAGCTTGACGAACTGTATGGAGACCGTTGCCAGTGGGACTGGACCAAAGCAAGCCTATAGCTCTACATACTACTGTGGAATAAAGAATAAAAACAAAAGGGGTGCTCTGACTTGTAAGCCCACATTCAAATTCGACCTTAGTTACCTTCAGTTGGACGACGTCCATACGTATGGACACGGATACTCCATTTTCAAGAAGACGTCCATATACATCTCCCTCTCGAAGTCGTCCAAACACCAAAATACAATGAAAAGATCGCCTTATATTCTCTCTAATTTCTCTATTATATTCGTCAACTGCATTTCGTCCATTCTATTCTCTAAATGGCCATACAAGGGCGAGGGCGGCGCTTGTCCAGCGTAATTAGGTGACTGCACTGATCCTACCGACGTTGTCGACGGCGATCTTTTGTGAAATGGGACGGGCTGAAGGACGGATCCAAGGACGGATCAATGACCACTGCGGCGGGATGGAGGGCGGCGCTCGACGTTGATGTCTGCTCAAGGTACGTCCAGGCGTTGTAGCTGGCCATATGTAAATCGGGAGGTTGAAACTAGATCATTTACGATAGCTGAAAAGCCCACATTGCGTCTAGAACCAGAGACGCAGTTTATTATAAGCATTGTTTTAGTCCGGGAGAGATACAAACGGGCGTCTATCTGCGGGACGCGAAGCATACTTACCATTATACCTAACGTGGGTCTACTCTTGGTACCACGGCCACGAATAATCTCTCCACCGATGCCCAAGTACATCCGGATAAAACTCATACATAGTATGGATCGGCCGAAGCTCCACACCAACCCTGCTCAGTTCCCCCTTCCTGGCCAACAAGTCCTCCGAATTGCCCATACTAGCCCATTCTTCTCTCGTAGACGGGCCAATCGCAACGAAAGCAAGATGAACTACCGGAACGTCTGGAAGAGTCTTTGATCGGTGGGTGAAATATTCCAGGACGTCGTTGAATGGGGGCGTCAACAGGTTTGCAGGTCGGAGGTTATTCCGGTAATAGATCGTCGCAAGATGCGGAAGGGTATGCTTTTGAGCGTTAATATGTCTGAACATCCGGCTGAACCGGTCGATATGAAGTGTTTCGAGTGTTGGTATGGCGGATACAAAGTAACCCAACTGTGGTGCCGTCAAGGACTGCAAACGGTGGATGGACAATGTACGCAAGCGCGCCGTGGAGCGTTCGATGAAAGGCTTGACAACCCATTTCCAAACCTGCTTGCTATAGCTCTCCGCGTTGCCATCCAGGTATAGGAGCTGCAGGGTGGGGAAGGTCATGCTGTAGAGCAATAGAATTGAGTCGTTTTCCTCCACTATTAATCGCTGAACTGAGACGTTGGAATGGGTGTACAACACAGGGCCGCTCGGCTCGGGATGGCCATAGTTCCTAGTCCGACAACCTGTCAGGATCAACTCCTGGAGGGATGGCAGCCGCTCATGGGAGAGCGCTTCTGCGAAGTACTCCTTCGGTCCACAGCACCACGCGAGGTGTAACGCTTCCAACCCGTCGTGGCTGAGATGGAGGTCCCCCTTGTTTATATGGAAAGAAACTCTCCATTCGGAAACGTACAGGCGTTTCAAGGCTGGGAAGGTGGAGGACGTGACGGTCAGAGGGGATGGTATGCGAGCACGGTCCCACCATCCCATCTCCAAACTGAGGGTATGAAGTGCTGTCCACGGGGATGGGAGGCTCGACGCAACGCACATAGCGTCCACCTCCGGCACGATAGTCGCCGTGGATCTCATATCACTGTTGAGCCCAATGAGCTCGACCTCGACCCAACTCCTCTGCGCAAGGAACCGCGGAAGCGTCGCAAAGATTTCCCTGACAACCGCCTTCCCTGGCCCTTTTTTATACGTCGACAAGGTCAGCGCAATGCGCAACGGCGGACTACCCGCACCTCCTCGATCGAACCAGGCGTTGAGGTACGCCCACGTCTTTTCTGCAGGGAGTGGGCTAGGGAGGTAGTACAACCCTTTGATAGGGAGCTCTACGTCTATTCCACGCCACAACTCTGGAGTGGTAAATGCGACGGAGCGCCATTGAGAGCATAGGCGGCGCAGAGTAAGGAATTGGAGCCGGTCGTCTTTATCGAGTCGAAGTGGGTTGGAGAACGTTTCTTTCATGGTGTGGGCGATGAGCTCGCCGGGAAGGGAGGATATCCAACAGGGGCCTGTACTGGTGACTCGGGCGTCGTTTCCTGCATTCTGCATCGAATTTATTTTGAGGTGTAGCCTGAGCGATCAGTCAAAGAGGATGAAAAGAGGTGACGCCTACCGCAAATCCAAAGTCCCGAGATTCCGGTTCAGGGCCAAGAAATACTTCGGCTAGAAGTTGAGTCTCGGGAAAAGCCTCGAGGAGTAGGGACATCAGAGGAAAGTGGGGTGTAGCTAACGGCTAACGGCGGGACCGTGGTACTCGGAATGCTGTTGGAATACTGTACGCATGAGCAGGCCGTTGGATATATACCCTATGGCTGTAGGCATCCCGTGGGTCCCATCCTCCGACTACTTCGCTGCGCACCGCGTCCCAGAAGGAATTGACTCACCTCCCGAAGTCATGGAGGTACCCACTTGCATCAAATGTCAGTGCCGTGGGCGGAGAGTTCGAAGGAAGCGTAATGAGCATCGATTCCCATTTGGTCAAATGAGAAATCGACGAATTAGCAAGTGGTTTGAAGCGCCCGCTCGCCGGGGAGCTACGCTGTTCGCGAGGAGGGCAGCCATCGATCGGCCTGGTCAGGCTAGCCTGAATTTAAAGTGCGGCTGACCTTGATGTCTAAAGCGTAGAATTGCTTGGCTATCTTTAGGAAAGAAGGCGCTTACAGAATCGGACGATCGAGGTGATCGATGGGCGCTTAGCGGGTGTGCGTCGGAGGCGAGACGAGTGAGAGGTTCTATTTAAGTCAGTATGCGCGTAGGGCGGATGTCAATGTTGATTTATCTCGCACTAAGTTACAATGAGAGGGATTAAGCTTTAAGTCTTATTGCAAGCCAGACGGCGACTACTTAGTAATAACGTTGTCGAGAGCTCCGAGTCGTCGTCGCAAGAACGATTCACGAAGCGAGGTCAACCCAGCCCCGTCTCGGCAAGGTCAATGGGTTGCGTTAGGAGCATAATTGCGGTATCCACGCCCTTGGATGGTATACGGCCATGGTATTATGGCAGGAACGAATGAAATCAAATTACTTGTGGCCGTGCTAACACGTGCCCTGGCAACGCATGGACTGAAGCTAGGGCTGCTTTTTGTCTTACCACGACCTCAGATTGTAATCCCTAAGAACAACTCACAGCGAGAATGTGAGTTTTTATTTCTTCTCTACAGCCGACTTTCGTACACTACTAATCTCAATACTACTCTACAGGACGACGGTGCCTATCCCGAACGAGATCGTGGCAGAATTACTCAGGGCAACTCTGGACGACCCAATGCTTCTCGACGAAAAGGATCGACTCCAGTTTATGACAATGCGATGCGTCTGTCCCCAGTGGCGCTCTGTCGCGTTCACCACTCAGGATCTGTGGCGAGGGTTGGAGGTAACCCTCCCACTTCAAGGCCGCGATCGCGTTGCCCTGCCCGCGAAAACAAATTTGGAAATCCTCAATTCATGGTTCAACCGCGGAGGGACAGGGAATCCCCCTTTACGCTTCGTGGTGACTCTCTCAGCACGGAAGGAATACGGATGCTCAAAGGTCGCGGAGGATCTGTTCCCGTTGTTGTCCACCTTCCTCGTCGGGCGGAGTTGGGTTGAATTTGGCTACTTCAGGCCTGGGATGCAGCTTCACGGGGCCGATTTGCTGGGAGATGTGGATGAAGCTTGGACAGAAGTGGGACTGACAGTCCCAGCCCATCCATGGATTACGCTCCGCACGATGAGCCTCGATGTTGGATACGAAGCAGATTACACTCTCGGTACCGCCAACTTTCCAGCATTGAAGAGTCTTTATGTCACGGAATGGGAAATACACGACGACGACGAGATGCCAGAATTCAGTATCGAGCACGATGGATTAGAGTCGTTGCATCTCGAATTCTGCAGTGCCGCTTCTGTGGATCTAATCGCCTTGGCTTTATCCCAAGAGAGCGTTCCTGCACTCAAGGATGTTATTCTCGAGCAATGTAACTTCAATGGCCATTCTCCCAACTCTTTATCGGTGGAAGCACCATCTCCCCCCGAAGCAATCCGCTCCAACGCATCCGTGGAGCGCTTGGTTGTGGTTGGTGATGCATCCATAACTGGACTTCATTGTCTTGCCTTGCCGCAACTCCGTGTTTTGCGTCTCGATGTCGATGGCGACGAGTTTACCGAAGAGACATGGTCGTGCACCATCAAACCATTCTTGGAACGCTCGACTTCTCATCTACACACGCTATCGATTGAAGGATCCCATCCGTTCGACTCGGAAGAGCTCGCGTTCCTCATATCCTCCGCTCCCTCCCTCCACACCCTCCGTGTCGCCAGCCTGGAGAGACTCTTCGACCGTATTGACGGCCAGGAGGTCAGTTTGCCGCATCTCTCGACCATCGTACTATCCCAGCCGCTCAGACCCAGTCACCTGCATTCTTCGGCCATGAATGAAGCTGCGAGATACTTTACTCAGCGTCTCGCAGCGATGGACGGGCAGAGGCCTCCAGTGGTTCGGATCGTTCACAGACTACCGCAGCACTGGAAAGTTTACGAGTGGGATAGGTTGGATGAGAGGCAGGTGGAGAAAGTGCATGGGTTTCGACGCGTTGGCGTGGAAATTGTGCGCGATTTGAAGGGCTTCTTCCTTCATTTACGCTGAACGATTATGTATGGCGTTGAACGTACCTTGCTCATTCGGGAAAGTCTATCTAGGCTGGTAAAGCTAGACATATCATATCTGTCTTGGAGAGTTGCCAATCAATTGCCAGTCTGCTAGACGCCTATCGACCCTCGAAGGCTGACATACCTTGCGTCGACGGCCAGTGTATCCATGCTTGTAAGGCGGTGCCGCCAAAGCATCAGAAGGGTAGTGATGTCAGCTCTGACCTACAATTATCTAGCTATACAATGCTTTGTATCCCTGGATCGGACCCCACCCCGCTCCCCTGATGACATTCTATGATTGCGGTCTTCTGGTTGAACCATCATCGCATGTACGTGGAATAGAGTTAAGGGCGATTGATTGGCCCCCCTTTCCAAGCAGTCATTGGGCCCCCATTATAGCTTATAATAGGTGCGCCTTTGTGTAGATTCACCTCAGTGAAGCACCTTTATTCAAGTCCCTTAGCGTTGGTATCCGACCCGATCCCCGAAGGTCTCGGGGGTGCAGTTCGGCTCGTATGCGGAAGCTGATCGCATCATCCAATCCTTGATCCGTCCAGTGGCACCAAGTGACACCCTTGACGCCTTGGTTGCAACGTTCTGAAAGGCCCACCCCTCCCGTTCGTCATTGCTGCGCCTCCAGCTGGGGGACCTTCTGCGAAGGTGTTCTTCCCAGTGAACATGCAATGGCGCTCTGTATATCCGGCCTAATAGTGATAGTGACTCGAGCATCGATACCTCTCTGAACCCCCGGGTATGAAGATGTTATGTATGTCCTGCTTTCTTTATTTTGCCCCTGGAAGAGAGTTGCGTATGAGCACAATCCCAACTTCCCTTTAATTCCTCAACTGAGAGACTGTAGCGGGCTTATCCACTTTTGACAACCTTAGAGGGCGCGAAATAGCGTCTGGGAGCATGATGCATATCAAACACTCCGAGTAAACGACCTATTAATAGCCAGATCCGTCAGTGACCCTTACCATTCTCAGAATAGATTTGAATATCGGAGCCCCTGTCTATCATGAAACGGCGGCAGGGTTCGACTTGAATAGTGAGGCCTTACACTGGCCACTTGGGAGATAAATTAGCCGCCCCGAACGCCCGCGTAGCGACTTGGCTGAGATGTACAACCCCCCGCTCGTCGCGACCTTTCACGTTCCAGAACACCGCAACTACACGAGTTCTCGAGATCATGAGAAAGCAACGGCCAGTGAGAATCCGATAGAAGAATTTACTCTGGTTTTTCGAAGCCAAATCAACTTACGTACTGTCCATGCACGATGGCAAACATCCCCTTCTTACGCTCCAAACCCGTGGTTCGCGCCAGAGAGTGCCGTCATCCACCGGGACTTTCCTGTTCATCAAAGCCTAACTGACGGGGACAGAGCGCGATTGGCAAGGAGGTCGAAGATGATTCTCTCCCGCCAACTCCGATGAGCGCTGTGATGACAACTTGTACTATCCTTGGATCCTACATAAGTATACCCGTGGAGACGTGCCTGGGGCCAAAGCTCTCTTCGTTTTCCCTGCCAGTCGCCGTTGCTACTGGCAGCGCGAGACATTGAAAGATGTCCTCGCATGCGTTCGACGCCCATAGCACCATAGGAGCGATGTCGATCGGCTCGTTGGTGTCCATGTTTCTGTTCGGGATGGTCACCCTTCAAACCCATAACTACTTCCACATGTATCGGGATGACAAGGCTTATCTGAAAGCGCTGGTACGTTCCGGTCCTCAGGGTTGCCTTCACTGTAACGCGTGTAACACCAGCCCCCCAGGTGACAGTGTTATGGTCTGCATTCATAAACCTCAAAGGTTATCACCCAGACCTCACTAGGTTCTTTCAGGATTCTGGAACTCGCCCACACCTTCTGCATATCAGCAGAGGTCTACCGTGATACTATCGTCAACTACGGCCGTCCAGAAACATTAATAGACCTTCCCTGGCTCTCCATAGCCATCTTCCTCACTGGTGGAGTCACATTCCTCGCCAATGTACGTGGCTCCGCTATCCTTACTTCGCCCCGCGCAGTTCGCTGACAGATGGATGTGACGCCATAGGGCTTCCTATCTAGTCGGGTATGGATTGTCCTACCAACACCGTGGAGAGGCATCGGACCCGTCTGCTTCCTCGTTACCCTGGTTCAGCTCGTTGCGTACTTTGCGGCTGGAGCGTTGGGTGTTATTACGAAGAACCTGCCGGTCTATAATCAGAAGTATGGATGGCTGGTACGGGCAATCTTAATTAGTGGGACGGTGGTGGATCTTTCTCTGGCGTTCTCTTTGGTGTATTACCTTCGTTCTCAACGCGATCAGCTCCTTCCTCGGTACGTGGCTTTGGTAACTTCACTCCGAGTATCCGCTGACTACCGTTGAAGGTCGATGCGACGAATAGACCTTCTCGTACAATATACCATCTGTAGGTCTCCCTCTGGCTCTGGTCGCTCTAGAGCGTATGTTGACTTATGGTGCCTCAGGTACAGGACTGTTGACGAGGTATGGCGTCGGTTTGTGTACTCGAACGCCCGGGCGGATTTTCATTCTCTGTCGATAGCGCTGCCGCTATGGCTCTCCTCATCACGGTAAGCAGGCTGCATCGTCTCATTGAGTGTTTACTCACAAAGCATCTCAGTTCACCGTCAAGCCGAGTTCCCGTAAGCTTATTGTCTTTATTGGATGCTGACATGGTCTGATCCAACTCGTCGACAAAGTTGCCTGGGTCGCGATCTTCACATGTCGAGCCAAACGTGAGTGTTTCCCTTCATTTGTCGACGAGATGAGCGCTCAGTTCAAGGACAGTGTACTCAAATTGCGTGATGGCTTCGTGAGTTGCCTCATCCATTCCCCACCCCGCTAGAGCTGATTGATGGGTGTAGACTCAATTCTAGAGGATACCTTCGCTCTATTGATACCAACCCGAGTTCAAATTTCATCCCGTCAATTTGGTCCACTGCTCGAACACCGGGAGGTGGCGCCAACAGTGGGAGTCGCTCTGGCTCGGAACCTGTGTTCCAAGTGTCGGTGGAAATGTCGGCGATGGGTCAAGAGCTTGAGGAGGGATCGTTTGCGGTGAGAATATACGTTGCCGTCGCAGTTGTATTTGAATAGCTAACAGCTAACGTTCTTCGTCTGCAGGGGAAGAAAAGGTGATCCCATGGAATGTATTTATTTTAGCATAATATCATACGATGCGACTTAGTATGTATTCACGAGTGTAACACTGGCGCTACTGGTTTGATTCAAGGAAGTCGACAGACGTGGTAGATGTTCTGCGCGCTAGGATCGATCGGAACGCATTCGTATGGACTGGGACACTCTTTAATGTCGGCGAGTTAGCTATCCTATTCACTCTTCTATAGACTTCCGTGCCCTCACCGTGGTAGTGGATAATAGGCGGAGGACCTTGGAGACAGGCGCAGTTGGGCTCGTTGACGACGTCGCAGACGTGGATTCTCCTCTCGAGGTGCGCAGGGCGAGCGCTAGACGATAGAAACAAGGCAAAAGCAGCGACGACAAGGAAAGCCCGGTGGTGTATGAGCATAGTGACTCCTCAGACGCAGAGAGGACATGGAGACGGGGGACGGGGATGAGACGGGGCAGAAGAAGGGGCATCACCATATATTTGAGCTAGGCCATGGCAGACTGAACTCAATTTGGAACGAATGACATTGTGTGTGTTCTCAAGACCTGGACAGTTCAGGCCCCGCAAGTTACTCTTAAAAGATGAAAGGACATGGCCGTGTCAGATGATAGGCCCTTACGTGAAGGTATAGTCGGATTCTGACGACTTGAAGGTGCCTGAACGAGCCATCATTCATAAAATTCGACGGGCGCTTAATGACTACATCGGAAACTACAGACTTCTAGCACCCTCCAACCCCTTCTTCAACAACTCCAACTCAGCCAGTGCTCTCTCGCGCTGCGCCTCCACCTCCCCACCAAGCGCCGTCTCCCACCACCTCTCCCCATCCTCATACCTAACCTCCTTCCACCCACTCCTCAGAAACTCGAAATACTTGCGCAAACTGCCTCCATGCTTCGGCGACACCAGTTTCTTTACCTCGGCCCAATGCGGGGGAGGGTTGGGCTTACGGGAGGGGTCGGTTGAGATGGTGGAGTAGGGGATGGGCGAGGTGTAGGGGAAGACACAGAATCCGTTTGAGGCGAGGACGATGGAGGGTGGGACGGTGATTCGCCCGGCTTTGAAGCAGAGTTGGGCGACTGCGACGGTGTGGACTACCCACCCGTCTTTTTCCACTAAGAGGGATTGGTAGGGGATGGGAATTGTGGGTGTGGACGTTCCGGAGGATGCGGGTGAGGGAAGGTGGGATTGTTGTTGAGGGAAGAAGGGAGGTGGGGAGGAAGGAGAGCCTTCCTTTGGTTTGGTCACGTATTTAGAGACGAGGTATAGCTGTGGGAAGGGAGAGTGAGCACCATGGTCGATGGAGGAAGGGAGGGACTTACCCATTTGCGATCCCAGCTCCCGATGTAGGACCGGATTTCGAAGTCTTGGAAAGGAGGGATTTCGCGCATGAAATGAAAGTGCGTTGCTATTGTTAGACGTGAGTATTCTCAGGCAGGATAATACGAGATGTATGAATGCACGTACCTCCCAGCGCCATGGCACCGCCTGAACGGAAGAACACAGGGAAGAGTGTGACGACGCATTCAAGCCGAGACGCGTCGAGAATCTTGAGAGGTTTGGTTAGGCGCCCAACAAAGAAGGTCATGTAAACGAAGAACCCACTTTGGCATAGCTAGAGTTGCTCAAGTGGATGTTGAAGTCGCATTCGTCGATTGCTAAAGAAGGGTATGAGTAGTACTCGACAGAGTTAGAGAATTCACAACGTACTGGCCCGTGTTCGATACACATTCCTCCACTCGAACGGGCTGATGCCGACCAAGGGTACAGTGTCGATCCATTCCTCCTCCATCTGCTCTCTTCGTGATTTTGATGGCTGAAGGCGGAGTCGTAGAGAAAGAAGCACGTCACGAAGCCAAACGCGAATCACTGGACGGAAGATTCGGACTGTATTCCGAGCCCGTGGAGAAGAATGCAGGAAAGGATCGTTGGTGGTCTTGACAATCGGAGTACGCGTATGAGGAACTTACAATGCCAGAACAGCGGCCATGACTTGAAGTTCACGAGGAAGACGAAACAGACAAGCCATTTCAGACAGGAGGCGCGGTCCAGTACCCGGAGTAGAGTCGGTATTGGCAGCGAGAGTGCGAGGGAGGAGGTGGAAATCGAGGATATAAGGGAAGATGCAGTCATCGTACGCCGTCAACGATATAGAGAGAGGGAGCGAGGTGAAGGGAAAGTGGGGGGGTGCAATTGCGAGAGTGCTTGGTCCCTTAATAGCCGTGTTACCAGGATTCAATCATGCCCGAATGATATGTTGCCCCAAAGATCTTATCAGATAAAAAACGCCACGCGCAAAAGTACCGCGATGAGAACAACTCGTCCCCAACGCCGAATTGCGAGTGGATTTAGGACCGATGTTCTTCCTTTTTTTGCCGTTATATGTAGCAGAATAGAGAGTGCGACGATCGAATACTTGCCAAATGGCCTCCCCGTACTGCCCAAGCCAGCCTTTAGCCCAGGAAGAGCAGGATCATCAAGTCGGACTCTTCACATGCGTCTTCACCACCGTCAATTCAGGTTAGAACAATGTCGTACAGACTTTCGCCATAGAATGGTTTCTATTGTTTCTTCCCATGTCATATGTTCCGTTCGGCCGATATGAAGTACTGGGATTGAATACGTAGGGGTTTTCCTTGGAATTCCCCAACGCGCTCTCTTCACTCGCTTCACATAGGTGGCAATAAACAGGCTCAATGGAGCTCGGCTGAACATTCTACATACCAACCTATCGAGTTGTCGCACTCAGACCTGGGCGCGACTCATTGCAAAGTGGGTTTATAGCATTCTGTTCAGTGGTTGCCTAACCAATGGGGTATGGTTCAGAAAATTTTGAGCGAGTAAGGGACATCGCGTTTCTCTGGAATTAGTGAGGGGGAGGATTTCTACGAATTACTCCTCCAGTGAGGCCATCTAGCTAACCCATCGAGCTCGAGGGACCAGGGTCGATCCTCGAGGCGCTCTTCGACGGTCTGTCAAGCGCCTTGATGGCAACGGATCTTTCCGAAAACATTGGTCAGGAACATCAGTCAGCGACATTTGGTCATGGGATTCTTGGCTCAAGCACATTTGCGACCACATGCTTTCTTGGCCCTCACCGACGTTCCTATCTCGATCCTATACTATCCAACGGGCTTGGTGTAGGCCACTAGAGCCCAACACAATCCTTCGACAGCCGGTAGCGAAAACCGTAAACCCCCACACCAGTTGACACACATCTCCAACCAGAATTCGATTCCGCCCGTCACCCGGAGTTGTTCCTAACTCGCCGTGCCGACCGTGTTGTGACCACCATTCGTTGCTGTTAACCCACCACCTCAACGCACAATCAGCTTATTCCCCGCCTTGGACGCTAAGCGCTCACGTTGAAGGATGCTAGGATCGCTCTTGGGGTTGGCTACTTCGACATTGGGCGGCGGAAATCCCAGTGTTGTGGAGAAAGGCGATGCTGGTTCTCCTGGATCCGTGCAGACGACCACACCGCTCAGTTCACCAGGTATTGGCTCTGAAGAAGTAGAGAAGGGATCCAACTCACCCCAGCCATCTTGGACTCCAGCGTACCAGAGTCCTCCGCCTGTCAAGGCCAAGTACAAGCCCGAGGAAGCGCTCGACGATCTCCCCGGGGTTTGCTATGCTCTCCAACTATTCCTGGAGTCCCATATGTTGGAAGCGGAGGAGTACTGTCATAAGAACGATAAGAAGAAGTGAGTTTGGCTTGTTGGATTAACCTTTCTCTTCTGATGTCTTCATTTCCTCTAGGGAACGACTCTATTTTGCGACTGGGTTCGGTCTCATCCAATGCGTCAAGGGGTTAATGTCGTACGAGGACGACGTAAGCAAAGCACCGTCACCTCTCCTAGTCCAAACCTCTCAACAGGTTCTATAGGACCTCGTCGCCGGCCTTGCACACACCAGACAAGGAAACCACATCGCCGACCTCCATCGCAAGAAACAAGCCTTCCTCGGGTCTCGTGTCGCTGGATATGTCGTTTCCGCCATTCACTCCAACCCCGTGGCCTTCATCAAGAGTATGACGCCCGTCGAACGGCACGCCGAGTTGGTTTATGCGGAGAGCTTGTTCGAAAAGGTGCGTTTCGTTCGGTTCTTGCGCCCCTAATCGCCCTCATTTGATTCGCACAGGCCTTGCTCGGCATCGTATACTCTGGAGATTGGCTGGCGTTCATCAAGGAAGCGTAAGTTTACGTCTACCTTTTCCCCAACCCCGCTCCTTTCGGTCTGTTTCAAGTTCCACGAGGTTTCGGTGCTAACTGTCCTTTTCCCAGTCTCAATATGCGAACAACCATCACGATATACCGGCAACTGGGTCAATATCTCGATACCGTCGATGCTGAAGCTGCGGAACGCGGAGATGGACCTATCGACAAGAGCATTGATCCCCACTTCCGCTCTGGGGTGTATCTCGGAGTGGGGTTGTCCAACCTGATTCTGAGCCTCATGCCCGGGAAGCTGATGACGCTCGTCGAACTATTCGGATATCACGGTGACCGAAAGCTGGGACTCGAGATGTTGGCGAAAGCAGGAGGATGGACGAAGGATAGCGACGAGCCTTCAGTTCCAGCTGGTGTGTCTTCATCTGCTCTTTCGTTGCTTTGACGGAGCTGACTTACCTTTCTTGTAGCTGAAGAAGGTATCAGAAGAGTCGTATGCGACATGGTCCTCATGATCTTCCACCTCGTCATCTCCAGCTTCACCTTCGACGGCGTCGACGTCTCTATGGCCCGAAAGATCCTCGACTGGAACCTCAAGCGATTCCCGAACGGTGTCTTCTTCCTCTTCGGTGCTGGACGTCTCGCTGTTTGTCGCGCCCAACCCGAACGCGCCATCCACTACTACACGCGTGCCATGGAGTCTCAATCCCAATATCGCAACCTTCACCATATCTCCTACTGGGAGATGGCGCTGGCGAACATGAGCTTGTGGGACGTCAAAGCGAGCTTGGAGTGCTGGAGGACGCTGGAGAAGGAGGCGACGTGGAGTAAGGCCATTTACACATACGGTCTCGCGATTTGTATGTTGGAGGTCGCGGAACAGGAGAAGAACGAGGATATGAGGAAGGAGGCGGCCAAGTTGATGAAGAAGGTCCCTGACCTGAGGCAGAAGATTGCTGGAAAGTCGATTCCCCTGGAGGTGTGTCCGATGGCTTTTTCATGCGGTGCTCAGTTCAACTGAGCTATTTGTAGAAACTCGTTGCGCGCAAAGCTCGCAAGTTCGAATCTCAGAAGGGCCGACTCGCGCTCCCCGTCCTCGAACTGACGTACATCTTCCAAGGCATCCAGCATTCACCAGGTCGTATCATTGTCTCGAAGATTCTTCCTGAAACTGAGAGGGTACTGGCCAAACTCGAGGCGTGTGCTGGTAACGAGAAGAAGTACGAGGGCGGGTCGGGTGGTTATTGGGACGACTACTGTATCGCCAAGTTCCTTCAGGGCGTTTGTCTCCGATACGTGGCGTACCCTGACCAGGACGCTGAAATTGATCCCAATGAGAAGCTCGACATCACGAAGGAGGACGCCGAGAGGAGGGCAGAACAAGCGTTTAGAGCAGTGTTCGAGCATGGTCCGAAAATCGAGTTTGACCATCATATCGTCTACCACGCGCGTGAGTGTTTTATCCCTTGATTTTGATCTTTCGTTGGTGTTCATGGACCCCTTTCATTTAGACTATGAGCTTGGAAGATTACTGGCGTGTCAAGGCAAAGTGGACGAGGCGAGACACGAGTTCGAGCTCGTGCTCTCAGGGAAACATCTGGAAGTGGGTCCGTCGGGGAAGAAGGGGAAATACAGCTTGGAGGTAAGTTGCTTCCCCTCTGTTGCATTGGGTTCTAGGCGACTAATACCCCGCGATAGAATGCATTACACATGCGAACACACGCAGCGAATGATGCTCTGAGCCGGCGCCGACTGTAATACCACCTCGACATTCGCTTCTCTTCTCTCGTCCCGACTCCGGCCCGTCCAACTGTTTCCTTGTCAACTGTACTATACTCACCACATTCCTTTCGCTTTCGATCTATCCATGTTGTTGTTTGGCTATCTTATTGGATCTATACTTAGCCATCTAGTTAAGATCTTATTTTCCCGTGTATTGACGACCTAACCCCTGTATTTCTCTAGACTTAATTATCGCGACCTCGTGTCTTCGCCCAATTCATATACTTGGAACTCTCAAGGCTTGCTCGAATCGCTCACTGTAAGATAGGTTTCAAAATTGATTCCTTTTAAACTTGATAAGAAGGTTGGAACTTGGGTACACGAGCGATATCTACAGGTAAGCTACTCGATTCTCGCATGTGGAACGTTAACGACCCGATTGAACTTTTAAATTTAGGAGACGGTGATGGTAGCGCGGCCGCTGCTGAAGTAACCCTCGGTGGCGACGATCTGGTAGTAGTGGTTGGAACCCAACTGCATGCCGAAGTTCCTCCAGGCGTTCGCGTGGCAAGCGAAGTCAACAGTTCCACTAATCTGACCACCGGGGTTCTTCTTGGGAGTCCTGACGCTCCAGAACTGCTGGAAGGTGGCGGTACCGTCGATGGAGGGCTGGTTGTAGCGCCAGGTCTGGAGGACGTCGTAGGTGGCACCGTTGCAGTTGACTTGACCCTTGCGTTGGGCGGCGGAGGCGGGGTTGTAGGTGCCGTAGGACTCGACGACGTAGTACTCGATGAGCTGGTTGCGAGTCCAGCCGTAGACGGCGAGGTAGCTGTTGCCGTTGGGCTGGTAAGTACCGGAGTAGTTGATGACCCTGTGCGAAATGACGATGTGTTAGCCCCGTTTCTCGGTTGTACGCGATGGGCAGTGCATACCTGTTGTTGGTACCAGGGTTCCATCCCTTGCCACCGACCAAGTTGCCGTTACCTGACCATTGGAGGCTGTAGCGACCGCCGGCCTCGTTGGTGTAGTAGGCGGTGCCTTGGTTGTCGGTCCACCACGAGTAGAAGTAGCCGTCATGGCGACCCTCGGAGCTGGGGGTGCCAGCGCGAGCTTCGAGAAGGCTGAGGCCCTCAGTCGCGTTAGTGGCGGGGACGGCGAGAGCACCGATGATGGCAGAGGCAGCAACGAAGAGAGAAGAGAACTTCATTGTTGGATGGACAGTTGGGTACTGTTGCTGTTAGGAGGAAGATGGAAGCTGGCTTTTATAGCCTCGAGCAAGAACCTCGGGACAGTATTTGAATTCGTGTAGCGCTCAGTCGGGGATGGACCGATGGAAGCCTTGGACGACATGTTCGATAGTAACGATATGGAAATTTCGACCACACGCGGGGAACGGATGGAAGCGCGTTTCAGAGCCGTGCAGTGTCTTCTCTTCTGCTCTCACTGCGTTGAAAAATGTACATTCTCGCATTGGTTAGCCTTTTCCTGCACGTGAGACGCGAAAGTCGCACAATCCGGCCATCTGAGAGGTAAATTCGACACGGGTGGCAGGTGGAGCGAGGAAAATCAACCGAGGCAACCCACTTTAGTTTAATGACCGTCACATGCAGAGGTGCAATCTCTCTGACATAGCTTTTCCCTTCGATTCGGACCGTTATTTCACAGAAGAAACCTAACTATCCGAGGCTCAACCTTGTCTCTTCCTTGCGAAACAGCTTTTCCATTGATTACTTGTCTGTGAAGCTTTACGACGCAGAGAAAGCGCTCTCCATGAAGCACTTGGTCGAACGACGGGTACAATACTCGAAGCGCTCTTTCACGCTCCATACGGCGACGGATCCGAAGGAAGCAAACTGGGAGGATTTAAGGAGATTTAAGGCCGCTACGACCGGTCCCTTGCGCATACAAAACGGATTTTGCTCGGATGCCCGGTTGCAATGCAGGTGCGGGGTGGTCAACGAGAATCGTAATTTCATCAGTTGGAGAAGCCAAACTATAGAAATCCCCAGACGAAGAAGCACGAATGGTGTGGCGAGAAGTATGGTTTGAGTATAAGCGCCGGCCTCGAAGGGAATGATCGTTGCTACATTTTGGTATTCCTGCAGAGGTTCTGGTGCTTGCCGGGGACGGCGGGAAGGACCGAGCCGAGTGGGGCGAGTACCGTGACTGGTCGATGACTCTCGAGGCTCGCATTAACGGTTTAGCCATACCTCGAACCCTATCCGATATACATCCTCGGTTGTTCCAACGAAAAAGGAATGAATAGCTGGGATTGAAGTCTCCTTCGAACTGGGTTAGAAATCTTCTTTTGTTCCTATGCTCCCCGATAGAATGTGTACCTACGCAGCCAATGGACGAAGTATGCGTTCTGGATTGTTCGAGTGAGCCTTGAAACACCGGAATTCAAGAGCATTCTCGAGTGAGAACTCTTTGGCGGACCGCTAGCGGGGCGAGAGATGGGAGAAGTGCCTTCAGCTTATATAGGTATGCTCATAGGAGGTTACTGCCCGCTAATAAATTTGGATTCGAACTTTCAGGGCAGTGTATCTAGCCCTTGCGGAGTCGAGGACGAGTATGGAGAATAACTGTAACCAGTCAGAGGCGATCCATTAAAAATGATTGCGGAAGAAACGACCATCTCGTATAATAGAGAGATGATAGCACCATGAGGGAGAATTCACTAGGTAAACATTTAGCGTCTAGTACCTCGACAAGTACACAGTCAGGTGGAGTGGAGCGGAGCGGCGATCCCAGACTCAATTGCTGACCGCTTTGTCTACAAGCTGGGGAACTAGGCACTGAAAGCTCTTACCCAAGTAAGTATCTCACTAATAAAGAACCCCAGTTTACATCCAATGCGAAATCGAAGGGAGAACGGTAACGTGACCGAGTCGCGAAAGTGAGAACCTCAATTAAGCGCGCGCGTCGGACCTCCGTGATCATCGATCAAGATCACAGCGCCCGAGACGTCGACCACTCCAGGCTCTCCAGGTGCAGAGCATCCGATGCCACTGCTCAGGTGAGCTGGCCCAACAACGAGGGTGCCTTCCAGTCGTGAGTCTAGACAAGAAACCAAAGCACAAGAGATCAGCGGAGATGAAATCTTTGATATCTTGTTGCAACTCGTGTTCGTCGTAAGTAGATCATACCCTCATTGAGACATCTGTGGGCGTCGACGCATGTCTTCTCCGAGTACAGCCTGTCAAGAAGAAAAAGTTTTTTGTCGCCTTCTTTGGGACAAGAAGAGGCGCTTTGACCTGATGGACATTTTCTGACTTTGAAAATTAGGACCGTTAGGTAGGGATAGCGTAATGAAGGGCGGAGAGAATCCTCTTTGGAGAGCGATGAGTGGGAGAGTGGCTCCAGTGTGACTGATAGATGGACCTCTGATGAGAAAAGATACACGAAATGGGACATTGACAGTCGAAGGGAAGGGTGGGGATCGGTGCGGGTCCCTCCAACATTGTCGCTTCTATTCTTTTCCCACCGAGACGGTGTGGCAGTCACCATCTCCTCTTCAACCAAGTCTGCCTAGAGCGACAAAAAACGCGACGGCGGATAGCTTCTTAGGATTAATCTGAACAGGTGGAACGTCCCTGAACGGTCGACTGCGCGGTGGAAAAGGAACAGGAAGGTACCTGAGACATGTCCTCGATAATGACCTGGACGGCATTCCAAGTGCCTCTCGGTGAAGAAGCGGAACGACATGCCCATATCGAGCTAGTCAATCCTGACAAAAGTGGTCTTCGGCATTGCCTGATGTCCTTTAAACCTTGAATGACGATCAAAGCCAAGCAAAAGAAAAACGAGGACAGGCCATCTCCCAGTGGCGAAGAGAAATGAGACTGTCCTTCTGTGTGACTTCCCGGCAAGACCCTTTTTGCGGCGATGAGAATTATAGAACAGGCTTTAACTAAGGGATAAGCCGGCTTTAGATACGACACGCACGACCGTATCTTTCGGCTAACAAAGGGGGCCATGTAATTAAGGGAAAGAGGGACCGATTGCCACTCAGTGTTACAGAAACACGTTGGATCCCTGAGGCGTATACAGCTCTACGTTCGGCGGGAAGGGAGCTGTGATAGGAATAAATAAACGTTGAAGGTAAAAGCTGTGAAGGACCTGCAATTGGGCAGATATCCTGTGACCCTAGAATTTCGGAAGGGGAAAAAGCGAGAAAGCACTGCGTTAGTAATTGTGGGCATTTAGGGCGGGGGATATAAAGTTGAATCTCCCTGTCTCCGCCCCGTTTATTGATCCCCCGAACATTGGTCACCGGACATCCTTCCTCCATTCTTGCCACTCCGTTCGAATTTCGAACTTTAGTCCATTCCCACAAACACTTCCCGCGAAGCGAAAAGTCCAGTCCGCGTCTCGCTCGATCCATTCCAACTACAGCTCGCTACAGGATGGTAAAGGTTCGTACTGAACGTTCACTACTATGCGAGAGCGCAACGCTCATATATTTTGACAGACGTGTACCAAGGGTCAGAAGAAGAGCGCAGTGTCCAGGCGGAAGCCTGTAATCTCGGTGCGTTAATCATCCACCTCCCGTCCCCAGCACGGCTTCTTACAGGCGTCGACGGCGTTTTATAGGGCGCAACTAAGGTTCGCTGCAGCGTCAAAAGGCGTACACCTTGCGTGAGTCCGTGCCCTTTATTGATTCTCGATATCTCTTTAAAAGCGGTTTAGGAGAAGTTGCCACCGGATATGGTGTTCGCACCTATCGATCGCCCAGACCATGCGAGCCCCGACTACATCATTCCGACCGATGAGAAATCGAAGGAGACTGGCAAGCGCATCACTCAAACTGCCGCGAAGAAGCTGAGATGGGTCCTCGCAATCCTCTTCCTCTGGGTCGACTTCAGAGAACAGCCCGATGTTCTGGGGACACAAGTCTATTGTATGGCGTGTTTCCGCAGAATAGTCCTCGACAACAGGGAGAAATCGACGCAGCACGGCAAATGGTACCTCAGCAATCTGTACAAGCATTTGAGGACTGCGAGACACCGAAGGAAGGAGAAGGAGTGGCGCAGGGATAATCCCGAGCAGCCCTGCAACGAGGTGAGTGTTGATCTGCGATGGATGCGACTCACGAGTCTGATCGATTCATAGGAGGAGCCTGTCGTTCAGCGATGTCGCTATGGAAAGGTGAGGGATTAGCGTCGATGCGGTGGTACGACGACTTACTGAACACCATCCTATAGCCCATCTCGCCATCGTCATCTCCATCTCCATCGCCGTCGACTCCTCCCTCCTCTTACGTCCCACGACCCATCTTCCGGTTTTCAACTTCCGAGGAGGTGAGTTTCCGACACAACGATCGCTCCGATGAGCTGTGTGCTAACCAGGGACCGTCTAGTTGTTGTCCTACGGTAACACGACCAACGGACAACAAAACGCGAACCTACACATCCATCCAGGCCCCGATTTCAGACGAGATCAATATCCCGCGCTTCGTAGACCAGACGATGTACAGGCCGGTTTCGTCGCCCGTTACTAGCCGCTGTGTACCTATGGATCTGCGTCTGCGATGTGGAGGTGATTAGGGCTCTGGACAATCGATTCACTCGACGATTTGTCGCTGAATCTTTCTGCTTTTCTTATGTAATGGCTTTCTCGGCCAGTTTGATCCTTCCTATGGTTTCCTTTCAATACGCTTTCGTTGCGCTTTTCTTTCGCCTGGTTTTCGAATACTTTGACTCGTATGTATGCTCATGTATGCTGGCCAATGGCCTTTGTGCCTTGTGCTTATTTATCAAGGTGTTCCTCATCGTAAGCTTGTCGTAACGTCGAAATTCCGGCATCGTTAGAGTTGATGAAGGATCATCGGACTTCGAAACCATCAGTCGCTCGATGTTCTTCGACTTGGCGAGGGCAGTTGTGAGTTTTGAGCAAATTGACACGGTGTTTGACAAGACGACCTGCATAGAATTCCCCTCCCGTCAAAATTGAGTTATCTACTAAGAGAGAGGCAGTGGGACGTGAGCGCGAAAGTCGGGGTACGGTCCAACGGAGCGGCGGAGGTTCTGTTCTGCTCCCGCGAAACATGCCTGCGAAGTGCTGTAAAAAAGAATTCCGTCGAACAGGGCGGCTGTTCGATGACTGAGCCACACATTGGTGCTTTCCCCGAGTCACCGGTGAACCCCGATTACAAAGTGGCGAGCAATGGGTTCAAGGAAAAAAGGCAACGTACACAGGGACCTGGAATATCCTAAATGGTAAGTAAAGTATGATATCGGTGGAGATGCGGAGTGAGAACCGTTTGTGGTTAGACGATTCTGACAACAGAAGGTTCTTGACGTTCTTTTGATGGCCTTGTACATAAGTCTAGGAAATCAATACCGAACAAAAAAGAGGGTGGTTACTTGGATTACTCGTATGATCAGGGAGTGGCGTCGGAAAAGTCCCATTTTGCGACGGAGAATCGTCCAGGGGGATTCTGACCAATACTCACCAAGACCGGAATTACTACAGCACCAGGTTCTGAGGGCACGAGCCTCGTTCCTATCCCTGTAGACGCACCGTTGAAGAGGCTATGTTATTCGCCTAGCGTTCGATCCAAGGAAAAAGGGATTAATCAGTAAGGAAGGGTCAGCGCCGGAGCCCGCCCTTTACAGCAAACACGTTGCATCCTCGAGGCCATACCATGAGTTCACAGTCAAAGCGTCACTCCGAGTTTGGAAAGATGGGGAAGGACAAGCCTGTGAGCCTCCTAAAAACGGAACAAATAATGCGACTCCTTTTTCGCACGAAGATATAGAAGTTAGTTATGGGCGCCTAGGGCGGGAGATATAAAGTCGAGGTGGCGGTCCGTAAAAATGGATTCCCCCAGAGCCACTCCCTTCCCTTGTTTCTCTCACCAACGTCCACATATCAGTCCTTTCCCCCTCGCCCCTCGCCGCTACACAAACCTCTCTCGGTAGTGCATATTTTTAGAGTGAGCACCTCCATCCTCATCCATCTTCGAGTCGCATGCTTATGAACAACCACGCTCATTCAGACATAATGGCGGTAGCTGTGAGTCGGTCGTTGCACGTATTGACGTTCCTATACTCACCTAGAATAGCCGACCACGCGTTCTCAGACAGCGGCCAGCGGGCCAAGTCCCAACGCCTCGCCAACAGTGAGTGATAAATCGCCAGCGATACTCCCTCTCCCTCATCATGTCGCTTTTCTGTAGCAAATGGCTGGGCGCCATGAGGACCTGAGGCCTACGGGCAAGGTGAGTTCTAGTTCGGTCTCCCATGCTTCGATCATAGACTCACCCAACATCCAATCGCCAGGAGCTTCGTCGTCGCTCAGCAAGACCCGGCTATCGAGACATGTCGGAGCGCAAAGCGTGGTTCACCTCAAAGCCCGAGCTACAGATTGTGTCACCAACGGTTGTCAAGTGCATTGCCTGTAACCAAAGCCTCCAGCTCGAGGGCCCGAAGAAGACGGTCAAGAACAACAAGAAGGGTGGATTTTACCACCACAACGCCAAGAAGCATTTCTTAACCAAGATTCACCAGCGCAAGATGGAGGAGTGGCGGGAAAAGAAACGGTTGGAACGTCTCGCGGCTGCTGCCAACCAGCAGAAGAGCAGCGCTAGGATGTCCCTCGCGTACCTGTGTGATCCATCGGTGAGTAGTTTCGATACATCTACTGTCGCTACGGTGCTTACTGGCTCCCATCCGTCACTGTCGGTGCCGACTCTTCCTTCCAGCCATTTTACAGCCCTGTCGAGCACAGCGTCGCTGCGATGATGGCTCAAATGAGCCAATTGACTCTGACCGGCTTCCAGGTGGGTGTTGGATCTGAGGTTGTCGATGATACCTTGCTGATGCGAAGACGATCTAGACGTTGCCCAACGGTTCCCCGACCAACGGGCAACACAACGCGAACCTATATATCTAGCCAGTCCCACACTCCGAGCGAGATCATCATCCCACCCGTCGTAGACCAGTCGATATACAGGTTGGTTGCGTCGCCTGTTACAAGTCATTCTTCACCGATGGCTCTGCGTCTGCGATGGGAGGCGATTGTGGGTTCTGGTCAATCTGGATTCTCGACGACGCGTCGTCGACGACTTCCCTTGGCATGTTTTCCTTATGTAATTTCGCTCTCAGTTTCATTTCTTGCTCTCGGCCGAAGTGTCCAATATGCTCTTGTTGTCGCGTTTTGCTTTCGAAATGCTTTCTTTTGTGAATCTCTCTGTACCTATGTCAATATGCCTTGAAAATGCATTCATTCTCACCTTCCTTTGAATCGATAGAGTGAGATCTGCTGGGAAAGTGCCTCGGGTGCCCTCCAACGGAATCGTATGTTTTGATGGCATTGATTCGGACTTCGAATCTGGCTCTCGCAACAAGACTGGCCGTCTGTAGCTTGCCTTCACCGTGATCTCGACAATCCAAAATCGTGTGCAGCGCTTACCGACTTCCCATTCGACATGCGAGTATGCTTAAAGATGATAGGGTCATGAAGGAACCACCTTCTCAACGTTGAACGTGTTGGAACCCTCGTGTTCTACACGAGGCGCTTGTGTAAGTCGGAAACCGGTGCTGATTCCGTTACGCCGCTGATACTTACCAGTTCCAGATAGGCGCGGTGTCCCCTTTCAGCTCGAAGCCTCGTGTACGCGGAACCAAGCCGCTTAGATTACAGCACTCCAAAGCATTGTTTCGCCGTATGAGGTGAGTTCGAACGTCGAAAGAGGAATTCTGAATGTTCACCTTTGTTTTAGGTCGTGATGGCGTTGTCCTTTCAACGTGTTGTTCTCGCAAGCGAGGACTACCTCTGCCGTTTCATAAATACCTTCCGCGTCGATTGTTTGCCTCGATGCAAACGCCTGTTCGTTCATTGATATACCTAACCTCAAGATTTACGCCGTTCCTCACCTCCTCCACCACCCTCAGTCACCTCGACTTCACCTCACGACACTCGAGTCCCTTTGATAGACTGTCATGAGCACAACCCCTACCTCAAGCCCCAGGCCGTCCAAATGGTCTCGAGTGGGTGCTGCAATGCGTCGTAGCACCACTCTCTTGGTCCCAACCTCGAGACCCACCACTCCAGCCCCCGCCGACCGCGACAGTGACTCCGTTTCGATCACCAAGCAAAAGGTCGACACAACACCTGCCACCCTCGCCCAACATCCTTCATCTTCAGCCGTTCCAAATATCCCTTCTCCAGTACCTGAAACTCCTCGCGAGCACCTCCCCATGGACGCACCACTTGGCCCGTCGCCTCTCGCGAAGGAGGCGTCGACTCGCTCTGAAGCACCGGTCGTCGACGAACCCGAGGCAGTCAGCCCTCAAGGCTATGTGCCACCTCCCCTCATCGACTCGAGCACTGGGAATCCCGGTGCTTTCACCGACGATGCCGACCTCCTTCCGCAGCCTGAAGTCGCAGTTGACCCATTCGCCTCAAGTAGCAGGGTCGACCTTTCGTCTGCGTCGAAGAAATCCGAGGACAAGGACAAAGGTCCTCAATTCGTCGACGAGCCGGAGAGTTTGAAAGACGAGTCGATCGAGGAGTCCACGTCGAAGAAGGACGACAAGAAGCCCCAAGTCGACGAACCCAAACCGTTCTTCGACAAGCCTTTCGTCTCCGGCGTCGACGAAGACTCGCATCGCGATTTTGCAGCTGCGGTTGAAGAGAACACCGTCCTTTCACCTCCAGGCGATCCTGCACCTTTCACTCCGAAGTTCGTTCCTCAAGTTCTCGTTCCCCAAGCTCCCACCAACGCATCGACGGATTCGTTCTCACCTATGCTACCCTCTCACCACGAACATGACGAAGCCACCGCCCCTGTCACCTCGTCTCCAGCTCCTATCTTCACCATGCCGTCTCATGATTACGTTTTCGGTCACGACGTCTGGGGAGGGAAGCAGCCTGAAGTTCCTCGTTCGATGCCTGAACCTTCAGGTACCAACGGGAACGCGGATGTTCGGGATCGAAGTCAACCTTTCTCTACTCAGTAAGTCGACATTTCCGTTCCAGAGTTGTGTTACTTACCTGTCATGCTCCGAAAGGGTCCTTCCCGCTGACGATCCCTTCCTGGACCCTATCGTCCCGCCCAGGATCGAGACCACCCGCTCGACTGCGAGCAACATCCACATGCCCAAGTAAGGTGTTTCGGATTCACCATGCGACCCCTCGCTGATCTTCGACTGTCTAGGCCGCAGCACTCGCCGAATACGCAGCAACCTCCCGTCTTTACGACTCAAGAAGACGTTAAGCCGAACGTCTCTATGCCCCTCCCATCCTTTAATGATGTGATTCCTCCCAAGTACGTCGCTCTAACCCAGTTCAGATGGCTGGTGCTTACCACCTTGTAGACGCGTTCAACAAGAGCCTTCCACGTCGAGCTTCATCTACGATCGTGCTCCCGTCGATACCGAGTGAGTCCCTTGTTCGCGTATGTCTGGAGACGCGGGACTCACGAGTCCTTAGTGAAACTCGGCCTCTGCTCGGCGTTGGCTCCTCTAGGGGTCCCACCTACATGCAAGGCGATTCATCGAACATCCTTGACGTCTCGCCTCTCGCCTCCACCAATGGCAACGCCGCTCCCTGGGTTCCCAGCGTCCCTGGATCCGTCCCTGCTCCTCGACTTCACGAGCTCGGGTGGCTCGAATACCATCTCCCGGACGGGACCTTCTACTACGTCCATCCCACGCGCAAGATCATTACCGACCTTAACCTTCGACTCGACAAGGTCCTTACCGACGTTACGAACTTCTTGGAGAATGGATCCGGTAGTGGGTTTGGCGCTATCCCCAGGATTACTGGTAAAGACGTTGCGACGCCCGGAATGGAGATTTGGTTGAGGGACGTTGGGAACAAGAAGGGGTTCATCCCTGTCAAGTGTTACGTGGATCACCATGCGAGGACGGTTACTGTGGACCGTATCGTCGACGGAGGACGAGGAAAGAAGGTCGTCGATGAAGACCGTGAGTTCCATCTTGCCCTGTTGTCGTTGTCACGCGTATTCACATCGGTCCTTGTATCTAGAACTCGATATGGAGTTCCGGTATTGGTCGTTTATGGAGGCTCACCCCGCCCACACCACTCTCCCTGCTAAAGCGAAAGCCGAGGCTATGGACGTTTTGACCTGGGCTTGGACTGGTGAGTGAATCAGAGACCAATTCACGGCTGTTCCTATGTCTGATGCCTCGCCGTCCGTCAGATCGTCTCCTACCCTCCCATCGCTCCGTTCCAGCTCCCTTCGGGCAAGAGGAGTGTCAAGAGCTCATGAACCTCCTTCGAGGCTACAACCCAGGTACGTCGCATCGTCGTGAACAATCAGTCGCGTATCTTAACTTCGCAATGCAGACAACCACGATGATCACGGTATTCAGAACCGAATCGTCTCTCGCATCCTTCTCCGTGTTGGTGCGTAACCCCTTCCGCGTGCCTGACGAACCTAAAGCTCACTCATGTTTGAATAGCTGTTTGGCGCCAGAAGTACTTCCGACCCAACAAGCCACTTCCCAAGGACGTATCCAGTAACCAACTCCATCTCCCGGCGCCACGAAGAGGGTTCCCCCGCGCATTCTTCGACCTCGTCATCTCGATCATTTGTCTCGGCCTTCCGTATCTCTTTATCGACCGCTCTCGTATTGGTGGACGATCAGACGAGGAACATGGCACGCTCGGCAGCCCTATGCGAAGCCATGGTGCCATCCTCATCATGGGAGGCTGCGCTTGCCTCATGGTATGTATCTTCAGCCCTACTAACTCTGGAATTCTAACTGATCCTTGTTCATTCAAGGCTGCCATCGTCCTTAGTGCCTCGGTTACTTTCCTCGCGCTACCTGGCTTGGAGAGTATCTCTCGTACTGCCGCCCTCGTCGCCATTTTGTTTTCGTCATTCTCGATGGCCTCGACGCTCGTCGCTGTCTTCAAGGCCAAGTCCGACGTCGAACGGGCGGTCGGTGTTATTGGTCTCGAGGGTGTCACCAACATCTCGGTACGTCTCTTTACACTCGCCGTGCGCTAGTCGCTAATTCGTTCTGTACAGAAGCGTGCATTCGTCCTCTCGCTCCCTCTCGTCTTCCTCGCGTACTCGATCATCAGCTTCATCGTCGGCATTACCGTCTACTCCCTTCGCGGTGGCTCGCTCTTCAATCCCAACGTTGAAATTCGGCCTTTCGAAGACTACACGAAATGGACGGTTATGGGATTGGTTGGGGCATTCGGCGGCATCTTGGCCACCTCGTATTTCCTCGCTCGTCGCTGAGCGTTGAATCGATAAGTAGCCTCCCCCGCTCGTCGCTCCTATCCCACCTCGGCTCCATTCCGCTGGTCTTCTTTCTTCCCTCATCTGTACTTCTATGATGTACTGTATCTATCCGTGTACCATGTGTCTGTAATACTATGTGTCACCTTGTACTCGAACCGCGTGAAGGAGACTAGGAAGTTAAGGAACAGTGATGTAACGTTATCCTTCACGGTTCGTCGGAACTGGGGTATTGGTGAGTAATTGGGCATGGGGTTCCTCAGCATTCGCTCGGAAACTCGCGAGCCCTCTGCCACTCGAAGTTCGACTTATCCAATAGAAGGCCTGTTCATAGCCAAGTACTTTTTCAGCAAGAAGTGGGGATTACAGGCGACCGGGAGCTCTTGCTACTGAGCACCTCCAAGAACAAGAGATCCGTCGGAGATGAAAATCATTGTCGCCTCGTTGTCACCTGTGTTCTAATTTCTAGATTGGGTATTGTTGTGGGCGTCGAAGAAGCCCTGGAAGCAACCTGCCAGTACGACATGACAGGGAGAAAAAGTTTTTCTCTACCTCGTTTTGGAATGGGCTGAAAGGTAATGATAGTGACGGAGGGTTCTTTGCATTGAAAAAACGAGGCCGTCGTGGAGGAGAAGAGGGGGGAAAAGAGGGCAGTGGCTCTCGTGAGAGAGAACGGCGTTGCGGATCCAAGATGGCGAGATCTTGATGTTAATGGATGTGGGAGAAGTGGGTTAATTGGTAGCTTTTCTGTTTCCAGGAACGGGATGAACATGGGCGAAAATGAGCATCCAAACCGGGAGCTCACTTTCGCAGGTAAAACTATACTCGACGATAACGGAGAGACTGAAAGAGGGCATAGACTTCCGTGGTTTCTCCCCAGGTATTGTGACAACGGAGTGTCCACGCGCCATGTCTGAATCACATCCACTATTGCTTGGGGTATTCCACCTGCAATTATGGATATTGACCGTAGCAGTAGACAGCCAATCGAAAACGGTGAAAAAAGAATGACATCGGGGGAGATGCGGATGAGAAACGTTATGATGCAGGTTGAGCCCACTTCTGATGAAAGAACGTTATCGTTGTTCTTGTGATCCCACTTCGACGGGCGCTCGAACGTCGAAGACGGTCTTCAAGCTCAATCAAACGTGGTCTACAAGAGACCAGATTGGCAATTGCCCTGGGACCTGCGGATTTGAAGAGGACGTTTCTCCGCGCGGTGATGAGGGGAGCCACTGTCATTGGTTGGTTGGTAAGTAGTACGCTGACCTGTTTCTCGGTCGTTAATGAGAGGTGGTCTATACTTGAATGATGTGCGTTCTGGGGAGAGGCCGTAGTAAAAGAGAGTTTTTTTATGGAGAGATAAAAGGACAAGAACAAAAAGCTGGGTGGGGTGTGGGCGCACTAGAAATGGAAATGATAGAGTGGCTTCTCTCGGACGAGTCACAACCCGCCTTTGTCCAAGAGACCAGGCAGGCGCTTATCGTCATGGATATAAAATAGTCCTTGTGGACGCCGAGCAGCGAGCTGCTATCCCATACTAGCTTTGAGCCACTCACCCACGCGCCCTACCCCACAATCCTGACGCCCCTCAGAAATCCTACCAAACACTTCGAGCGAGTGGCATCTGGCTGTAATACGTTGACAGTGGCAGCTTACCAGAGTGTGTTTCTGTTTCTTTTCAGCGATGCCTCAAAACGTATGCGCCGTTTCTCTTCTTCAGTCGCTGCCTCAAAACAAGCATATCCGCTTTCAGACATCCTGGATAGCCGACAGCTACGATAAATACTTCTCGGTGAGGCAATAACTTCTTTATTTACGTCCTACACCGTTTTCACCCTGTTGACTGCGCTGCCACCCGTGTAGACTCGACGCAATCCTTCTAGACAAGCTCGCCCAGTTGCCACACGCCTGGTCGACGAGGAGACGGACCCAGAACCGTCCCCAAGGCGCTGTCGTAGCGAGTCGCGAAGTTCAAGCAGATCGTCGACGGGCGGCCCACGCAGGGGACCATATCTGAAGCCACACGAGCGCAGAGAGCGGCTGGAGAATACGCCTCATGTCACATATGCCTTAGACGATACAGGCCTGTGCATCGTAGCGACATGCACGCTCTGTGACAGAACATATCAGCTCGATAAACGTGGCAAAAGTACGAAGAATGGCGGATATTACTTCTCTAACCTTCAGAGGCATTTGAATCGGCGAACCCACAAGGAGAGAGAAGCCGCGTACGACAGGCAACGCGAGGTGAGTTCGTTACTGGTGGTCGTTTAACACCGTGCTAATGTCGAGATTGTCTCATCAGGAGATCCTCAACCATTTATTAAGGGCATCGAGCCCCTTGACCCCTCCACCCGAAGATCTCGAGAGCGACGCTTCGTCGACGGTGGCCACTGAGGAAGATGAGCCGCTGGAGTTCACTGAGTCCAGTGGAGCCGCGAGTATTGAAGGCCACGAGGAACACAGGACTCACGAAGCAATACGACACAAGGTTGTGTCCTCGATTCCTAGCAGAACATTGTCTCCACCACCTACGACGTCGAATATCGCCACCCAGGGTTCTACCTCTCTGGTACCTTATCCATTGGCGCACGTCGAGGATGCCCATCTGCTGTTGGAGGTGTCGAAGAGAGCTTATATGGAGTACGAGGAGGTGCGAAAGTATTGCGATATATCATGATCGGTGACTGACCCTTCGGAACCAGCGACGCTTTGGGAACGAGAAGCGCGGTTGTCCCATTTGGCGGCTCTACTGCCATCAGCAGGACTATCTTACGCCTGGTCGAGTTTAGGCCGTCTTTCTCGATTTAAACTTGTTCACGAGCATACATACCTTCGTTCCTTTAAAAACATACTGTTGTGGAAGTAGATAGAAAAACTTAATCGTATTCGCTTTTCCACGTACAGCTTATATACCGAGTAGAATACTAGCCCTCGAGTCAATGTCCGAAATATCTACGTAATCAACTCCAAATCTTCTAGGCTACAAGATAATTCTACAACACTCCCCTATCTCGAGATTACACCGATTTCGTGCGTAAGGCTTTGGCGTTGGTGACGAGGCAGACTCTTCGTGAATATGTCTGCGAGGTTTTTCGTGGTTTGGATGTAAATGAGTTTGAGGAGGCGAGGGTTAGGGTTATAGAGAGAGAACAAATGGAGTAGGGTCGGTCTGACCCTGGGGTCATATTGGACTGACCCTGGGGGCAGGGTCAGGGGAGAATATGGGTGACCCTGGGGACTGACCCTGGGGGGAGAGGGTCAGGGGAGAATATGGGTGACCCTGGACGAACCCTGGGGGCAGGGTCGGAAGAATGGAGTGACTCTGAAGTGACCTTCGAGGGGAGGGTCGAGGGAGAATGTGAGTGACCCTGGACGAACTCTGGCAGCAGGGTCAGCAAAATGGAGTGACCCTGGGTGGAGGACTGACTCCAGAGGGCAGGGTTGGGGAGAATGAGAGTGACTCTAGGGACCAACCCTGGCAGCAAGATAGGCTGTGGGTGTGTCACCCCAGCGCGGAATGGGCCACGTTCCTTTGGCATCCCGTGTGCGGGTACTCCTGGAATACCCCGGACCAGTGTGGAATGTCCCGCATCCCTTTGGCATCCCGTGTGCAGGTACTCCTGGAATACCCGACATTCCGCATCCCTTTGGCATCCCGTGTGCGGGTACTCCTGGAATACCTAAGTATCTGTTCAGTTATTTTGGGGCCACATTCACCTTTGCCTTACCCCATTTGATATGATCGATCTGCAGATCTGTGATGCGCGTCAGGAATATGGGCCTCTGCCAAGAACATATGGGTGGCGATCATTTACCTGTCGCAAATTCTGGGTGCTGTCTACTGGAGCCGTCTTAGGCCATCATTTACATATGGGTGGCGATCATTTACCTGTCGCAAATTCTGGGTGCTGTCTACTGGAGCCGTCTTAGGCCATCATTTACATATGGGTGGCCATTTGATATGATCGATATGCAGATCTGTGATGCGCGTCAGGAATATGGGCCTCTGCCAAGAACATATGGGTGGCGATCATTTACCTGTCGCAAATTCTGGGTGCTGTCTACTGGAGCCGTCTTAGGCCATCATTTACATATGGGTGGCGATCATTTACCTGTCGCAAATTCTGGGTGCCGTCGACTGCTGCTGTCCATCATCTTTAGATGGCCATGTTAACATATGGGTGGCCATCATTTACCTGTCACAAATTATGGGTGCCGTTGACTGGGTGCTGTCCATCAGTTTTGATCGACTTCTCATTTTAACAGCAGTTAAGCCGACATGTGGGCCCCTGCATTTCGGTCGCCGTGTTTTCCCTGTCAAGAATTATGGGTCCCATCTATGGGAGCCATATTTTCAATCAGCTGATAAGGCGCCCTGCCTGCTGCATATGGCTGCTTATATTTGGCCTGTCAAAAATTCTGGATGTCGTCCACCGGCGCCCTGCCGATCATCAGGTCCATCAAATTTGATCGAATTCCAATCAAGCGTAGTAGGTGTGCATGTGGGCCCCTCCCTGCTGCATTCGGGTCGTCGTGTTTTACCTGAATTTTACCTGTCAAAAGGTTTGAGTCCCATCCATGGTGCCTTGTCCACAAATAACCCCCATCACATTTGAGCGATAAGGGCCCCTGCCTGCTGCATTCGGGAGCCCTTCTTTCGTCTCTCAAAAGCTCTGAGTGTCTCCTTCCGGTGCCTGTTCAAAATCAGGCCCGTCACATTTGATCCAATTCCTATTTTTAGGCGCAACTCCGAAATGCCGCCCCTCCCAGCTGCATTTGGCCGCCAAATGTTTTTCCTAAGTAAACTATGTGCATCACGCACCGCCCTGTCCAAAAACGGTCCACAATATGACCTCCAAGAAATCTGGGCCCTTGCCTGCTACATTGCGGCGCACCTGTTTCGCCACTTAGAATTTCGCCACTTAGAAACTGATAGGTCTGGCCCACGGTGCCCTATTTGTATAGACCCATCCAAAATATGGGCTATCCCGCCTTTAGTCGAATAGAAAGTAATGTATCCCCTTACCAGTCATTCCAAGTCTGTACCTTACTCCTTTAATCATCGTCACTTTTAGCGCACTCGAATTTGGCGACCACATGTCCTTACTTTGTTCTCACAAACCATTCAATTTGTTAATACGTGTATTGTGTTCTGTACTATTCAATGTGTGTATCTACTCTACTTTAGCAGGAAACAGATCGTTCTTTATCATGTGCTTATTGGCGCCGTAAGAACTCACCCTGCGGCACTCCTTCTGGGAATGTCATTTCTTAAGTAATCCTATCATTATCGGCTGATTGCATCACCTTTTTTGTCGACCCCAAAACTTCCCTGATATTTTCACAACTTGGCCCTCTCTCGCGTAC